CGCAAGGGACTTCTGACTGGAGGCGACTCTTTGGCAAAGTCACAGGGGCAGGAGGCCGACCAAATGAATCGGGCCCCTCCTGGTGGCTCATGGGAGGAGGCCCCGGGGACGACACCCCCCAGGGGTCCGACCACACTGCCTGCGCCACCTGCGGCGCCCTTTACCTGTGCCGGAGTCCCGCTGGGGCCCGGGGGCTGAGCAGTAGCAACAGTCCAGGATGACATAGTTGAGCACGTTGAAGAACAGCCCGATAATCCCAGCACAGAGAACCAGCAGCGGCGCCTCTGTCTTCTGGGGATCAATGTACCTTTTGATGGCTTCCACCAGGATGCTGAACATCAGGGCCACGGCGAAAACGGAGTTGCCAAAGGCGCCCAAGACGTCCGCCCGCAGGAAGCCGAACGTGCTCATCCTGTGCCGCGAGATACTGCTGGCCCGCAGGCCAAACAAGCCGACGATCATGGAGAGGAGCTGGGAAAGCACGGCAAAAGCATCGGAGGCCAAGGACAGGGAGTTGCCGATCTGGGCGATCACCAGCTCCATCACGAACAGAAGGGTGCTCACCACGCACATGAAGACTAGGCGGAAGCTCCTCCCGGAGTATCGCCCCATGGCGAGCGCGGCGCCCGGGCAGTTCCTCTCCCTCTCCGGGAAGGCTGAGCTCCCGAGGGAGCAGCTACAGATTTCGTGATTACAACTCCTGGAAAACTGTCCCCTTCAGCCTTTCAGTGTTTGTCAGATTTGGAAATGACCTTTTATAGGCTGCTATAAAGCCATAAAGCGGTTTAAAGGGCAATTAAATGGGAGATGTCATGTGAGCAGGGACTGGAAACGGAAGGCACAGGCTTCAGACATGGAGTGTAGGGATTTCTTCTGTGTGTTTCATACAGAAGCAGAGTCTCTGTGTCTTTGATTCATGCAGTGGCTCACCTGTGGCTTCCGCACCCCCAGCTTCCACTCACACAGTGACTGGTGAGACAAGTCACTTGACAGAGGCCACCGTATCCTGCCTCCCTGGTGTGTAAAGTTTTGAGTGCTGTCCCCTGCGTGGAACAAGGATTCTAGATCAGAGCTACAGTACGTGAAAGCCAAAGATGAAGCAAGGGTGAGTGTCTGGCCCACTAATCTAAATTAAGAAGCACCGTCCTCCTTCCAAACATTCTCTCAAATAAGACAAAAAAAAAAAAAATCCTCATGCTTAGAAAAGATAAAACACCTTTCAACTGAAGGAGCTAAAGACAACTCCAGTCAGTTCCAGGAAGGAAGCCAAATTACAATGCCTTAACTGATATAAGGAAATATTTTTGATTTTAATCTTATCATCTGTCACTTATAATCCTTAAAGGTCTACTAGCTCCTGAATATATAAAACAATAGCGTCCTCTATTGTTTTGAGTAGCCTGCCTACAGTCAATCCTTTAAAGAAATACAGACTGAGCCCTGGCCAGTTTGGCTCAGCGGTTAGAGCGTCGGCTTGCGGTCCGGAGAGACCCGGGTTCGGTTCCCGCTAGGGGCACGTACTTCGGTTGCAGTTTGTCCCTGGCCCTGGTTGGTCGTGCGGGTGGCAGCCACTCGATGTGTCCCTTCACGTCGATGTTTCTCTCTCTCTCTCTCTTCCTCTCTCTCCCTCCCACTCTATCTGTACAAAAAATGGAAAAATGTCCTCGGGTGAGGATTAAAAAGAAAGAAATACAGACTGAAATGACTATAGCCAATCTTTTCTGAATTTAAACTCTGTGATGGTTAATTGTATGTGTCAACTTCACTAGGCCACCAGGTACCCAGACATTGTTCGGAGGGTTTTCTGTGAGGGTGTTTGGATGAGATGAACATTTGAGTCGGTACAATGAATAAAGCAGATTGTCCTCCAGTGTGGGTGGGCCTCATCCAATCAGTTGAAGGACTGAAGAGACCCTCCTGATTCTTCCTACTGACTGCCCTCAAGCTGGGACATGGCTTTTCCCTGCATTCAGTCCTGAACTGAAATGCCAGCTCTCACTGGGTTTTGAGCCTGGGGGCCTTCAGACGGAAACTAGTCCACAGGCTCTCCTAAGACTCCTGCTTGCTGACGCACCCTGCACATCCTGGGACTTCTCAGCCTCCACTTCTATAGAAAATCTCTATTTATACACACATCCTATTGGTGCTGTTTATCTGGAAAAGTCTCACACACTATGACTAAATTCTCACAACTTAGATGTGGCCCTAATAATTTCTGTAGCATCTCATAAATCATCTCCAATTCAGTTAAGAGTTAAACAGACTTCTAATACAACCAGATTGTGTATCACATTGCACTAGGGCTATCTCATTCATCCATTTATGCAACAAGCATTTACTGACTTCCTGCATGTCAGACACAGCTCTAGGCTCCGGGGAAGAAAGCACTGAGTAACAAACTGAAACCCCTGCCTTTCTGAGCTACATCCCAGTGGGGGGAGACAACTGAAATAAGTCATAAAATGCATTGAATGTCAGATGGTAATGACTAATGGAGACCAATGAAGCAGAGGATGAAGTGTTGGCATAGGGCTGGAGTCGTAACTATAAATAAAGTGATCAGGGAAGAATTTATTGAGATGTTCCTTGAGTCAAGACCTGAAGGAATTAAGAAACTCATTTATTCAACAGGTATTTTTTTTTTTTTTATCCTCATCCGAAGATATTTTTCCATTTTTTGTACAGATAGAGTGGGAGGGAGAGAGAGAGAGAGCGAGAGAAACATCAACGTGAAGGGACACATCGAGTGGCTGCCACCCGCACGACCAACCAGGGCCGGGGACAAACTGCAACCGAAGTACGTGCCCTTAGCGGGAACCAAACCCGGGTCTCTCCGGACCGCAGGCCAACGCTCTAACCGCTGAGCCAAACCGGCCAGGGCTCAATAGGTATTTCTTAATCACAAAATTTGGTTTGGGTGACACACTTAAAATATATTTTGAAATATCCCTATCACATGAGACTTAAAATCTTTTTATATCATTTCAGTGCTACTGATGTTCCATTCTTAAACCTTCCAGTCAAGTTGAATATGTTGGCTTAACATGACCTACTGAGCCGTAAGAACTGTCTGTTATTTTAAGTCAGATGGTGTAACAGAAAAGCGGTGATCTCGTTTTCCAGGTATCACCTCGAGTGCAGGACAGCTCTCAGCGTGCTGCTGTTGGGAGGGACGCCCTCACGTCTCAGAGACGTTCCATCCGCTCGTCCGCATCTAAAACATGACTGCTTGAGGGAAAGAGCCTCGAGAAGGAAAATCATGTTTGGTTTACTCACTCCCGTGGGCTCTGGCATTCAAATTTATGAAATAAAGGGCTAGTCTTTTCTAGACATGGTGAAAGTGACAAATGAAGGGTCAAAGATGTGTTTAAAGATAACAGAGCAGCCCTGGCTGGTTTGACTCAGGGGTTAGAGCGTCGGCCTGCGGTCCTGAGAGACCCGGGTTCGGTTCCCGCTAAGGGCACGTACCTTGGTTGCAGTTTGTCCCCGGCCTTGGTTGGTCGTGCAGGTGGCAGCCACTCGATGTGTCCCTTTCACATCGATATTTCTCTCTCTCTCTCTCTCTGTTCCTCTCTCTCTCTCCCACTCTACCTGAACAAAAAATGGAAAACTGTCCTCAGGTGAGGATAAAAAAAAAAAAAAAAGGTAACAGGGCAGAGGTAGCTGCCTCCCCACACTTTTGGTGCTACTGACAACCCCTGAACACCACAGTATATGATAGATGACTAATATTAATAAGTAGTCAGATATAGGTAGGGTGATATGACCAGACTCTCTGGTCAAAATGCCTCCTCTTCACTTGTTCTATAGACAATTTCCTGCTGCTGCTGTCAAGACTCAAAGCCTCTCCACTAGAGAAGGAGACGACAGGAAGAATCAGGAGGGTCTGTGCAGTCCTTCCACCCACACCAGGGAGGGACATCTGCTTTACTCGGTCTACCAAGTCATCAATAGGTTTTATGATTTATTTGTTAATGATGTCTCACCCTACAAGAATTTGCTGTTATTGTCCAATTCTAGGACATATACCTTGACCTATCTGTTTTCTTTCTGCAGCCATGAACACTAGGCACACATTCACTTCTATGACTGTCAGTCATGTATGTAGTAAATAGCAAGTAAAATAGTGATAATTTCTCAAAGGACAGTGTTTGGACTCAGGTTTATACATCCTCTTGAAAAGCACTTTTTTTGGTTTGTTTTAATATTTTTCTTTATTGATTTTAAAGAGAGAGGAAGGGAGAGGGAGAGAGAGAGAAACATCGATGAGAGAGAACATTGACTAGCCTCCTCCTGCATGACCCCCACTGGGGATCGGGCCCACAACCTGGGCACGTGCCCTGACTGGGAATCAAACTGGCAACCTCTTGGTGCAGGGTTGATGTTCAACCACTGAGCCACATTGGCCGGGCTACCACTTTTAAGATGTCTGAAGTTTTGATATTTTAGTTGAACCTCAATTTAAGCGAAAAGAATATCACATGTAGATCTGGGGGAAAGATTTCCCCCGTCACATAACTACTTACGGTGGACTTCCTGTAAATAACTAGACCCTTTAAAGCCGCCAACCTCCAGCTGTTCTGCAAGCAGTTCTACTCATCGGAGCTTCAGGGAATTCCTAAGAAGAGGAGTTATTTTCAGTTATTTTTTCTTTTTTTAATCTTCACCCGAGGATATTTTTCTGTTTATCTTCAGATAGAGAGGGAGGGGGAAGAGAGAGGTGGAGAGAGAGAGACAAAGAGAAACATCAATGTGAGAGAGACACATCGACCGGCTGCCTGCTGCACAACCCCAATCAGGGCTGGGGACAAACTGCAACCTTGGTACATGCCCTGGACCGGAATCGAACCCGTGACTCATTGGTCCACGGGCCGACGCTCTAACCACTGAGCCAAACCGACCAGGGTCATTTTCAGTTATTTTCATCTCTTCATAGGAATTTCCTTGTAGCACATAATTCTGGTATTTTAGAAACAAATAAAGACATAAACAGTAATAACTCATGATATTTATTACTGGGGTTGTTTACAGAAAAGCTTGTTACTTTAGACATAAGAATAGGTGTTCATCTCATGTGACCTCCTTTTCAAAATTTTACTTTAAAAAATCATAAAACTGTCTATATCTGGGGAGATATTATTATCAATTTTTTTAAAAAGTGCGGAGGGTCGGGGCTCGGGGTGGGGTGTAGGCTCAGTAACTGCGGCCGAACAAGGTGTAGTGCTTGGCAGGGTTCTTGCCGCAGACACAGCTGGCCCCCGGCGGCAGCTGGCACAGTGGCTGGAAGGGGATGCAGAGGCTTTTGGCTCCCATGGACGGAGCCCCAGGTTCCAGGTCTTGATCCCTGGAACCAAAAACAAGGAGAATTCCATTCATTCAAGCTGAGCATCCCTCCTCTTTCTCACGGCCGTTACCCACGTCTCACCTGTTCGTGCTACTCACCTGGCGGTGGTCTTCTTGATCCAGTCCTCACAGTCAATTTCCCCACAGAAGGGGATCTGAACAATCTAGTAAGAAAAGGAACAACACTTAGCGTTTATAACCCCTTCTAAGCCATAAAAAGAACATCTGAGTTCTCTATTAAACTTACAAGCATACAGGACAGGTGGGTCTTCCAGCCCTTTCGGGCCATGATACCCTTGCAAACCTGTCAGGAACTTTGCTCAGAAATGCAAGAGAGCCCTGGCTGGTTCTGCTCAGTGGTTAGAGCGTCGGCCCGTGGAACAATGAGTCGCGGGGTGGATTCTGGTCAAGGGCACGTACCTCAATTGTGATTCATCCCTGGCCCTGGTTGGGGTCGTGCAGGAGGCAGCCACTCGATGTGTCCCTTTCATGTCCATGTTTCTCTCTCTCTCTCCCTCCCACTCTATCTGAACAAAAATGGAAAAATGTCCTTGGGTGAGGATAAAAAAAAAAAAAAAAGAAATGCAAGATACGAAAGAATATGTTTCCACTAACATAGTGCTTGAGAAAAGGAACACAGGGTGAAGAGACCTGGGTCCAGACAGGCAGTTGTACCTGCCTCATTTCACACCTGGACCACTCACTGCCTGTTCTACTTAAATGGTTATCAGAAGGTAGAGGGAAGATGACAAATAGTGACCTGATTCTTAAAGTGGTGTTTACAATAACGGTTTAACAATCAGGTAAGGTCAACCTCACTTTATGCCACACTGTTGTAACATATCATAGGTAAGTGAGTCATTTTTTAAAGTCCACGGGTATTTGAAAGTCAAAACTCACTTTGTAGTGGAAAAAGGCACCTCTCAAAATTTTTTCATAAACTGCACAGAACAATGAGCAGAACCCAGAGAACGGGGCCCCTGCTGGAAGCTGTTAGAGCACTGTCTCAGGATCAAGGCTGCAGATTTGATCCCCCATCAGGGCCCATATGAGAAGCAACCAATGAATGCACACATAAGTGGAACCACAAATCAATGTTTCTCTTTCTCTCCCTCCCTCCAAAAAATCAATTTAAAAAAAGTGAGAACTGAGATTTTACCTTAATTTTGAAATTCACTGCCTATTTCAAAATTATTAGCCCTGAGTTTTCTTTCTTAAAATGTGGATGTTGCACTAGACAAGAATAAAGATCTCTCCGCTGTGAATCCTAAATTTTTCATAGCATGTCTGCTTCAAAATGAGGTTTGTCTTCACTAACATTTATGCACCAGTCCTATGAAGAATTCCTGCAATCCATGCTAGCAGCAGGGAGAGCAAAGTACTGGTCATCCCCATCCAGGAAATGCGAGTGTAAAAGCAGCTACAAAGTTTTCCAGCTTCCTCCTCAACTTCTGATCCACCATTTGCAGCCACACACCCAATGCTCAAATCGAATCCATCCTGCAAACTCTCTTGCACTTGGGACTTGGTTAAAACATGTTCCAAAAGGCTTGTCCAAGAATGAAGTGAAACAAGGATGAAGAAACTATAAAAAGCTGGGTAAACCGTCAGGTGAACATCACTGCGGGTGAGGGAGTTTGCTATCTGCCTCTCCTACGTTCATCCCGCGAAATGTATCAGCCTGATTCCCAAACTTATTTACTAAACTGTTATTTTGATAATCAGCCTTATGATAATAAAGAGGTGATTAATTTCTAGGCAAATCTTGGGGGGGGGGTAAAGGGAAGGTGGATGAGTTGGTAGTAATAAATATTTTGAAAAAATCTAATATAGGAATAGTGCAATGCAAACTGAAGCAAAGACACACCTGGATGTAAGAGCCGAAATCACACAAAGTGACTTGCCTGTACTGGAACTTGGTAAATCATTACCATTTATGCAATCGAAAAGCATTAAAAAATGAACATTCATTTTAAACAAAGTATTGTTTAAAATTCATTACAAAAGACAGAATGGGGAGAAATCTTTACTGTCACTATTTAAGCAATAATAAAAATATTAAGACTTAATTACAAAGAATGTCTTTGGGTAATAAATTTAAATTTGGTTTCCTAGGACATTTTACTTTTATTAATTCACAACACAGCTATATTTTTTTTATAACTTTAACAAATTTTACAGTAAATAGTCTTATTTTCTTTTTCTCATAAGAAAAATTACTAAGCCTTGAGAAGATATTTCTAAAATAATTTTCAAATTTAAAATAGCATGTGAATAAATTCAATTTAAGTTGTTATTAAATGTACCTGGACTCAGAAATGATAATTTTGTAAAACACGTTTTAATTCTTTCTAGCTTCAAAGTAAAGTATAGATGATGAAACCTAAAATTTCTATTAATGTATATAAGTCATTAATATGAAAGAACATTATATATTTTTAGACTATTCAGCCATGAAAAGGTTCTTAACTTTTATTTCTTATAATTCCTATGTTTTAAAATATACAATCTTTGGCAAAACACAGTATCTTGCATTCTGTAGCAGAAAATGTTAATGACAAAAAAATTAACAATAGTTAAAATTATGGTGATCAACAGATTAATAATGCATGCCACAGTAAAAAAAATATATTATATATCAATAACATTTATTTTTCATTTAACTAAGACCATCCCTTTGGAAAATGCACTAAAATCAAATCCTACACATAAATTTATTTTTCCATTAACACCAACAGAGAAAGCAGACAGTCAAACTTTCACCTACATCCACATTCCACAGATGCCTTCCACCCCCCCCCCCCAGGTAAATACAGTTTTATCTACAGTCACTTCAAAGGCTGCTTCACGGTCAGTCAACACATCTCGGCAGAGCAACATAGGGGAGAGGAGAGATGGAACTGACCACCGAATTCAAGAAACGACGTTTGCTTTGGTCTCCCTGCTGTTTGGACATACAACTAAAAATACATATTCTGCTTTAGAATAGGGTTGAAATCTATGATTCCACTAATGTCTGCTGAGATTCATTTCTTTGACAGCAATGGATTAACCAGCATTTACTCTATTGATTTATTAACTCTTATGCAATGTCTTCATACACTGTACTGCAATAGTGACTACCGTATTTCTATTATACAGAAAACTTTAAAATTCAATAATTAATGGAGCAAAAATGAAATAACGTAAGTTAGAGAGAAAGGACAAACGCCCGTGGCAGCACACGGCCACGTGCTCCAGCGTTCTCCCAGAAGCAGGCCGTTCGAGTCCGATGACAAAGTGCGGAAACCAGAAGGGGAGGATTACAAAGGCAATAATACTCCGAGAACGAGACTGCCCAACACAGAAGGTTGATGGATCTGAAGGGTATTTTGAGATGATCTACTTTGTACTCATTTTACAAGTTAGTAAGCTGAGCCAGAGAGATGAACCTTTTCCCAGCTCATTCAATAAGAAACATATTGAGAGGTATTGATCACATCCAATTAAAACTTTGCCTTAATACTCTCAGCACGAATCAGAGAGAGACAGCGAGCGAGCGAGCGAGCGAGAAAGAGCACTGAACCGAGTCAGAAGAGAGACCTGAATCCCAGTGCGAGGTCTGCTTCTGCACAGCCCGGGGTAATTCATTTAGCCTCCGGCTATGATCTCCTTTAGAATGTGGGCACATGGGACTAGTTGTATAATTAAACATGCACACCAGAATACTCAAGTTTATATAAGTGATTCATTCCAATAATTAATACTTCTGCAAATGAAGACGTCTTCTTTATAAAAATTAAAAGTCTGGCTAGGAATATGTGAGTACCCACATCACATAAAGTTGATAAAATCTTCAAGGGACATTTACTACCTCATTAGAAAACCCATGTCCTTTTAAGTTTTCTAAAAAGCAGGCTTAGACATGAGTAATGCTTCCCCTTATCACTCAGAAAGTTCAATCAATTAACATCTGGGTAAATATATGGCCAGAGAGTTGAAGGAAACGGACCCCTTCTAACTTTTAGAAATTTGCACATGGCATTTCTAAAGTTAGAACAAGGCTTGTGTTAGGAACTTACATCAAGTGGAAAAACGAAATGAAGACTTTCGATAACGAAAACATTGAGGGTCAGAGTGAATGCTGTTTAGCCAGCATATCAAATGCGAGGAAAAGTTCTTACGTAATCAGTTCACAGTGCCTTCAACCAGAAATGATAGGCTGTCGTAAAGCCTTGGGACAGCCAGGGGAAAGAGTGTGCAGTGCTGAGTGACATGTAATCTTTTTGTGTGACTGGCTTGAAAAAGAGATTAATATCATGCTTAAGTTCAGTGAGTCTTTAAATACCACTTACTGAAATGTTTTTATATTCAGAACTTTTTAAAAGTCTCTTACCTTTCCAGAGTCTAGCATCTCCTGAAAGTCTTCCAGGGAATTAGCCACCACCATATGGGTCTTAAGGTCTTCAGAAGCCCTATAGAAAATAATTAGAAGAGAATACATAGTTTGTCTTATTATGATGATGTTATTTGAAATAAGCAGAGTTTCATGAAAAACCAATAACCTACAAGTGAGAACTCAATTTGAACCTCAACTCTGTCACTAGCAGTGATATCCAGTAAACCTCAGTTAACTCATCATTATATTACTGTGAACATTAAATGAATGAGAAGTTTGCCAAGCACACAACAGGCAATAATTACTTTTTTAATTGCTGTGCAATCTCTGTTGACCAACATTCGATTCCTGGCTACACCAACTATCGATGAGAGTGTGGGTTATTTTTTAAACCTTTCTGTCTTATTTTTCTACATTTCTAAAAAACTGGAAAAATACTCAAGTCAGTCTAACTACCATATAGGATTGGTGTGAGAATCAAACACAGAGGCATGAAAATGTTTTGAGAAGGAAAAACTCATAAATACCCATGATTCAAGCAATTTTCACCCACTATGTAATTCTTTTAGAAATGGACATCAGTACCATCCTCTCACCATTCAAAGCCATGCAGTACACGAGGATCACTCATAGGTGGTAACAAAGCAGAAAAGGCATATTTCTCTTTTCTGGATCTCAGGGCTAAGACCACAGGAACTCCATGCCAGCAACTGCTAGCTGTCCACCAAATCTGCTTCCCCTTCTGACTTTTTGGTAGGGAACTGGGCCATGTGATGAAGTTTTAGCCAATAAGATCCAGAGAACAAAATATGCTACTTCCCAAGCTTGCCTTAAGGTGGGACAAAAAAATGTACCTTTATGCAACTTACATTAACAAATTTACTGAATAAAGATGTCAACAAAATAAATTACTTTTAATCACTAATGCATCGGTTTTCCAACCAGGGAGGTGCATTTGAGTCAGAGAGAGAGCATCTTTACACCACAGATGACCAGAACCTATCCTAAAGCTAAGAGGTCAGAATCTCCAGGTGGAGGTTCAGGTCTGTTTCTGTTCCCCAAGCTCCCGGTGGCTCTGGAGAGCATCCTTGGAGAAGAACCAGGGCACTGAAGGACTATTTGAAGCCATCAATAAGGACAGGTGGCTTTCTAATCTTTCATCTGACAGTATCACCTGTTGAGTTCACATGAACTTCAAACGCATTATTCACTTGCAGGCCAAATCAATCCTTGAAGTAGCTCAAGAGACTATGATCACTCCCACGTTAGGGCAAGCTGAGAGAAGCGAAATCACTGGCCTTGCCCGAAAACACCTGAGCAAGCCCCAAAGCCAAGGCTAAAATTAGTTCGCGCCTTAAATGCCAGATTTATTGAGGCCTGACGTCAATCAAGCACAAAGTGTTAGAAGGCAGATGAATGAACGAGAGGCAGACACTCCCCACACCGAGCCTCCGCCCCCAGGGGCAGCGGGCCCTCCTCTTTCTCAGGAGGGCAGGGAAGAAAAGAAGGTGCTGCGCACAGACCAACCTTCTAGTGCCTCTGCCTGGAGGTCTGTGATTCTAGAAGACCCCTCTCCACAAGGCAGAGCAGCCTTGAGCCCTCCCCTCACCCCAAATCCCAGTAGGAACTTCTTAGCCTTGGCCACACATCATAATCACTTGGGGAGCTTTTAATACTAAGTGCCAGGCCCACTCTAGACCAATTACAATGCCATCTCTGGGGAGGGGTCCAGGCACTTGCAGTTTTTAAAGCTTCCCAGGTGCTGCTAATATGTATCCAGCAGGTGAGAATCAATGCCTTAATTCCTCAACTTTATGTCATGAAAGCCCGGATCTAAAAGTAGCCCATCTTAGTCCATGGGACAGACAGTACACTGCCGCAAACCCAGCAGGGAGCAGAAAGCACTTAGGAAGAATCTTTACTACAAGTCAAAACACAAAGAGAAAGGAGCACTAAGAACCACGGGAGTTCAGAGGAAAAGACGATTTTTAGTTGGGACAAAGAATTCCTCAGTAGAGATCTCAAAGGTCAGCAGGGTTTGAAGGCGAGAGACATGAGCCACGGGTTCTAAGGAACTAACTTGCTGAAGAGGTTAGCGTGGATGTCTTCCAAAAGAGCTCGAAGTTTAGTCTCAGCCTCGTGTTCAGCAACTGTCAGCTTTTCCCCAGTATCCCGTCGGACAGCTACAAACTGAGAGCTCTTCATATCACGTGGCCCAACTTCCAGTCGAATCGGAACTCCCTAGGAAACAGAAAGGCAGTTAAGACGACGCATGCATGTCCCCACTGAACACACAGTGGGCAAACACAGGCTTACAGTGGTGAGTACGCACACCACAGAGTTTATTCTGGTGTTATTATTATTTACTGTATTGCTTATTTGTATTACAACTATAATCCTACCTTTGCCCACCCATATATAGACTTAATTTAATGGCTTTATTGACAATAAATCATAAAAACCCCAAAACAAAGGCATACACAAACAGTAAGAAGAAGCAGGTAATATTACTGAACTACTACAAAAACCTACTCTGATAAGACATAAACCTAAGAAAATATACTGCCTGAGGTTTACTAATCATAAACAAGGGCTTCAAGATCATTTTTTATTCTAACATAATATAAATGAGCTTCCTCAAAAACGATTTCAAATTTAGCAAATGTGCTCAACACTTAGTTTCAGTGAAGAACTCATAACTATCAAAACAGAGAAAAGTAATGAGAAAGACTTGCATCTTATAAAAATATACATAAAGAAAATCTACATCCAAACTGGGAGTAAAAGATGCAACGGAAGAATTTACCTTGAGTTCCCAGTGATTGAATTTCCAACCTGGAGAATAGTTATCTCGCAAATCAGCTCGAACGCGGATATTAACACTGAGCAATCGCCTTCGATAATCATTGCATTTTGCAACCAGAGCATCTCTGTCTTCTTCAGAAAGTGCATTTGTAATGCCACAAGGAATGACCACCACCTGGAACCCAGCACAGCATACATTCAAGCAGAGAAACAGCATAGAGAAAGTGCTTATAAATCCTAACCCAAATCCACTTGGTGTGATTTCTAACTTTACACAGAGTACCACTTAGCTGCACACTGCTTGTCTATGTTAAATGCATTTCCATTTGACCTATTGTACTTCATTTAACCCGTTACAAATCATTTCAAAAAATTATTTCTAAAAAGTTTTATATCAAGTAGCTAATAACTGAAAGAGTAAAAAACAAAGAACACAAGTGATATACACAGTTACACAACCAAGGTCTCCACTGTACCCTATGTTGCTTCTGTATCGGCGAAATTTACTTGAATGATATTCAGAAAGTCACCTTCTCAGATTTCCGCTAGTAAATATATTTTACAAAAGGAGTGATAACAGAAATACTTTCTTACCTGAACACAGGCTACACGAGGAGGTAACACTAAGCCCATGTTGTCCCCATGAACCATGGTCATGACACCAATTGTCCGAGTGGTCAGGCCCCAGGAGTTCTGATAGGCAAACTGCTTTTCTCCTGGCGTCTTTGGATCTTCAAAAATGATTTCAAACATTTTGGAAAAATTCTGCCCTAAATGATGTGATGTTGCTCCCTGAAATAGAGAAATATGAGCTTTAATTTTAATCATCTATGATGCCTTCAAAAATGAGTGACACTAGACCTATTTTATCTTCCTTGGTTTTTTACATTAAATACATTTTGAACGCATAACCGGTCCCCCGGAGACGAGGTCGGTAGGAAGGTGCACAGAAGTCAAGGCTGTGGGCAGCCCCTCTCCAAGGAATCTCGTTGGCCACAGAGGTTGAAAAGGATTCCACGCCTTGGTAATGCAGGACCCAAGCCCTGACTTAACTGACCTTGGCGACTCAGAGAAATGGGGCATTCATGCTTGAGATTAGAGTGTGGTCTATAAAGCACGCGAACTACTGACTTCTTAAAAGTCTTCTCCTCTGAGGACAGAAGGAATTTGATGGCTCGAGGCGTGGGCGGCGGTACCTGGATAGCCCTGCCGCTGGCAGATATGAAGGCCTCCACTGTGGTCGTGTAGTCTCCTCCTGCAAACTTCTCCTTCTCAGTTTTTCTTCCTTTTACAACAGGAATTGCCAGGAGTTCTTCATACACCTGAGCATATAAGTCAAGTATCTGCAAGACCTGCAACAACATTTTAAATGCAATGTATGATATATTTATTTATTACAGATCTGTAAACTATTGTGGTGAGAAAAGCCCTTCAAACTATAAAAACCATTTTTTTTAACAGAAAGGTTAAAGCAGCCGGCATGAGTTTATTAAGGAAGACATTCCAATAAAGTAGTGTGCAAAGAAGTTGAAGAAATTTTTAAAACCTATTAAATTCAGAATGTAAGAGAAAATTAATGCTTTTGAAACCTATACAATAACCAAGTGAAAATCTCCTGAAGAATAATTAATCTCACCCATGAAATTATAATTTCTGCTACACCCTGAAGTCCAAAAATACTTCCATGTGAAAATTTAAAACAGCATTTTCTAATAAAATTTCAATAAGTAGTTTCTTCAAGTGCACATTTGAATTCATTACTTTTTTTCTCTAAACATTAAGGTGACACAATTTTAAGTAACAAAATAATCTATACCAATACATTCTTTTAACGTTACTTTGAGATCAGATCAAATTTCAGCTTAGAGTTGTTGATAACCTACGGACGGCACTGCATTCCTCAAGGCTGGGAAAAGAATACAACGCACAGCGTGGACGGTGACAGAAAGGACAGAACGGTGAGGACGACCTCTCCTCATACCTCCTCTGCTGCTTCTTCAAAGGTGGCAAATGCACTGTGCCCCTCCTGCCACAGGAACTCGCGCGTGCGCAGGAACGGCTGCGGGTGCTTGAACTCCCAGCGCTGGAGAGGCGGGAAGACAATTTGACCATTAGAGCTTTATAGTTTTAGTAACAGTTTTATGTGTAAGTAGCCAGAAATCATAACTGTGATCCAAAGTACTTCAAAAATGCTCCCATACTCTTGACCCTTTGAATAAATATACAAGGAAAACCAAAATGTGCCTTTTGTGAAATGATGAGTCCGCGGAATAATGGAAAGACAGAGAAGGGGTGTGCACCTACCACCACGTTGCACCACTGGTTGAGCCTGATGGGCAGGTCCCTGTGTGACTGCACCCACTTCGCGTAGGAAGGATACATCACTGAAAGGTGCAAGAACAAGCGGGTTAGACACTGCGGGTTCACTGCTCCCTGAAGGCTGCTAAGAGTAAGAGCTAAGCTGCAACATAATGAATGGGATTAGAATGTGTGTTTGTGTAAATGTGTTTCCAATGTTTGTAACGGTCAGTGAATGGTAATGATATGCATTTCATACAGTGGATTAGTCAAGGAAATAAATCTATCTAAACCTGACCATGTTCTGTATTCTTAGCAATGAGATTTCATTTAACATTTAATTTCTTTTCTGCTGTTTTATTTTTTTAAATACTAAATGAAAATATAGTATATACCATGTTCTATGTTAAGTTCTTTGCATTCATTATCCTGTTCAATTTCACATTCAACTCACAAAGTAGCTATCACAACCTCAGTATTAAAGATGTGAAAACTGAGGTTAGAGATGTTGGAGAAAGTGCTGAATCCAGCACAGCTATGGGTTAGAACTAGAATTTAGGTTAAATCTGTCTGTCTGACGTATCTACCAGAATACAAAAGCTCTAGGCATAAACTGCTAATTTTTTTTTTAATCCTCACCTGAGGATATTTTTCCATTTATCTTCAAATAGAGTGGGAGGGAGAGAGAGGGATAGGGGGAGAGAGACATCGATGTGAGAGAGATGCAACAATTGGTTGCCTCCCACACGACCTTGACCAGGGCCAGGGACTGAACCACAACTGAGGTACATGCCCTTGACCGGAATCGAACCTGAAACTCTTTAGTCTGCAGGCTGATACTCTAACCACTGAGCAACTGGCCAGGGCAATGAATTGCTAAGTTAAGAAGATGGAAGTCTGATCATGGCCATGACAACCGATGACGAGTACCAGAGAACACAACTATTCCAGCTGGTATATGAAGGAAAGTGGTATCACAATCTCAATAATGCACCGATACAATGTTATACAAGAGTATGACCGGAAGTGTCAAAGAGCGAATAATCCTTAACTAAAGGTGGATAACCACTTCGGAAACACTGACAGGCCCAAAGGCTCAAACGCTGCACGGGACACTGCCACTCACTGTACGGTATTTTAGGAACGTCACGTAACCTTTCAAAGACGTTTTGACCTGCCAAATGGACATAACAACAGCTGCCTCGTCCTTCCTCACTGCACTGCTGTAAGGACGATGCAAGAAGCAAATAAGACCACTTAGTAACCTACACAAACCCTATGTGACTATAAACAATATTAAAATAAGAACAAAATTTATAAATATGATATAAAACATTAGTGTTGGCAATTTTATAACTAATTCAAAGAATAAAAATCAGTCCAAGAATAAATTCCTTGAAAAGTCCTGGAAAATTATAGCACAAAAACAAAATGATGAAACTGTTAAAAAAAACACACAAAATCTTTACCGTACTGCTAAAGAGTTCTGTAATGAGTGCGGCACAGAGAATGAAATTCCACACTCCTGCAGACTGCATTCACCGTGGCACGTGCACTCATTAAACTTGACCTACTGTCAACAAGGGTTACAAACAGCGCCACTGAAGCCGGGACCCCACCCCAGAAGCTGTTTCATGCTTCCACGTGCCTTCTCCTGCTCCAAGCCCCTCCTCACCTGTTTCACTAGTGGGACGCACAGCAATGGGTTCTGCCAGCTCTGTCTTGCCAGATCTTGTCACCCAAGCAACCTAGTAAGAGAAACCATTTTCCATACATTTCTAGGCAGCACTTAGAGAAGCTGCACAAATGCTGGCACTTTGCAAATTCAAAGTTTGCTCGATCAATGAAGGCGAGTTAAGATAATTACTGGTGTTCACTGTGAGAAAAGGTCGATACTTACTGTCCTCATGAATATCGACAGGAAAGTAGAAGCCACTTAATTACTTAATGCAACAAACACAAATCATAACTTACCCTGAAGGTAGAAATATTTTTTAAATGGCTTTCAATTCTTGAAAATTTCTCTACATCAGCTATTGTAATTTTCCTTTTAAATTACTATTCAAGTGTGAATGGAAAATGCCCTTTATAGTTTAGGTGGCAAAAAGTGCAAAAACAAATCAAGCCAGCTCACCTCGGGGGCGAAGTCGGCGATGTGCGTCTTCTCCCTCTCCAGGGCGCCCTGAGACACGAACATGGGGAAGTAGCAGTTTTCCACACCAAGCTTCTTGATCTCAGCGTCGAAAAATTCCTTGATGGACTCCCAAATAGAGAACGCCCAGGGACGGAGGATGTAGCAGCCACTCACATCGTAATATTCAATCATTTCTGACTTTGTGATGACCTTTTGAAAAGAAAAATATAGTCTTTAAGGCCTAAACTGAACCAAAACTAAGAGTACAGGTGCCAGGAGCGTGATAACCAAGCTTCCAACCTGGAGGCTTCTGTCGCTGGTACGTCCTCTGCACGCGCGTGCAAATGGACCTTCCTATGCTCAGAAACACCGGGACCGTAAGCTCCTCGGAAACCTGGATTCTGATCTTGCTTCTGCTGCTACTATCTTTGGACTAACCCCTTTATGTCCCCATAAAAAGTAAAATAAAAATCAAGTAATGACTATCTCACTGGGCTACTTCTTGACTCAACACTTTATGGGAACATGCTTTGGAAACTGTGACATGCTAAATGACTATACTGTGTATTATTATTATTATTGTTATCATTTTATCCTCACCTGAGGACATTTTTCCATTATTTGTTCAGATAGAGTGGGAGGGAGGGAGAGAGAGAGGAGGAGGAGAGAGAGAGAGAGAAAAAGAGAGAGAGAGAGATCGATCGACGTGAAAGGGACACATCGAGTGGCTGCCACCCATACAACCCAACCAGGGTTGGAGACAAACTGCAAATGAGGTACATGCCCTCAGCAGGAACCGAACCTGGGTCTCTCTGGACTGCAGGCCAATGCTCTAACCGCTGAGCCAAACCGGCCAGGGCTATATTGTGTATTATTAAAGGCATTTTACATTATTACTTTGTGTCTGGACTTCAGAACCAAAAAGTCACCTCTGAGAAATTTAAGATAAAAATCAACTGAATGCATACTCACTTGAGAATACCAATCTGCAAAATTTTCTTCTTTTTTTGCCTCAAGACCCAACCTGCAGATATGTCAAGTAAAACATAAATTTCTTAGTTTAGCTATTGCTTCTAGGTTGAATGAAAATAAACCTCTAAAGTTCAAAATAGATTCGTTTTTTCCTTAACACGAGTTATTTCTATATTTGTACCTCTTCTAAGATCATTCCCAAGAGAATGTTTTAAACCTAGAAAACAGTTCAGTCGTCTGTGGAAAGGTGGTGAGAGACCACCCACCCGCTAGGGAAGCCAAGCCTGGCAAGAGCTGTGACTGCAGCGCAGACATCCCCTTCACCCGGCCGCTGTAAGGTCATGTATTTGTACATTACTTGTTCACACGTCAACATGAGAAACATCGATCAGCTGCCTCCTGTACGTGCTCTGACTGGGGATCGAACCCTCAACCTAGGTATGTGCCCTAGGGAGGAACTGAGCCCACCACCTAGGTATGCGCCCCAACCAGAAATCAAACCCGCCACCTTGTGGTGTACAGGATGGCACTCCAACCACTGAGCCCCCAGACAGGGCCGCCTTCTCCCCGTAAGAGCTGATGCATCAAACACCTGCACTGCCGGGGGCGCTCCCGAGCTCCGTTACCTGGTCTGAGCCCCCAGCCAGGGCCGCCTTCTCCCCGTTAAGAGCTGATGCATCAAACACCTGCACTGCCGGGGGCGCTCCCGAGCTCCGTTACCTGGTCTGAGCCCCCAGCCAGGGCCGCCTTCTCCCCGTTAAGAGCTGATGCATCAAACACCCGCACTGCCGGGGGCGCTCCCGAGCTCCGTTACCTGGTCTGCTTCCGCGGCCCCTGCCCTTCTCCTCCTCCGCTGGGGGGCAGCCCACTGCCTTGGTTTTTGGACGGTTCTTTCTTTGAGCCATCATCTTGTTTTTGAGGCTTATTCTGCTTTTCAGATTTATTTTCTTTTTCTTTCTTTTTCTTGTCTTTGTCCTGGGCCCCGGCGGCAGACACGGGCTTGTACTCGGCGCCCGTCAGAGACTTGTACTGCGCCTTCAGCTGAAGGAGGCCCTGCACAGCTGCCTCCACCTGACCCTTTGGGGAGCAAAGAAGGAGGAGATGGAGTTCAGCCCAAAGCCCTGCCTACACACCAACACCCAGAGCTCATCGGCAGATCTGGAAACACAACGAAAGGCAGGGGTATGTGGTGGGGTGGAGAATGTCATGTATACCAACTTCTGAAGATAAATCAAAGAATATGGTAAACAGGGGCAGGATTGTGCAAAAGAGTGACTAAAAGAAGGCACTGGAACGGCAGTGTCCAAAAAGCAGTCATTAGCCGCATGTAGCTATTTACACTTAAATTAATCTAAAATCAATAATAAAAGTTAAAAATTCAGTTCCTCAGTCACAATGGCCGCATTTCGGGTACTCAGTAGCCCCATGTGACTGTCCCAGACAGGACTGTCCCCGAGCATTTCTATGAGAAAGCACTAGTACAGAAGATGTATTCTACGGCAATGTAAGTGGACAGCATTAAGTTACACAAGTGGGACATTTCACAATGATCTTTATTACTGGTTAAATTTCAAAATCTGTCATGGTTTACTGTTTTCCACTCAAATGAATCTGGACCCAAAAGTCCTACTTTAATATAAAGATAATACAATTAGCACAAACTGCACCATGGTTCAAAATAAAACTTGCAGACTGAAGAGCTGTAGGAGAATGAGCCAGACAAGGAGCATGGACTGTATCAGGGCCTTCAATGAGCCAGGCACCGCTGGGGTCCAGGTCCCTGTTCTCAAGGACCTTACAGACCAGCGAGAAACAACCAGCAAGAAACAGACAACTTAATTAAAATATGGTGTAGTTAAGTATCATGTCGTATGAGAATGTCCAGGCAACTCTGGCTGAGAAAGGAAGGACCGATGAAGGCTCCTCCAGAAGGCAAGCTGAGGAGCTAAAGGCTGAAATGTTGGGGAGACATTAGCCAGACTTCGCGGGCACAGTGCTCCAGGCAAAGAAAACAGCAGCTCACGGTAAACACAAAACCACAAACAAGACACCACACTAACCTTGGAAGCTTTTTCAGCTTTAAGTTTTCGAACAACTTCTCCCTGAGAAGCTACTTTGTCAAAAAGTACTTTGGCTTCTGGGGTTTCTGGACCACAAGGCTCAGAGCTTCTGGCTGAAGTCGAATCTGAGCTTTGGGACAGTGGGGGCTGGCCAGGGGCATACTCCTTCCCGGTCTCCTCTTTGTACTGAGCTTTCAGAGAGAGCAAGCGCTCCACAGCTTCACTGACTTCAGCCTGTGTTAAGAGAGAAATGTTTAATACTTTCTGAAAATGTCATTATCAAAACTGTTAATTTCTACCAAAGAATTCCTGTAAATAACCATCATGAAGAAACCCAAGTGCAAAGGAATTAAACCATCAGCCTAAAACAATAGATCGAAGTTAATGATAAGTTAAAAACATACATCATACTATAATCCTATATATGTTATCAAAATAAACAAACACACATACTCATTTAATACTGTAACTTTCCATCTTACTTATGTAAACAGACAAATAAATAACGGAACATCTAAGCAAACTGGCAGAGTCCAAGCCCTGGTTCTGTAAGTACAGGAGTCAGAATTTATAAAATCGGAGCACAGATCACCTCAATGGCTTTGCATATACAAACCTTAATTTCGAAACAGATGGTAAATATAACACCGAAAAAACAGTCTGAGCCCAACTGAAGAACAGCTACATTGTTCTTTCAAACAATTACAATGAAATGAGAAGGTATGTTGAGGTTTTGGACACTCACCTACATCTATCACCCTCTGACCCTCTGATACTTCCATGTAATCCTCATGAAAAAGAACGAAACAGCCCCACTGTGACCCAGCAGAGAAGGGGAGGCACGCGGGCCAAGGACTAGGCCAGACGCCCCCCCGAGCAGCACTGTCTAACCCTAACCGAGAGACCAGAGACGCCCGTGACCCAGCAGAGAAGGGGAGGCACGCGGGCCAAGGACCCGGCCAGATGCTCCCCGAGCAGCAGCGCTGTCTAACCCTAACCGAGAGACCAGAGACGCCTGTGACCCAGCAGAGAAGGGGAGGCAGGCGGGCCAAGGACTCGGCCAGACGCCCCCCCCCACCCCCGAGCAGCGCTGTCTAACCCTAACCGAGAGACCAGAGACGCCAGGCTTCACAAGGCAGAGGGGAAAGTGCCTGCAAATCTTCATGTCCAGGTTCCTGCCCCATCACAGCAGTGCCCCGGGGAGCTGAGAGCGACCAGGCAGGAGCCCCGAAACGATACAGGGCCAAGGAGTGCGAGAAGCACTGGTCTACCTTCCAGAAGGGCATCAAGGAAACGGCCACCACCCTCCTTGTGCAGGACGTCATGGGACGTGCTCTTGGTCTGCCGCAGCAGGCACCACGGAGGGAGAGCAGGCAAGAGGAGGAATCACACACAGAGAAGAGGGTGGGCTGCCTGATTTATACTCCTGACCTATCTCTTGTTTATAAGGTCTTTAGAATTAAGAGCATTTTCTCAGCAAAATCTGATCCTAAGAAAAAGGAGACAGTTAATCAGATATACAAGAATCAAGAAAAGCAGAAACTGCCGTCAGTTAGAAGAAAGAAAAAGAGGAAAAGGTTAAGGGGCTTTCATGCAACATTTCTACAAAAAGAAGCCTATTTGAAAGAGGTTCCATTTTACACTAAGTATTCCCACGAGTTTAAAGCCAGATGGCACACCTTTCACACAGAGAAAACAACAACGAAAATAACCTTTGGCAAGATTACAACTTGAAATATTATAAAGGAGAAAATTAAGATGGGCAAACCACTTCATTACTGAATGAGACATTCTAACAACACAGGAAAAAGAGTAAAATTCTAAAACTAGGCATGTCTGAACACAGAGAGGTTTGGTGAAGCTCTGGGCTTGACTTCATGCACACTGCCTCCCTCCTGGCCACTTAGCCCACAAACATTTCTCCGAGCAACTTAGACAGCCAGTTACACGACACAGGAGGAAGTCAGAATGCGTGTTTCTTCCCCAGCTCCTTCCCCCTGCCACTAGAGGGCGAACTACCTGTCGTTACTATTGCCAGAGCTTGGCACATGGCAGGTATAAGTAAGTGCTGACCATTATGTCAAAATGTACCAGCAGACAGTCCGCAAACAACATGTCCTAGAAGAAGGCAAGTCTACGCTAGCGGCTGGAATTCACAAGCTTCCCTACAATGTTGTCTTGGCTCCTCCCAGCACTGACCTTAGGGGCTTTTTCAGCTTTCAGCTTACGAACCACCTCGCCCTGTGCAGCGACCTCATCGTACAGAGATTTACTTTCCAGGGTACTTGCTGAGGATTTAGAAGAAACATTCTGTCCCACGATAGCAGGAGGGTTTCCAGGTTTATATTCCTGGCCCGTTGTCTCCTTATATTCAGCCTTCAAAGCCAAAAGCTGTTTGACAGCTGCATCTATGTCTTCCTTTGCTGCTTTCTTGGTTTTTAATTCACGAACCATGTCCCCTTGGGCAGCCACTCTATTGTAAAGAACCAGGGGGTCCTTTGGTGCAGCACAAGGATTAGCCACAGGCGGCGCTGGTCTTTCCTTAGTAGGAGTAGTTGTCTACGGAGGGAGAAAACCAAAAGTAAAATAATTAGTTCATATTAACTGTCTTCCCACAAAATTAAATTGAACTGATTGCTTTATGTTTCAAGTTAAAACAAAATTTTAAAATTAGATTAGAGGCCACAGCTTTTAATCTGTGTAAATTAAAAGCTTGAGTCATGAATCCCCACTGTAAATAGTTTCAAACTCCTATCTCCTAATAAACTTACATGCTTCTGCCATCCCTCGCTCAGGTTATTTACCATTTATATACCAAATTAACCAAAACAAAACTACAAGTTCCTGTCTTACCAATCAATCCTACTTCCTGAATCCATGCCCTACACTATATCCTCAACGCTCTCGTCCTCTGGCCACTTACAACACCTAATCCTATAAACAACCCACCCTCCAAACTTTTCCACTGACGCCAAATCTTCACTGACTGCCCAACTGCCAACATCTACGGATCCAGCTATGCAGCAGGTGCTCCAGGTGCCCTGGGAAAGGCAGACACCTGTCAAACACCACATGCACTACAAGCTCAAGGTGGTTCAGCTGTAACATTGGAACGTGCTACATTCCTCTCAACAACGCCTTAACTTTGCGAAGCCGGATTTTCACAACTGCTGTATTAAAAATTAAATACCACGGAAAATTACTGTGAAACAGGAAATGGTAGTGTCCAATTTGAGTCCAAGGTTGAAGAAAGAAATAAAATTCTTTCAATTTGTATACCATTTTAAAAAGCTCAGTGGTTGAGTTCGACCCATGCACCAAGAGGTTGCCGGTTCGATTCCTGGTCAGGGCACATGCCCAAGTTGTGGGCCTGATCCCCAGTGGGGGCGTGCAGGAGGTGGCTAATCGATGTACTCTCTCATCCATGTTTCTATCTCTCTCTCCCTCTCCCTTCCTCTCTCTCTAAAATCAATAAAGAAGAAAAATAAATAAATGGTAAGTGGTTCAAACAAAAAGATCAATGATCAGAGACATATTGGTAAAAGTCAACCTTTACCTCATTTTTTATTGCTTCCACTTTGGTCTTCTCCTTTGACCCGGATGTTGGCATTTCCTTTGTGTGCCCGTCAGGAATGTAGATTAAAACACAGGGCGCTTCTCTGCAACTATGTGGGCTAAAGAGAACACGCGGGGCCACAAAAGTTTATTTGAACCAAATTACGTGAACAACAATTAAACTGAATTCCGAAATTAATTCAGTGGCACAGTCCATTCTCTTATTATTCAAATCAGAGGTTCTTCTGAGTAGTTTAAAAACAGAACTACATTAATAAAAACTGACCGTGCTAATTATAAACTTCCCGTTTATGAACTTTCATAGGTGCGAACACACTAGTAACCCCAGGTCAAAAGTACGTCTACTGCCCCTGGCACCAGAAAGACCATTAGTGGATGCTGACAGTCTCACTCTTAATTCAAAAGGTAATTCATCTAGCCCTGACCGGTTAGGGCATCCGCAGGGTCTCAGGTTCAATTCCTGGTCAAGAGCACGTACCTGGGTTGCAGGTTTGATCCCCCTGTCCTTGTCGGGGCTCATGCAAGGAGGCAACCAATTGATGTATCTCTCTCTCACTGATGTTTCTCTCTCTCCATTCCTTTAAAATCAATAAAATAAAAAATTCACCCTTGGAAAGCACACAGTTCAATGATTATATAAAGTATGCAACCATCACCACTATCTAATTTTAGAATATTTCTATCACCCCAAAGAGCAACTTTGACCTTTTATCTACCACTCCCAGTCCCCCCTTCTTCTAGACACTGGCAACCATTAGCCTACTGTTTCCAGGGATTTGTTTATTCTGGACACTTCATATAAATATGTGCTCTGTTTTGACTAGCATATGTTTACAAGGTTCATGCATGCTATAGCATAAATCAGTACTTCATTCTTTTCTATGGCTGAGTAATATTCCCTTGTATGGACGGACCACATTTTGTTCATCCAACAGCTGATGAACACTTTGGCTGTTTGCACCTTCTGGCTATTATGAACAAGGCTGTTATGAGACTTTGGGTATAAGTTTTTGTGTGAACACGTCATTATTTTTCTTTCTTTCTTTCTTTTTTAATCCTCACTCAAGGACATTTTTCCATTTTTTGTTCAGATAGAGCGGGAGGGAGAGAAAGGAAGAGAGAGAGAGAGAAACATCGATATGCAAAAGGGACACATCAAGTGGCTGCCACCCACACGACCAACCAGGGCCAGGACAATCTGCAACCGAGGTACGTGCCCTTAGCGGGAACCGAACCCGGGTCTCCAACCGCAGGCCGATGCTCCAACCGCTGAGCCAAACCGGCCAGGGCAACACATCATTATTTTTCTTAAGTATGTACTTAAGAGTAGTATTGCTGTGTAAAATAGTAACTACGGTTGAAACTTTTTAAAGAACTGTCACTGTGTTTTGCAAAGTGACTGCATCATTTTACACTTCCACCAGGAATGTGTGAAGGGTCCAACTTCCCCACACCCTCCACGTTACTGTCTTTCTGAGTACAGAATCCTGGTGGGTCGTGAGTGTGACCTCGATTTGCATCTCCCTAAATAACGAATGATGCCGAGCAGCTTTTCATTGCGGATGGACCATCTGAATATCTGCTCTTGGACTATGTGAAGATGAATTATAAGATGGTTTCGTTTCAGAAATGAATTTGTTAATATTATACTGTTTCAAAGATATCGCTAAAGTCTGAAATATGAACTACAGAAGAACAAATCAAATGGAAGAGAGAACGGTCAGGTACATTATTTCAGTGGACATTCAATTTTTAAAATATGATTTCCTATAAGAACTTGAAGTATTTTCATTTGGTTGTTCAGTTCCATTTATTTACCTAATAGGTTCATAAGGCTGATCACATATGAAGAATCCTCTTCTCTGGAGTTGTATAATGTCTCCTTTCTTCAAATCCTTCAGGCAAGGATCCCCCAGCATTAGTTCTTCATGCTGTAAAGACGATAAACAATGAAAAGACACTTTCTCAAAGTCAGAGAACTAAAAACAATTCTAAAATGCAACAGTTTTCCCGGCAGCTGAAATATTCCTATTTTGAACAGTTATGTTAAAAACTTTACTACTTAAGCACATACACATACAATAAAATAGAGAAGTATTAAAACAAATAACAATTACATTTATTGTAAATTTTAAAGTTAACATTTACAAACTGACTGGCTTCAGAAAACCTTCAGGCTAATTTGTCGTGTGTCTCTGTGATGGAAGTTTCCCACGGTAACCATGGACCACGATGCACGATGCACGAAGCACGAAGCACACCAGACTGAAGAGGCATGCCAGCATCAGGGCCATACCGCCAGGATTGCTGGCTTTGAATTCCAGCTACATCATTTACTGTCTGTCCTCAGGCAAGTTACTTAACCTCTTTGTGCCTCACTTTTTATCATTTGTAAAATGAGAATGTAGTGCTTTCACATCTTTTAAATAAAATCCACCAATCTTTTCCATTTTATTTGAGAAATCAAATACTTAAAGCTAATTTTTAAAATTCTAAGGAAAAGCTGACCTAACAGGGAAAGAGGAAGCACAGTTTCTTGTAGGCTACCTTGCTGTCCCTGTTGACATACTGTTTGAAGTCTTCGTCTTTTCCCAGCACTGGCTTGGTGATCAAGTGCTCGTACGTGACGCAGATGGCTGGGATGGGGAGGGCACGAGCAGTCTCTGCGAGCCAAGTGATTTTAGTGGTTTTCTTGTAGTCTTTGTTCTCTAAATTCAATTTTCCATCAAGAGATACAATTTTTCCCTCTGCGTTTCTAGGTGTAAGATCAAAAGGTGTGTTAAAAACATAAACCCTAACTGCCATGACACTATCTGTAACAAATGGAATAGAAATTTTCGTAAAAATTTCAAACCAAACATTTGTTTGAGGTTTTTTTTTTTGGTACGTGCCCCTAGTGGGAACTGAACCCAGGACTCTCTGGTCTGCAGGCCGATGCTCCAACCGCTGAACCAAACTTGCCAGAGAAGTTTGAGTTTTTAATATGTGCCAGGCATATACTGGTTAAGAGATTAATAAAATAGAATCCCTGCTTTCAAGATACTAATAATCCCCAGACAACAGACCACATAGCTCTGATGAAGAGCATGAACTTATGTACAAACTTTAAAGTCAGCCACACAAAGCATTAAAACAATCTGAAATAATATATTTTAAAACATTTAACAATTATGTAAAGTCATATGCAATGACTGAACAATTAAGATGCCAGCGTTTACATAAATTAATCTTAGTTACATTTCTGTAATCTTAAAATGTAATTACAGCCCTGGCCGGTTTGCTCAGCGGTTAGAGCATTGGCCTGTGGACCAGGGAGTCACAGGTTCGATTCCAGCAAAGGGCACGTACCTCAGCTGCAGTCTGGTCCCAGCCTAGCTGGGGTCACGTGGGTGGCAACCAACTGATGTGTTTTCTCACATCGATGTTTCTCTCTCTCTCTCTCCTTCACCCCCATTCAATCTGAAGATAAATGTAAAAATATCCTCAGGTGAGGATTAAAAAAAAAAAGTTAAATGTAAGTATAGCACACGGTAATCACTGGAAAGTTCATATACATCACTAAACAATTAATTTTAAAGCAAATTTTAGGATAAAGAACATGTTACACATGTAAGCTCTAGCTAAAGAATCCTTCCACCAGGCAACTGTAAAATGAGAAGGAGATGATAAAAAGGGACCCTAAAGCCTGGCAGGTGGGCTTAGTGAGTGAGCATCGATCCTGCTCCAAGAGGTCGTTGGTTTAATTCCCAGTCAGGGCACATGCCCAGGGTGTGAGCCAAACCCCCAGTGGGGGGTCTGGAGGAGGCAGCCAATTCATGTTCTCTATCATCAATGTTTCTCTCTCTTACCCTCTCCCTTCCTCTCTTTCTCTAAAATCAATAAAAACACACATTAAAAACAACAACAACAACAAAAAAAAACGGGATCCTAAAGTAAAAGAACTATTTTTATTATCTAGATGAAGTAATTCTCGGCATCACATATGTGCAAAAGCTATCCTGATACCCTATTAGTAAACTGGAGCATATATGGAAAAACATTAGCATCAAGAATTTGCAGTATTTATGCCTGGGCAGATTAGTCAGCCATATGAATATATCTGAACCAAGTAATTTTTTTTTTTTAATAATTTTTTTTTTTTTAATCCTCAACCGAGGACATTTTTCCATTTTTTGTACAGACAGAGTGGGAGGGAGAGAGAGGAAGAGAGAGAGAGGGAAACATCGATGTGAAAGGGACACATCGAGTGGCTGCCACCCGCACGACCAACCAGGGCCGGGGACAAACTGCAACCGAGGTACATGCCCTTAGCGGGAACCGAACCCGGGTCTCTCCGGACCGCAGGCGGACGCTCTAACCGCTGAGCCAAACCGGCCAGGGCCCAAGTAATTTTTAATAAGTGAATAAACATAAAATACTTTTACCCTATTATTTACTTGAAATCAAACAGAAAATTCTTACTTGTGTATTTTAGTAATGTTGATGTTGCCCCAGTTTATAAACGTCACCATCTCCCCCTCTGAGAAGGTCTCTGCATCGGCACCTTCAATGAAAACTCGGGAACTGTACCACACGGGCTTCGTGCCCACGTCAGGATTCTGAGTGATAAAAAGGAGAGTGTTGGTTAAAACGACAATGTACTGAACCCAGTGTGGGAATTTATATCTTCTTCCATTTTCTTCTGTAACCAACCGAAGTTGTCTGTGTTAGCTGGAATTCCCAGCCCTGTGACACTGGGTCAGTCAACTGACCAATCACGCTAATGAAGTCAGATGAGGTGGCCTGCCCAGCCGAGATCACTTCCAGAGTAAACCATTCTGCTTTCAGAGCTATGACAGTGTTCTGTGCCGCTCAGTGTCCCTCCAACCAGAATCTGCTTTGCTATCCTCAGAATCTCATTCCGAAGCTGGGGCTGCAGATTACAGGACAACAGAGGTCACACCTTCGCACAAAACTGTGGACATTTCGTGTTTTGGAAGACAAATTTTAAAGTTAGAACTACATATGTATAAATTTTCTGCCTTTTCAGTATGTATCACAGGAAGAAGATAAAGAGACCTGGGGAATGAAAAGAATACTATACTTCTTAAATTGCAGGGTTTTGAGAGGATTCAAAAGAAAAACATGTACGAAGATCCTCTGAAATGAATGTCAGACAGAATGTGTTTAATTGTTCAGTGGGACCAATGCATTTATATTACGCTGCACTCAGAAGAGAACACTGGCAGGCTGAACAGAGAACACTCCCATCAGGGAAATGGTCAAGCTGAGTGACCCACTCGTCATTTAAAGTGCCTTCCTCAGCGATCCGTTCTTGCTCAATAACGAGCAGCGACTTCATTTATGCTATCCGACTACAACGGTCATTTGAACAAATAGGCATCCTTAAGAGGTTTATTCTCCCCGTTTACATTTTAAAATGTTCAGTAAACTTCACATTTAAGCTAACTGTAGTAGGTGATATATCAGATACCACTGTTCACCTAGTTGAACAATCAGCCAAATAAAGGCAAAGGCAAATCAAACACACACTCTCTCCCCCCCATATCTTTTTATGATTTCCCTAAAAATAAATCTTTAAAATTACAAACTAGCTAATATACACAGAAGGGCAATCACATAAGGCTACAACCTAGAATATTGACACTTCTGCATGGTGCACATCATCTTATGTATCAATGAGTCTAGGAACACAACACAGTGATGAGTACGGTTATTAGTCCATCAGTCTGTTAGTGTACAACTGAGTCTTTGAACATAACCTTCATTATATAATGAAGATATTTACAGACAACTCACAAAGGATAAAAAGGATCTGCCTTTGCTTCAAGACAACAACCGTGGCTTGACTAAGAGGAACTCCTTGCTCCTCGTGTGTACGACTTACATTCTGATTTTAGGCAGATACCATTTTCACTGCACTGATACTTTCTAAAACAGAGCAAAGGGCAATGTGATAAACTCAGGATACAAGCTGTGACCTAATATGACTCGGTCCAATGTTCTGGCTTAAAGACAAAGGTAAGAAGCAGTGAACACCCTAGTTAATAGAGGTGCAGCTAAGTTGTCACACAAAGATAAGAGTGTGAACTGTAACCGTCATCTTTCAGACGGGCTCCAGGAAGGGATGCATTCTTATTGTTTCTTATCCTCATCCGAGGACATTTTTTCCATTTTTTGTTCAGATAGAGTAGGAGGGAGAAAAACAGAGAGAAACATCGACGTGAAAGGGACACATCGAGTGGTTGTCACCCGCACAACCCAACCAAGGCTGGGGACAAACTGCAACCAAGGTACATGCCCTTAGCGGGAACCGAACCCAGTTCTCTCTGGACCGCAGGCCAACGCTCTAACTGCTGAGCCAAACAGGCCAGGGTGAGATGCATTCTTACTACATGCTGATACGCTCTCTCTCTCTCCAGGATAAAAAACCAGGCTCCAATTGAGTGTAACAGTTCCATGTGATGCGCTATAGACCCTACTAGGATAAATTTCTCCAGTAAGAAATCCACAAATACATTACTCCAATTTGTATCATATCCTCACAAATAGTATTGGATAGAAATGATCCCCAAATCACACTATGGCCACCAAGGCACATTCTCTCTTATTTGTCATCCTGCCCCTTCTATTAGAACAACACTGTGAGTCTGCAGGGTGACCTTTGGGTGTTTGGCCACTTCTTTCATCTCCTCCTGAGCTTCAGGGATGTGCACCGGGATCACCTCTTTCTTCAGTAATGCGACATAGCGTGGTGCCACTGGGTCAATAACCTGCAACAAACGTGCCCACAGGTCAGACATTCATACTCTTTTACATTTCACAAATAAATTAAATGATAGCACAGGAATACCAACTGGCTTTCTTTGTTACTGCATTTACCATTTTTTAAAATTCATCTACTAACTCCTCTCCAGCATTTTGACGGTCAAGTAGAAAAGAGAGAAACAATCGCAAATGAAGACGACAGGAAGGACGGAGAGCGCCCTCCAAGAGGAGACTGACAGGTGACAGGAAACCAGCTGGTTAAAGCACACTGTTAGAATATCTTGAAATAATTTTCAGCCCTGGGATTAGAAGGTAAGGAAAAATTACCCTGTGGGTTATATATGAATCCTCCAGGTAAATATGCTAGTCAATGTTGTATTGTTGGAAAACTCCGTTTTGAAGGAATATAGATATTATGTGTTTTAGTGTAATGTCCTATAATCAGTTTTAGGTAACACATCGCCATCAAAAGCAGAACAGCATTAAATCACTATAATAAGGCAATTCTGTAGACTGAAAATAAAAACAAAATAATTCTACTTGTCTGTATGCTGCACATGCAGAGACCACTGTCTTCCCAGTCCTAGCAAGGGCCTGGCACATACAGGTAATCCCCCAATACCTGCAGGTGACCTGAACGACTTGTCCCGCTCCTATGCTCTGACCTACTCAACCTCCAAAACAGCAGTCGCGTGGCCTTCTGGAGCTGATGTGTTTTGCTCACTTCACTGCTCAATTTAAAATCATTCATGATGACCAATCACAACAGCAGTGTTTAAACACTAAAAGAAACATATGGAGGGAAAATCTAGGAAGAAGCAAATGTATCTAAGTAAAGTAAGAGAAGTTATTTTTCCCCATTAGAAGGATGCAGGAAATAGCAGTATAGCTAATAAAACTCGGCTGCGTTTGCTTTGTTTTTTACTCGTGGGATTTGTTTTGATATTTTGTGGTCGGGTTTTTCGTTCGTTTTTGTTTTTTGCTTGCTTTGAGTGTTTTTCAACTTCTGAGAAAAATGATGTTTTGGAACTTCTGAATAAACTCAGAGAAGAAGCCGTCCTCAGAGGGGCACTCGCAGAAGTACGAGAAGCTGGGCACCTTCCCCTGCCTTCTACCTGCTTCTCCGTCAAGCCAGCACGAGGTCAGCACCAGCCCCTCTGGGATGGCTGTTTCACCCTTGCCTTCCTTGAGACTTAAAGGCCATTCTTCCTACTTAAGGGTTTTCTGAGGACGCTCAGAGATTCAACTTGTCACCACCGGCTTGGTGTTTAAGCCAGTGAGAAACAACTGTTTTACAGAAGCTGAAACCAGACAACCCAGCCCGAGAACCTACCGGCGCTCACTGCAGCTGTTTCCCTGACTGACAGAGAGCAGAAGACTGTTTCTCGCACTAACTAACTAAAATAACCACTTAGTTATCTTGGCTAGCACAGATTTTCAGGCGACTTAAGCCGAAAGGACTATGATTCTAATGACCTTGCATGTGGAAATCTATTTTTAACAAGCATTCCACAGGATGGTGAGGATCAGACAAGTTTGGGAAACCTTGGATTAATAGATTTAAAATGGCCTGGCTGGTGTGGCTCAGTAGCTGAGTATCAATCCATGCAGCACCAAGAGGTCACCGGTTCGATTCCCAGTCAGGACACATGCCCAGGTTATGGGTCAATCCCCAGTGAGAGACATGCTGGAGGTAGCCAGTCAATGTTCTCTCTCTCGTCGATTTTTCTATCTCTCTCTCCCTCTCCCTCTCCCTTCCTCTCTAAAAATCAATGAAGAAAAAAAAGATTTAAAACTTTTTCAGCCCTAAAATTGTACAGTTCTAAAAATCTCTGCATCAGTTTTCCATTTACTCCAAAAAGCCTATGGATTTCAAGGAGTTGCCCTGACAGACACCAAGCAGAGGGGACAGGACAGGCATGTGACTGAAGAGGCCCATTACCACACTTCCCCCACGACAGCTACACTTTTATTCACTGAGGTTTCCTCACCAATATTTCACTTAAAGAGAGACTTTTCTTATTTGAGGGGCAGGGGAAGAAGTCTCTACATACTTTATTTATTAGTTGGAGGCAGATGCAAGGGGGTTGGGATGAAACTTGGGGAAACATTGTTATATCATCATACTACTAAAATACAAACAAAAATTTTAAATGAAAGCAGTAAAGAAAGGTTGAGGAAGGCAAATAATAGCCCTTGAAATGAACACCTTAAAGTGGTGACTCTTCAGCCTTGATGGGAAGTTGAAATCTTACACACAAAACCAAGAAGAGAACTTGTGAGGCAGACACAGAGTAAGCATTAGAATGTCCCCTAGCAGTATCAAGATTTAAAATGAAACTGTGTAGCTATATTCCATTTATTAAGAGGCAGAAAAATTACATTCTAGTTTCCTGAGAAGATTTGAAGTCAGGCTAAGAAAACAAGGACCAGTCTTTCCAGGGGGACACTGCAAGTGTGACCCACCCCCACCTCACTGTGCCCTCCCCCATTTCCCTTCTCTCCCGCAGCGGGTACAACACTGAGACCAGACCAGCGCGCCCGGAGTTAATGCCCTTGGCTTTCGCAGAAAAGGCCTTGGAAAGGCCGAGTTACTGAGCGCGGGAGGGGAGAGCATCGGCAGAGGGATGTCTCAGCTCCGCCCTCGGTGCTTCTGCACCACACCAGGTGCTCAACTCGGTCCACTGACGCTTCACTTACATCTGTTTGCAGAGCTCGGAGGGGAAGACAGAGCAAGCTACGGATTACAAAGCAGTAGTGAGAGCATGTGACACGGACCCCAAAGAGATCTGTCCCTCAGAGGTCACAGGGACGTGGAAAGGAAAGGAATGTAGGAAGACCTCGTGAAGGCCAGCAGTGGGGACAAAGAGGTACGTGAGCAGAATGACTTCTTTTTTACTACCATTCAAAGTGTTAAATCCTGTTATGCTTTTTAAATCTTATTTTTCAATTACAGTTAACATTCAGTATTATTTTATAGAGTTCCAGGTGTGCAGCATAGTGACTGACACTTACATCCTTGACAAAGTGGCCCCGGTAAGTCTGGCACCCACCTGGCACCACACAGTCACCACAGCATTACTGCCTACCTTCCCTGCGCTGTGCTTTACACCCCCAAACTGTGCTCTATTTTTAAGATGGTGCTTAATGATAAAAAGATCCCCCCAACTTCGGGATAAACAAAACAGATGGGAAAATACTCACCTACCTGCACACCCTCCCACACCTCCACAAAATAGACATGAAGGCTTTGTTTTGTTTAAAGGCACAAATCCACAAGTATTAGAACAGAAGAGATAACCTCAAAATTCTGGAAGCTAAAGAACAACATATGGAAGCATCCCCTTTGCTCCATACAGCCAGGCAATTGCCTCTTCCCTACTTTAACAAAAGAAAGGAAGTTTCGTCTGTGAAAAAGGGTGTCTAGAACGCGGCAGACACAGGAACAGCTGATGGAGGGTACTCGGTGACTGTCTGATACGACATGTGATGGCCCTCGGCAGTCTTCCGTTTGGCCCCAAAGCCCTGGCAGCCAGGACTTCACACTTCCCACTCCACACTAAACATGAGCAGATAACCAGTGCTAACTGGACATCTGAAAAATGCCTTCAAGATCAAAGAAAAACGAAAATAAACAACCTGGAGGAAAGAAGTGCTATAAGTAAAAAAATACTATTAACAAATATTATAACCATGAAATAGGAAGAGGAAGTTATTTTGTAAAATCAGAGAACAAAAGCGAAATCTTGGAACTCTGAGCCCATGATGAACAACTCAAGGGTAGCTGAGCAGCTCTACCAGAAAGTGGAGCCAAATGAAGAGGGAGCAAACAAAACAAGACGACCAGTCCAGGAGGCCCAACATTTGCTCAAGAGAAGTTCCAGAGAGAAGGAAGAAAACTTAGCAGAGGGAAAAAAAACCCTAAGAAAGAATTTGAGGAAATTTCCCAGAACTGCAGGAATGAGCTTATAGATCGGAAGCCACACGTTCTTCCGACAGGCATGGGTGAAAACAGACCCAGACTGCAGCACATCACCATAAAATTTCAAAGTGAAAATACAGGCCACAGACAACGTCTCAAAAATCTTCATCCCAGGCCCCCTTCTCAGGGAGCTGCCGGAGGGTACAGTACAGCAGGGCAAGAGGTAACAGAAAGAGAAGGAAGATGCCCAAACCAGACGACCCACCACGGACGAGAAGGGGACTTGCGGGAGCTGAGGAAGACTGAGCTGGAAGGCAGTCCGCCCAGATCAGGTCCCAGCAGCAGCACAGAGGGCTGTGGCAGAGACGTCTCCCAGGCGAACATTGGTAGGAAAGTTGGAAAATGTGTGCAGAGTTTGAGACAGAATTAAAAACTAAACAAATGGCGGTGGGGGAGAGACAATCAACTACAAGAAAACCAGCAAGTTATGAGAAAAAGTAAAAGACATCATATTCCACGGTGGGAAGTCAACTGATGATGTCTAGAAGTGAAAAATCAAGGAGTAGCAACACATGTCATTTAGAGAAATAGGCAATAAATACCAAAAGAATGATCTGAAAGTGATTTATTTAGGGAGAGAAAATGGAAGCAAAGAAGAAAGAGGAATATGCAGAACTATTTGACTACAGTGAAACGTCTGTCATATATTCGAACTAAGTATACATCTGTAACTTTATTAAACCTTAAACCTTTAAAATTTGGATTAATAAAAGGTACACCAGTGTCACCACTGTAAATTCTACTTTGTATTTATTATTAGTAACTGCAGCAACAAAAAGAACCAATTAATCATTCCTTTATGTATTGAAAAACTGAACACAAAAGACTAAATAAAATAAATTCAAGACACATGCGAGACAAGCAACTACTTCTCGAGGCAAAGCATCAGCAAATCAAGCAGCAACACGGAAGTTTACAGAACACAATCACAGACAGCACCGCTTAAAACACAGCACTTGACAGATTTGCCTTATTATAGTGTCCAAGCATCTGCTTCCAATTAGTAATATTAACAACATCAATATGCAGTATTCCTCATTTGATGTTCATTTCAGAAACATTTTAAAAAGCAAAATTCAGTAAAGACACAGGGATTACAGTTAATGAACTTTCGATACAGCTCAATGGCATCTGTAACTTTAAAACTCTGTGCTCTCAGTACACCAGGGAACAGCAGAACAGGGTTAGCCAATCTTCCCTTTGCCACTGAGAAAACCAGAGGACGTTTTTCAAAACTAGGAATAGTGCATTTTCAGTGGGTTTGTAGAAGCACGTCTTTTCTATAAATGTGATTGTGTTTCAAAGCTGTAAAACAGCTCAGGTTATAAAATGTAATGTGCTAGAAGCTATGTGCTAAGTAAAGCAAATAAAAGCATTAAGTAATACCTTCTTACAGAGAGCTCGCAGCTTGAAAGCAGAAAAATGAAATGCAGTGTTCATAAAAGATTTAAGGAAAAAACTGCCACAATTCCCCATAACTCCAAGTTTGCTTGTTTAAGTCATTGTTACTTGTTTGGTATAGTTAATAGGCTTAATGCTCTTTATACAGTTTAAAAAAGGAAAACATTCCATTTTCCTGAAAGTGCACAATGATAAGATTCTTTACAAAATTTTCTCTACCATAAGCACACAAATGAATTCTATATGTAGGAGTTAGACATGAGAAGAGAATGAAGAGTCAAAACAAGTACCTTTTTGTTAAATGCCCAAATTTTATCCCATTCCATATTCACAACTGAACGTGAGGAGCCCTAGAAAAACAATAATAAAATGACTTAAAGAATAAGAAGTATTAATTAGAATATTTTCTTTAACTTAAGCTATGCATGTTAGAAAAAATAAGTCCAATAATTGCTTGCAAGTTTATTTCTGTTGGAATATAAACTTATTATGTACAAGCTAATTCAGTACCTTCAACAGGTGAAAGTCAAGAGATATAAACTGCACTGGGTTAAAATACTGCAGCTGTCTTTGTCCAACCCTAGCTCAGGAGTTTAGGACATTCTCAGTTCTCCATTACTATGAACAATGCTAAACATACTCTTTTTAAAAAACACTCTGCCCTTGCATTATAAGAAACAAACAAGGAATAGGAAGAACAGAAATAATAATGACTAAAGGGATATTAAGAGACACTTGAAAATTCAAGCAGAGAATCTGGGGAAAAAACCCGTCACTCACCTGAGCAGCAATAAACTGTTTCAGCCCTTCAACTGTCATCCCTCTTCTCAGCACACCACGAACCGTAGGAAATCGTGGGTCATCCCTGGGAAATGGGGACATTTTTAAGTACCAAGGAGATTTTTTAAATGTGTAGACGCAGAGAGTACAAACTACATTAACAGATATTATCTTCAGCTGGTTAAGTACTTGGACCAAGAGCTGACTGTAATGACTGGGTAGACCCGCCCCCAGAGCCCAAGTTCGTGGGAGAGGAAAGCTGCTCACTGTCCACTATTGCTCACTAAAATAAATGCATTACCAGAAACAGTACAAGCGCGTTTGAGAAAAGACACAGGACGACATCTTCAAATACGGAAAATCCAGGCATTAAACATTAGCTGCCTTTTTATTTAACAAGCGAGTCTCTAGTCTACATATGATCATGAGACCAGATCTATGAAGGACCAGAGACTCACAAGTACTGTACTTTTCTATTAAACACTGAGATCTGCAGGGGATGTGCCTCATGTGTTTTTCATCCCCATGCACCATGGCACACAATGTACTCTATGTTCACAGCACTGAAACAAAGGGGAAGGGCGACCGGATACACCGGAACAAATAGACGAGGACCAGAAACCCCACAGGCCTAGCACTCCACCTCCTCCCATCCATCCCCCACATCCCTCAGAGCAATTCAGAAGTCACTGAGACACCACGCCCTTACTTCCTCTCCATTCCAGGGAGCAGTAAACATACCATCCATCCACTAGTCCTTCGTTTACGAACCACGTGAGTTTTCTTTTGGACAGCACTGTGTTGTTGAGATTTAGCCGACTATATTCCCAAATATATGGTTTTCTTATGCCTAAAGCTTCAATAATCCAATAAAACTGCTCGTCTCGGTCATGGTATTCTGTTGTTCGCAGAGCATGTGTGACCCCTTCAATGCTGTCCACTATGGGGCAGGCAAAATCGTATGTTGGATAAACACTAGGAAAAAGGAATATTTAAAAAAAATCAACATGAAGCATTTTAGCCTTCCCATTATACACGGTAATACTAATTTAAAATACTATGCTTTACAAGGTACAAATTTCTTAAAAACTAACATGTTTTATGACTCAATAATAAAAGTATATCAAAATATTACGAGACTTTGAGAACAATGAATCAGTTACCAATTTTCAAAAAAGCAAATTTACAATTTAATAGACAATTGGGTATTGGTACAGCCAACTCTACAACCATATTTCTGTAATGACCAATGTACATCATGATAGGAAGGAAGATACATAATAAATTTTAGGGAATTTAGTTTATTAATATCTTAATCCTACATTCAAGTAAATAGAATTACTCTTGTAATTAACTGCATTCAAGAACAAACAAGAGAAAAAATTATGAGGCAAATTAAAAATTCATTTAAGATGGAATACTCCCACCCTGGACAGTTTTGCTCAGTGGTTAGAGCCTCAGCCCGACGATGGAAGGGTCATGGGTTCGATTACCAATCAAGGGCACGTACTTGGGTTGCAAATTCAATCCCCAGTCAGGGTTGTGTGGGTGGCAACCAACTGATGAGTCTCTCTCACATTGCTGTTTCTCCCCCCCCCCACACTCTATCTTAAAAAGAAAATCAATGAAAAAATATCCTGTGAGGATTAATCAAAAAACAAAAACCACAATGGAATACTCCTAAAAAAAATTTCTGCCTTAAAAAAAAAAAAGAACTGAACACAACACGTAAGCAGTTTTAGTTTGAATTTTAAATAATATATTACTGCATTATGACTTCTAATTTTTAAGATACAACTTCTTGAAGATGCTACATTAGGCTCTGCAATTATTTGACACTGAAAATGTGCACTTTCCACATGTATCTGAAGCATTTGCTTAGTGAGACAAGGAGCAATTGCCCTGTTAGAAATGAAGGACATATACACACATGTCCACACACAGAGCCGTCTGTCTCTAGACACACACATCAGCACCCCCTGGTTTAAAGTCTCATTAGCTAACCAGGTCATCACTATATTCATTAACCTCTTCAGAGGTTATGTCAGTGCGTGTATGTAGCAGGCTTCTGCAGAGTATAAGAAAACACTTTCTATGGTTGCTTTATGAAGTAAATTAATGAATGAGGAACCATTTAAAGAAAAAAAAATCTATTAACCTGAAAAACCACACAGAAAACTAATGGAAACTAGAAAACACACATGATACTTTCTTTCATTGTTCCTCTTTCTGCAAATTTTCAATTCTATCACATTTATGAATTAATTTATACCTAGCAGAATTAAAGTTAAATAGGGTCAAGAATCTTGGACTATTCTGCATCTATTCCAAGTTCACAGGGAACGTCAGAGCAGAGCGTGGCAGGCTACCGAGCGAGCACAAGGAAAGAGAAAACCTTACTTGTACTGATTTCCAGTTCTTGGGTGAGGCTGGATTTTGCTGCGGTACAGTGTCGGGTCCCTCAGGCACCCATTGTTACTGCTCATGTCAATTTTTGCTCGCAAACAACAGGACTGACCATACGGGCTCCCTCTTTTCATTTCTTCCCACATTTGCAGATTCTTCTCAACAGCTGAAAAATGATAGCTATATTAATTTATCCAATGTATTATTAATCAGGTTGAATTCAAATTCTTTTAATAGTTAATAAAGATACAATTTGATATAAATGTTCATATTCTGGTTTTATATTATCAGCACACTCCACTAGTTTAAAAAAACTATAATACTTCCAATATCTGGTACCAAGAGTAAATACATTGTTTTTATGCAGAAGTCTCACAAAACACTTGGGAAATGCCCTCTGTCAGTATGTTTTAAAAGAAGTGAAGTCAGTACATTCTATGTGTAGTGTTGATGAAGGCCAAGAAGAGGAGGCCTGAAGGTTTCTCTCATCCTGTTTCCCATTTTTTTTAAATTATTTTTTTAATTTATTTTTTATTGTTGACAGTATTACAGATGTCCCCTTTTCCCCCACTGACCCCTCCTTCCCGCTCCCACCCCCTCCCGCCTTCTCCAGCCTAATGTCTGTGTCGATTGGTTGTGCATATATGCATATAAGTTCTTTGGTTCATCTCTTCCCTCCCCTTCCACCCCCCATCCCTCTGAGGTTCGTCAGTCTGTTCCCTACTTCCATGATGCGGGATCTATTTTGGTTGACTGCTTATTTTGTTCATTACATTCCACAAATAAGTGAGATCACGTGTTTCCCATTTTCCATCATGGCCTAATGGGCCGGGCCCCCTCAAATGCAACACTGTTCCTTTGCTGCCTCGTGCCCAGGGAACAAACCAGTCCTGCCTGGCCCAAGGGGCCCATAGGCGACGGTGCTGCAGCCGTGTCTGTCTGGAGAACACGGCTCAGGCTCAGAGCGTGAGCCCAGGGCTCCCTCAGTGCCCCTCTTGTCATTCTAGTGGGAAGCAGGACACTCTTGTATCCAAGAAAATGAGAGATGATAGAAAACAGGTAGCGATGAGTTTAGTCTCAGAAAAAGAATGCTCTATCCCATGTGACAATGGTCCTACCTATGTTAGAACAGTGAAAATATGCCCCATGCGGATAAAAAAGACCTGTAAAACAATGATTCTCTGTGGAAACTACTGAGAGACGATGGACACATGACTTGCTCCTAAAGGATTAAGTTAGGTCTAAAAGTCCAGTTGGTAACTGAGAAATGGAGAAAGAAAAAAAAAGACCCCTGTAACTATTTGAATTTACTCTACTTCCCAAATGTGACACTCAAGATTTAACTATAATAGTGTGGAAGTTCTGACAACATACTTAATAGAATAAAAATGGCCCAACTCTGAAGCTTGTGGACAAGTGATGAATATGATGCGATTTTGTCAAGTGATATTTCAGAGACAGAGGGTAATGTTTACCCACATGCTGAAAGAAAGATTTAGGTATGAATAATATTAACACCCAACATTTTGCAAAAACCAAGTATTTAAACTGAGGGAAATACAGACATGCCGCAGGAGGAATCCTTCAGTGGAACAAACGCACTGCCCAGCGCTGCACTGACAGGTGAGATGCTCAGCACACACACCCCTCACGTGCAGCTGGGATGCTAACAAAGCAATAAGGCAAAGAGGACAGGGACAGAGAAGATTTCTGAAAGATGAACTAATGCATGAATCATATTGCCAAATGTGTTTCAAACCAGCATCTTTCACAGAAATCATGTTCTACTAAAGACACAAAGCACGAGACCAACATCAATTAAAATATAAAACACTAATATGCCTTACAGTTTTTTCTGTGTTTGGATTCTATCCTCTGCTCACGTTCGGCTTTCATCTGCTCGGCAGGAGTATCATCCACATAAGCCTTGCCTTCCTGAATTAGCTTCTCTGCGTATTTCATTATAGTTTCAAAATGATCCGAGGTATAAGTGAACTGGTCTGGTTTGATCTGCAACATTGCAACATCTTCCAGGATGACCTGCAAATAAGAACCCAAAAACACCATCGGTTTATTTTTCGTATCTCCTCGTATATTTTCATTCCTTGATAATGAGTTTTGGGCAAATGTGATACTACACCATCAGTCTTACTTAGGCTGAAAATAGTGGTGAAAGTTGCATATTAGACCAGAAAAGAAAAAGAGAGAGATTCATTATGCTGGCTTCCAAATTTTCAGCTGAGAAAGCTGATCTCATGATGGAGTGCTCCCTTTATCCGGACAAGCTGGCTATTATGGGCCGTTCTGACAATTACTCGCCCTCTCTTTGAATATACTGCAGTGCTTCTGAAGATGATATAAGAGGCTAGAAAACCTTCACGTTTCCCAATACCTCGTCGGTGTTTGTTTCAGCCATAGACTTAAAATTATATGACAAAAGGAAACCTGCCTCTGGTTACCAATTCATTTAGAAAGTGGTACTTAGAGAAAAATGAAGCACTTAGTAAATTCTATAACTCAGGAAGAAAAAAAAAAAACTGAAGTTTTTCATACGGACTCCCAGTATTTCTTGGCTTAGGTCTCAGACACAATATACAGACGAAGGAAAAGAGCATCTATGAAAACAAACTTAATTTACTGTCATGAATTAAGTTTCTATTTAATTCACATACCAAGAAGGTATTGGCCACCATCTCATTTGAAATAACTTTTCTGACAAAGGGTTATCACTACACCTTTAATTACCTTCTCAAAATCTTCCTTTTCTTTTTCAGGATTTGTGTCATCGAATCTCATGATCAGTTTCCCTTTAAAGTTAACCTGGTAGTGTTGGTTGAGAAGAGCAGCTTTGGCATGCCCGATGTGTAAGTAACTAAAACACAAAAACATTTCACAAAGAAACTCATTAACATGTCTTCACTAGAGACTTACACTTAGCCTTTCGGGGGAGACGAGAACTAAACAAAGCTCCTTCTAGTTGGTACTCCGTCTTTTCTTTTCGAACACAAAGTACTGTGATAGAAAATGTGACCCTGATAGGAAGAAAAGAAGACTACCACGTTTATAAATAATCTTTAAAAAATGTCATATGTAAAATCTTGACAAAGAGACGAGTTATTCACAAACATGACAACCTTTTTTTATGGAGGAATCCATGGTTGTTTAGTTAGAGGAAAGCTACTTCCAAAACTGTCTCAGTGCTACACGTGGAGCATCTTCAGGAGGACCTGATGCTCTGGGAACAGGCCCATGATGCACCTGGAGAGAAGCACCTCCGGGCCTGCCCACAGCGCTGGCGGCTGAATGAAAGAGCACTCGAGATCAGGAGGCCACAGAACAGCTACTTCCACTTTCTCTGAAGCCTCAGTAAGAGGATTGATTCTGAAGGATCTCGAAGGTCTCATCCAGCACCAAGGTCTCACTCCATGAATCACAATCTATGAAAACACTACTCTGTTCCTGTGGGCAGCTGATAATATAAGGAATAAAATGAACCAGAGGCAGTGTTGACAATACTACACACATCAACATCCTCCTCTATCAATGCAGTGGGTGAGAAGAAATACCCTACCCTCCTGCCGCTGAAAATACAGCTTACCCAGCAGCAAATGAGGGGCATGAAGCACAGAAGCTTGATCAGCTCACTGTTATTGATTTCAACTGATAATGGTAACTGCAGCAACACCATTCTAGACAGTCACCTAGTGTCACACACCTCCGATCTCAGTTGATATCAACAAGGGAGGAAAAAATAGACCACCTTGTATGTCTTTATAACCTTCTTAAAATAAATCCTTTTTGTTTTTAGAAATTCATACAGCATTCTAGATCAAGGATTCCACTTTAAGAAGAGTTTATATGCTCAGGTTAAGCAGACAAGTGTGATGCAATACATTTAGGGTAATTAAAAACTTTCTGCAAAGAATAAAGGGTTGTAAGTGGTATCCCAGATGAGATTCTAGAACATAAAAAAGAATGTTAGAAAAAAAAACTAATAAAATCCAAAAAAAAGATATGTTTAGATGATAATAACAACAATATATCAATATTGGTTCATTAGTTGTAACAAAAGTACCGTAGTAATATGAGATGTTAACATGAGGAAAAAACTGGGCGCAGGGTATGTGGAACTCTTTGTACTATTTTGCAGCATTCCTATAAATTTAGAACTATTCTAAAATGAAAAGTTTAGTGAAAATAAAATAGAGAACTGAGTTTCAAGAAAGGTACAGAAATACTGTGTGTAGTTTTCACTGAAAGAGCTACACCCATTACATGTCACTCCCATTATTAAGGGGAAAAAGACTAATAATCACCATATGCTACCTGACAGATAATGTGCTAGGCTTAATCTGGGAGAGGTGATAATATAAAACCATTATCTTACATTTAAAGATATTATTTCTGAATCTGAAATAATGTGTGCAGTTCTAACTATTCAAACCTCAAGAAAACAGACAAGACTATAGAACAGTCACGCCTAAGATAACTCAGATAATCAGCTCAAGAAAAAGCCTACGTTGGAATATAAAGAAAGAAAGATGCATGCTGCGTGAGCTAGCACTGATGCTGGATTGGCTTCTGTCACATGGAACAGACTCAGGCATATAAGAGATATGGACTCCAGCCCTGGCCGGTTTGGCTCAGCGGTTAGAGCGTTAGCCTGCGGTCCGGAGAGACCCGGGTTCAGTTCCCGCTAAGGGCATGTAACTTGGTTGCAGTTTGTCCCCGGCCCTGGTTGGGTCGTGCGGGTGGCAACCACTCGACGTGTCCCTTTCACGTCGATGTTTCTCTCTCTCTCTCTCCCTCCCACTCTATCTGAACAAACAATGGAAAAATGTCCTCGGGTGAGGATTAAAAAAAAAAAAATTTAAAAAAAAAAAAAAGGAGATATGGACTCCAGAGCCAGACGGTGCAGGTCTGAGTTGGCATGTTACTAAAACGTGTTATGAATCAGCTTCAAAAACCATCTGTAAAATGGAAATAATAGCAGTGCCTTTCTCAAAGGGCTATTAGGATTAAATAAGTTACTATAGCCCGGCCGGTGTGGTTCAGTGGATTGAGTGTCGTCCCGTGGACTGAGAGGTCTCGGTTCAATTCCTGGTTCTCATGCCCAGGTTGCAGGTTCAATCCCCAGTAGGGGCTGCAGGAAGCCCCCAATCGATGTTTCTCTCTCACATCAATGTTTCTATCTCTCTCTCCCTTCCTCTATAAAAAGTCAATAAAAACATATTTAAAAAAATAAACAGGTTACTATATGTGAAGTGCTGGGTAGTGTGTGCACAGAACACGTATATATACATGTTAGCTAAGAAGAAGAATAAAAGGCAAGAATCAAGCCTTCTGGCCTTTCATGCAAGAAAAAAAAATACTTAAGAGATAATTAAAGAATTCTTTAGCAGTATAAAGAAATATCAAAAATATGAAAAACCTGAACATTGATTTATATTCCAAATCCCAAAACTGTATTCAGCCAAAAGCATGGTCTCTGAAACTGATATAATTTAGCACAAATGAGGAACTTGCTATTCCAAGAAGTGACAGAAAATATAAAACAATTCAAAAAGGACAAATGTTCAAATGGCATCATTATAAACAACTACTGCTAGGAAAGTGGCTTTTATCAAACCACTGAAGTCACTATTCAACAGACAGCCATGACTTCTCACACCAAGTACACAGGAGCAGAACACTGGGCAGCAGGGACCCAGGACCTCTGTGGGATGCAACCAGGTAAGACAGGTATAATTGATGACTAATTCCACTCAGTCGACTACCAATCAATCACTTAAATGATTTAGTCTGTGAATCTCCCAGAAACATTATTTCTTTCACCTCCTTTATTTCACCACCTACATCAGCAAGCTTAGAAAAGCAGAGAGAAAATGGGGAATTCTAAAACTGGCTTTGCTGTTAAGGACGCCTGTGAAATAGTTTGCGAACTACTAAGGAAAGCTAAAATAAAACTGTCTGCCACCTTCTACTGTCTACACATTCCATTCTCCACAGATGGGGAAGAATTTAGCTACATAATATAAAACTTGAAATTAAATAAAATTTGGGAAAAAATCATCTCATTTAAAAAGTGTGGTACAATACCACCCTAACGGCTAAGTTCCTCTGCCTAACTGCGGAGTAAGAGACATTGTATTGCATTAGTATCATTGGAAGAGCTCTATTACAAAGCTTGTCTCGTAGGCTTCAAAGAGGCTCAGTCTTGGGGGTGCTGGGCAAAGTGTGAAGCAATTAAACTCCTATTATTTTCTACGGGTGCCAAGAGTGAAAAGGATGGGGAAACCTGCTAAAAATTTTCAGGACTGCCCTTCCTTTATTTGGAAAAAAAATAACTGAAAATAATTCTACCATAACTTCTGCCGGTAATGGCACACATGTAAATCCTTATTAAATGAAATCCTAGCCCTGGCCGGTTTGGCTCAGCGGTTAGAGCATCCCCCTGCGGTCCAGAGAGACCCGGGTTCAGTTCCCACTAGGGGCACGAACCTCGGTTACAGTTTGTCCCCGGCCCTGGTTGGGTCGTGCAGGTGGCAGCCACTCGATGTGTCCCTTTCACATCGATGTTTCTCTCTCTCTCTCTCTCTCTCTCTTCCTCTCTCTCCCTCCCGCTCAATCTGAACAAAAATGGAAAAATGTCCTCGGGTGAGGATAAAAAAAAAAAATGAAAGCCTAAAAAATCTCAAAATGTAAATAAAGCTTCAGCCTTTCTATTTATGGATATTTTTCTATTATAATTAAAATTCTATCTGGGGTAAAGGACAAATGTTGTCTCTCCCACTGAGTTAATAAACTAAAACTATACATTTAAAACATTAACTGTCAATAATTAAAATAGGATTAAGATATTTAAAATTTTAACTCCCACAATTAAAATCTTATTTTATTCTACATTACCTATTAACATCAAAAATATTTTATAACTCCCTACAGGTTTTCCACTACATGCATTCAATTCTATTTTCAGTTTTATTTCTCACCCGCTGGCCTCCGGAGGAAACCTGACAGTGACCTTTCCCATCTCAGCACCTGGAAGCTCCACAAATTTCCCAACATCTTGCTTTTTCTGAGATGCCTGAAAATAAACAACAACGAAATAACATTTACATGGTTAAATGTTTAAGACTATATATATATATTTTTTTCTTTATTGATTTTAGAGAGAAACATCGATGAGAGAGAACATGATCAACCTCCTCCAGCATGCCCCCCACTGGGGGTTTGGCTCACAACCTGGGCATGTGCCCTGACCGGGAATCAAACTGGCGACCTCTTGGTGCATGGGTCGGTGCTGAACCACTGAGCCACATCGGCTGGGCTGTTTAAGAATATATTAATCCAGCCCTGGCCGGTTTGGCTCAGCGGTTGGAGCGTCGGCCTGCGGTACAGAGAGACCGGGTTCGGTTCCCGCTAAGGGCACGTACCTCGGTTGCAGTTTGTCCCCGGCCCTGGTTGGTCGTGCGGGTGGCAGCCACTCGATGTGTCCCTTCACGTCGATGTTTCTCTCTCTCTCTCTTCCTCTCTCTCCCTCCCACTCTATCTGAACAAAAAATGGAAAAATATCCTCGGGTGAGGATAAAAAAAAAAAAAAAAAAAAAGAATATATTAATCCAACTAATACTCCCACAGAATTGACAAAAAGGCTCTGCAGAAGCCCAACACTCAATGGTCAGTGGTTCAAAAAATCAAAGAGCCCTGGCCGGTTTGGTTCAGCGGTTAGAGCGTCAGCCCGCAGACCAAAGAGTCACAGGTTTGATTCCGGTCAAGGGCATGTACCTCGGTTTTGGTTTGGTCCCTGGCCTTGGTCAGGGTCATGCGGGAGGCAACCAGTCAATATGTCTCTCTCGCATTGATGTTTCTCTCTCTTTCTCTCTCTGTCTCCTTCTCCCTCTTTCCCTCCCACCCTCCCTCCCATTCTATCGGAAGATAAATGGAAGAATATCCTCGGGTGAGGATTTAAAATACACTCACACACACACACACACACCAAAGAATAGGAGATTTCAGAGCACAAAAAGATGGTATACCTAAAAATAACAAGACCTTAGTTATTTGGAGTTTGAATTTCCTGAGGGATATGTGATCACTAGACAATCATCATCTTTTAGACATACAATTATGTAGATTACAGCTTTATGTAGCTAACCAGATGCAAAGGCAAGCCAAGACTTACAATGGCATAGTCATCCAAGAAGATCCTTTCATACTCATGAAAAGAAAATAAACTAACTAGGAAGAATTTTCTTTTCTGATCTGGGGTCTCAGACAAAGATGTTGGCATTAAGAAATGAGAAAGCTTACCACTTTAGCTTTGGCCGTTGAAACATTCCACTTGGCACCTACTGACTGGAAGGCCTGCTGGGCTTCGAGAAAGCCGAACCAGCGCTTCACGTGAACCGGAGCTTTGTTCTGCTGCAGCTGCTCCTGCCACGCCGCACTTTCTATGAGCAAACATAATTTTTAAACCATTCAATAGATCTGCAACTTCAAAAACAAAGTTTCAGTGTGGTTAATTTAAGTCAAGGAGATGGCTTAAAGTTGTGCTTCTATAATGAGTGAAATCTGGGTATACGCTGAAATGTTTTCCAAAACTTTAATATACTTTACAGAATCACAGAAGTTAATTAAAAATATTTTTTCATCCCGGACGGTGTGGCTCAGTGGTTGAGCGTTGACCTGTATACCAAGAGGTCGCCAGTTCGATTCCCGGTCAGGACACATGCCCAGGTTGTGGGCCAAAACCCCAGGGGGTGGGGGGGGGGATGCAGGAGGTGGCCAATTGATGTTCTCTCGTTGATGTTTCTCTCGCTCTCTCTCTTCCTCGCCCCCTCTAAAATCAATAAAGAAAAATTTTTTTTTCAGTTCAGTTCACTGAAATGAATACTAAATTCTGCCTAACACCCACTGCAAGGCTATTGCTACATTTCATAATTAAGAAAAAGATATAAAGAGATCAATTAGAGAACAAAATAAAAGTTAAGCTCAAGAGGTCGCTCATTTCTTCAGATGTAATATCATAAACAGGTACTGAAGGAAATTTACTTAATTTTAACATCATAAAGCTATATCCTTAAGATATTATCTTTCTTTCATGAACATTAAGTCAAAAATCTATATAGACAAAAATGTCAAGACAAACCTATACATGAAAAGCTCTAATGAGAAAAGGCATTCCATTTATGTTGGTTATCATTATAACAATTTAATTTAATTTGGAGAAATGTTTAAGTCACAAAAAAGTATAGAAAATATTTTTGAAATCCCACATGACTCCGATTTAAAGAATAAAAAAACATGGCATATTTCCTTCTGGTTTGTTTTTATAAAACGTAAATTAAGAAAATTCAGATCCCCTTTGTACTGCTCCACAATCCTACACCCTTACCTATTGGAAACTAGTCACAGAAGATGAAAAAGTGACCTCCCACAGGGACACCTGCAGCTCACCCCCCTCACTCACAGCCCTACTGAGCAACAGTGCTTGGAGTAAGTAATGGCTGAGACAGGACAAGTCTAACATGAATGGGATGAGGGCTTCTTTAGCAGGAACAAGGCCAACTCCAAAGGCAAGAGGGGATGTGAGGAGTGAGAGAGAGAGATGACTTCCAGGGACAGCAGAGGACATGGAACTCCTGTGACTGGGTAGGAATAAAACAGCTGCGGTGGTCATTTCTTTGTAAGAAAGTCCTAAGTGACTGTCAATAAACAGATAGATAAATGGATAGTTCATTCAGATACACAAAAGCATTTGTACTTCTTATCGACCAAAACATTAAACAATTAAAACAGAACATTCTTCAAGAATTACGGATACCTTTCAGGGTGGCCCAAACACATAAATCTGCTAAGCTCAAGGAGTTTCCAACTAAGTATGTTCTCAGAGACAAGCAATGACTGAGCTCATTGATGGCAGAAGTAAACGAATTACATGAAGACAATTTTGTAGCACTAAACTCCAACCAGTGATCAATCTGTGAACACAGAAGAGAAAAGAAATGCAACCCAGAATTTAGATTTAAATGAAAACAAACAACCTCAGTTAGAACCCTGCCTTTCTTATAACACTGATAGAATTTATCATGATGTGGATTTAATTCTAATTGCCTAGATTCTAAATTGGCATGTATATAACACTTGTTGTTTTTCTATACTTGCTTGCTTTTTTTTTAGGGGCATTATGGGGCAATTTCAGTGAAGAAAAAGAAAAAGATACGAGAACTGGCAGCTGGAAAGAACAACCAACCTGACTGAACCCAACAGATGGTGCCTAGATAAAGCAGATTCATCTACTTGCAACATTTAAAAGTAAACAACTGGAAACTAGTCTTTGTATTCTGGATTTTATAAGAATTAGAAAAGTTAGAGCTAAATACAAACAGAAAAAAAAAAGCCATCTGAAGTGCAACATTGCTGTAATTAACAAGGTATATACTTAGAAAGGAAAATGGGGTCCAACCTATGTGTGTGACCCTGGGCAAACTTCTTAACCTTAACTTTTTCAGGCCTGTTGCCTCATTTGTAAAGTAAAGGAATTGCGTAAGGTGATCAAAATGGTCCCATCCAGTTACGAAATTCTAGGAAGAGGAAGACAGCACTCAATAACCCAACAGGACAGCTAGTATGGGATTAAAAGTTCAAAGTTAAAAAGGAGCTAAGAGGTGTTTTTTTTTTAAATAAAAAAAGAATGAGAATTCCTTAACTTGGTCTACAACTAACACTCTGCTAATATCCTTAAATCAAATAACAGTACATAAGCCAACGATAAAGTGATGTTCTCAAAGAGCAGAAGCATAAATCAAAACAAATCACACCTCGGTATGTTCCATCAGGTTGGAGCCATAGAGCCCAGCTGTAGTTGCGACTCTGGCCAAGTAGCGAAGTATGGAATTTATGTCCGTGAAAACCACATTTCTAGAATATAAGCATAAGACAAAATATTACTGTGGCTCCAGCTTAACAGTATGAGACTTATGAAAAAATGTAAAAATAAAAATCTTCTATTTACCATGTATTTTCTACTACAGCCCCCCCAAAAAAGTAATTTGTTTTTTGTTTGTCGAATTCCAATTTGTTCTGCAATGTTCAGCTAAATCCAACACTTGACTTCAGAGTAGATTATCTATATGATGTATCATCCTTCTAATTATTAGTTTCTACACGTCTATTCAGTGGTGAAAATAAGAAAATATAATTGGACTATTGAGAATAACTGGTTTAAAATTGCCCTGGCCGGTTTGGCTCAGTAGTTAGAGCGTCAGCCCGCGGTCCAGAGACCCGGGTTTGGTTCATGCTAGGGCATGTATCTCGGTTGCAGTTTGTCTCCGGCCCTGGATGGGGTAGTGTGGGTGGCAGCCAGTCAATATATCTCTCTCACATTGATGTTTCTCTCTCTCTCTTCCTCCCTCTCTCCCTCCTGCTCTATCTGAAGATAAATGCAAGAATGTCCTCAGGTGAGGATAAAAATTAATTAACTAATTAATTAATTAAAGCAACAAAGCCAAGGACATACTGTCACGGAGAAGCTAGTTGGATCAACTTCCAGGTAAAGATAGAAGATCAAACCCCAACAAAACTGTTTTTTAAAGATTATTTTTAAAGACCCAAAACCATCCTGGCCAGTGTGGCTCAGTGGTTGAGCATCGACCCATGCACCAAGAGGTCACTAGTTCCATTCCCGGTCAGGGCACATGCCCAGGTTGTGGGCCAATACATACTGTGAGGTATACAGGATCGATGCTCTCTCTCATCAATGTTTCTATCTCTTTCTCTCTCTCCCTTCCTCTCTCTTAAAATCAATAAATAAACTTATTTAATAAATAAAATAAAGACCCAAAGCATAAAAAAAAGAGGTAAGAGATAATAATAAAATAATTCTTATCAAATTTATTTCCTATTACTACTAACTTTAAATACTTCCAATTTTCCACAAGAATAAATTATAATGGCATTTAAAATCCTTACATATACATCTTTCTGTACATTTCAAGTTTCTTTTAAACATTACAAATATAAGTCTCTGAACATAGTTCTTTTAGAATAGAGAAAAGCATACTTCTTTTTAGGGACTCTACCAATTAGCAAGTAAAACAAACATACAACATTTAATCCTGAATATTTTTTAAATGTTCAGTACTGAAAACAAAGATATAAAAACACTTACTCAGACACACGAAGAATATTCTCTTTCCCTTCTTCAACAGAAATGCTGACATTGTCTTTCACATGTTCTACTGCCAGCAAAGGGCCTAAAATAATAAGACGAAAAGAATTCTCTTTATAAATACTAAAGTATTTAAAACTTGAATCATAAAGCAATAAGGATGACTTAGCAAACCAATATTACATCTTGCAAAGGGTAAGCATTTTACCCAGGAGTCTGTACACAAAAAGGAGCAGAGTCTTCTGATTTTAGAAAAACAACAAATCAGAAACAAGTCGTTGGCATAGTCCAACTGCTTTTGAAGATGCTTGGCTTCCAGTTAGGGACTCTGAAATTAATATTTTCCTCCCTCAGGAGACAAGAAAAAATCAGAATAGTGCCTTGTATAAAAGCTATTGTTAATAACAGTATTTGAGTGATTGCTATGTGGTAGGTACTGTGCTAAATGTTTTACAGTCTTTAAAATGTTTAATCTTTGTAGTAACCTTAAGAGGTAGACACCTTTATCTCCATTTTACAGGAGAGGAAACTGAGGCTTGGAGGGATTCTAGCCCAAAGTCTTTGACTAAATATGTGGCAGTTGGTATCTGAATGCAGGCCTAAGGCAGTCCAGAATTCAAAATCTAAAACACGGTGTCTTCTGGTTCTCAAGATATAGTAAAGTTTACTACATAGAATCTTTTGTCCCTTAATTCCAGCAACGAACCCTATGTGGAAGATACCATTCCTCTGTTCTTAAGGAAATTGTGGGAGAAGCCAGGTAAGGGACTTGCCATGGTCCCACCACTAGAAAGTGGCAGCCAGGATAGGACTCAGGTTTCCAGGAACCAATGACTTTATTCTTAAACAAACTCATAGATAGAGAAAACTTTTCAGTTGGTTACCAGATGGAAAGGGGGTTTGGGGAACCAGTAAAAAAGGTGAAGGAATTAAGAAGTACAAATTGGTTGTTAGACTGACAAACCTCAAGAGAAGGGGGGAGTGGGGGAGGGAAGAGATAAACCCAAGAACTTGTATGCATGTGTGCAGGGCCAATGGACAGACAACAGTGTGGGGAAGGCAGGGGGGGGGGGTCAGGAGCGGGTTGGTGGGAGAAAAAAGAGAGCCATCTGTAATACATTCAACAATAAAGGTAAGTTTAAAAGAAAAAAGATCTGGGCTTCTTGAACATTAGAAAAGTGCCCCGCTGTCTATACTATACATGCACATTAACAACTGTGAAATCAATAAACCAAATTACTTCGTGTAACTTTCCCAAAGTAATAACAAGGCAGAAATTCTAAGCTATCTCCCCACGATGCCCTTGGCCACACTGGAAATGCAATTCCGAACTGAACTCCGGGTGTATCAGGAAGATGACAGCTCCCATCTTTCCCTGCCATTTACTACACCTACCGGGGGAGAAGGAAAGCAACCCCATTCGTCTGCAGTGTGATTGGACGTTCCAGTAATTACCCTGCCACCTTCAATTAAAAATAAATGCGACCTCAGCTGAAATGTTAAAGGCTGCTACGGTCGTCTGCCTTGGTCCCTTTGAACCCAAAGAAAAGTCAAGTCAAGACAAATGGATTAAAGATCTTTTCTGAAAGGATGGACAGGAGAGGTGATAAATAGGCGGGGGGTGGGGCGGGGGTAGATTCTAAAAGAGAAGGGAATATAATGGGATTTTAAGTTTTAAAAACCATTTCAGAGAGGGAGAGGGGAGCTGGCTGGAAGTCATCCCGCTGAGAGCTCGGGTCCGAAGCGCAGCCGAGCGTCGCCCACTCGGTCTTCAGCCGCAGATTCACCGGCCGGGGCACAGGAGGCGAGGGGCACAGGAGGCGAGGGGCACGGAGCCTACTCCGAGTACCGTCCGGGGCGGGGAGAGGGAGGCCTGATCCCCGTGACCCTGTTCGCCGCGGCGACCTTCCCGCCGCGCACCCTCCCCGGCTGATGCAACCCGCAGCGGCCGCGGCCTCGGCCCCTTACCCAGAGGAAGGTCAGCCGAATTCACCGTCAGACAGAGCGTCGCCATCCCCACGGGTCCGCGGAGCCACCTGTCAGTGCGCCTGCCCGGCCGCGCGAACCACTCCGGAGGCGCCGAAAGCGAGGAGCTGCAACGTGTGCGCGTGCCTGACGCTGTCGCAGCCTCCGCCGCGCCCCTGCGCCGTGGCCGCCGGTCCTCGCGCGCGCCGCTTACGTCATCGCCCCGCGCCGCCTGCGCGCGTCGCCCCGCCCCGCCCTGCCCCGCCCTGCCTGGGCTGGGAGACCTGCCGGACCTGCTTCATTCCTGCGGGACAGGCGCTGGGGCGGAGGATGCTCACGACACTTCCTAAAGCGAGGCACGCAGGGGACAAGACCAGATTCACGCAAAGCTCGGAGAAAATACGCAAATTGTGTTGTTTATTGTCGGCGAGCGCCATGTGTACGTAAACGCAGAACACGTGCTGGAAGCACACCCCTGGCCCACAGCCATGGTGGCGCTGGGAATGCAGGAAATTCCCGTGTTTCCTCTATTTTATTCCAAAGGAGAAGGGATTTTCAAGAGTTCTTTTCGTACTTGAAAATAATAGTTAAGCCCTGGCCGGTTTGGCTCAGCGGTTAGAGCGTCGGCCTGCGGTCCAGAGAGACCCCGGTTCGGTTCCTGCTAAGGGCACGTACCTTGCTTGCAGTTTGTCCCTGGCCGGGGTCGTGTGGGTGGCAGCCACTCGATGTGTCCCTTTCACGTCGATGTTTCTCTCTCTCTCCACCCCCCCTCTATCAGAACAAAAATGGGAAAATGTCCCCCGGTGAGAATAAAAAGAAAATAATAGTTTAAAGAAAGGATGTGTTGGACTGGGTGAAATAGGTGAAGGAGTTAAAGAGCACAGATTGGTAGTTACAAATCCTTCATGGGGATGTAAAGTACAGCATAGGGAATACAGTCAGTAATATTGTAATAATTATATATGGTGCCAGTTGGGTACTGGAAATATCAGGGGGAACACTTTGTAAAGTATATGATTGTCTAACCACTATGCTGTATGCCTGAAACTAACACAAAATAATTTTGAATGTAATCTGTAATTTGAAAAATTTCTTAAGTGAAACATTTTTAAAGAAAGGATTTAGTAATAAAAGCCCCTGCCCCAATTTGTCTTGGCATTGTTTGCCTGGACGGCCAGAGCGTGCCTTTCAGAGGGTCATCTGATTCCTGCTCTTACATCCGCAGTGAGGTGTGTGCTGGTAGTCAAGCTCAAGGGGCCAAGGATTGATTGCAAAAATCATCTTAGCCTCATCATTACCCTCAGTTTCTCTTAACCTCCAAAAACCATCCCTGTTTTTGCTAGAGAGCACCTCATAAATAGGGAACTTAATGCAGCTACAGAGGGGTTATCGTTATCTGTCCCAACCCACCAGCAGAGAAGCTACCTCTTTATAGCTGTCCTCCAGAGTAGATAAAGCAACTACATCAGAACAAGATTTCTTCCACTACCCCTACCTTCCTATCAGAATCTCTAAGGATGGGATCCATAATCTCATGAAGTTCTCCAGGTGATTCTGGGCCAAACTCTGCCTTTCTACCTCCCTTTGTTTGTGATTGATTTGTCTTCTGCACACTCTGCTTATTCTTAAGATTCATGTTTGCTGAAAAACCTTATTTATCTTAGACATCATACTGAGCGTCTTCTACCATATAATGCACTAGGGATACAGAGAATCTGGGAATTACTTATTTAACAAATGAATAACCAAATAACCTGTCTTAAAACACTTGAAGGTGATGAGGAACTTAATACTGCCCTCTGTTTCTAAATCCTCTTACTATGCACCTAAGTCTGCTTTTCTGTACCTCTGTCCACTTTCCTCTGATGCTATACAGAACAGGTCTGCGCCTCCACCTGACACTCTCCTGTATCAAAGGCTGTCATTAGCTGCCCATTCCTTTGCTCCTTAGGCCAGGTGTCTCTTGTCCTTTTAACAATCCAAATGATAGTTTTAATCTCTTCCAGTTTCTCTTTTCCAAGTACACTTCTGTAGGTCAATGTGCCTTTTTTTTTTTAATCCTCACCCGAGGACATTTTTCCATTGATTTTCAAATAGAGTGGGAGGGAGGGTGAGAGGGGTGGAGGGAGAAAAAGAGAAATATGGATCTGAGACACACCAATTGACTGCCTCCTGCATGACCCCAACCTGGGCGCAGGACCCCAACCAGGGCGCAGGACCCCAACCAGGGCGGGGGATCAGACCGAAACTGAAGTATGTGCCCTTAACCGGAATCGAACCCGCAACTCGACTAGAATTGAAACTGCAACTCTTTGGTCCTCAGGCCGTTGCTCTAACCGCTGAGCCAAACCGGCCAGGATGTCAACGTGCCTTTTAAAAAAATGTGATAGCCCTAGCCTGGCTCAGCGGTAGAGCATCAACCCATGGACCACTGAGTCTCGGGTTCGATTCCGGCCAAGGGCATGTACCTCGGTTGCAGTTACCTCAGTTGCAGTTCATCCCCAGCCCTGGTCGGGGTCCTGCAAGAGGCAACCAGTCAATGTGTCCCTGTCACGTCGATGTTTCTCTCTCTTCCTCTCTTACCCTCCCACTCTATCTGAAGATAAATAGAAAAATATTCTCGAGTGAGGATTAAAAATTTAAAAAAACAGCCCAGCCGGTGTGGTTCAGTGGTTCACCGTTCGATTCTTGGTCAGGGCAAATGCCTAGATTGTGGGCCAAATCCCCAGTGAAGGGCATGCAGGAGCCAGCCAAACATCTCATCGATGTTTCTCTCTCTCCCTCTTCCTCTCTCTAAGAATAAATAGAGAAAAAAATTACAAATAAATAAATAAAATAAAAATAATAAAATACGATACTCAGAGCTAAACAAAATGTTCTGGGTGTGGTATGATCAGGGCAGAGTGCAGGCTCTTATGTTGCCCATCACAGTGCTATTAATGTACCACACTAGCTCTTTACAGCCACATTAAACTATTGACTCATGTTAAAGGTTGTAAACAACAAATCCCCAGAGGTCTCCATTCTCTAGTTATCTAATGTAAGACTTTGCATGTGTTAATTTACACTTGTCTTGATCCACACAGGATTTGATAGAGCTAATTTTCTCATTTTAAGTATAATTGCTAAATTTTAACTTTTGAGATCATTTATTTCCATCTCTATCACTCAGTGCATCCCAGTCACCTATCACTGTTGATTTTTGAAAGAATGTAATCAAGAAAATGGATGTCATCAATAAATAATATCTTGCAAAAAAAAGTGCAGAGCTGTCATACACAAACAGAAACGTGCTTTGGGGAAAGCAAGACGCAGCAGGAAGAGTCCTAGTGCCACCTTCTTGGATGCTTTTATTGATTAGTTCCAAGAGCTTTTTCTAGTTACGTTGGATTTTCTGGATAAATCATTTGTTTCTTTCTATCCAACACTTATATCTCTTATTCATCTTCCTGTCTAGGGCTTCTGTATACTGTTGAATAGGAGTAATGATGTTGAACAAGAGCATTTTTGTCAAATTTCTGACTTTAGTGGGACTGTTGCTGTTTCTCCATCAAGTATTTACTGCTGGTGTTATATAAATGTCTAATCACTTTGTTGTACACCTGAAACTAATAAAAAAATTGTCAATTATAATTTAAATTAGAAATAAAATAAATAAAAACACTGGACAGAGACTGGCTAGAATGACAATTTATTTATAAAGAAGCAGTTTTTCCATAAATCTGTTTCAACATACATTTGACATTTTAGTGTATTTATTCATAACTGGAAAAAATTTAAAATTACTGTGAAAATGAGATTCAGGTAAGAACTTGTGCTTTTGTGCCCTAAAAAAATGTGGTTTATACAATAGGAATGTTGACTAAACAATTGACCAGGAGAGTCAGTTGGAACTAAACCTCTTTCATTCCTCCAAATTAAAGGAGGAAAGACGTGACAGACAGACTTTACAGCTTCTCCTAATGTCAGAATTGGTCTGGTTGATGCATTAATCACAAAGTTATAAAAATCTATTTTCTCCTATGTACCTAAAAATAAATCACTGATCAACAAGGACTACAGCAATGGAGGAGCTCTAATCACATCCAATTAGTTTTAAACTGTATTATTTTTAGAGCCAAGTCCTTCTCTTAGCTAAGTAAATGAGATGTTCCTTCGAGAACCAATGCTTTTTTTTTTTAAGTTGTCCATGGTTCATTGATATAGCACAGCTGAAAGATTCAAATGGCTCCAGGTGGTGTTTTGAAATTCATCCTCAGTGTAGTGACCTGCAGGTTGGACAGACTGCCAAAGTCCAAGAGCTTCAGCATTTCTTCAGTGTCAGCATGGAAATCTGTGATCTGACCCAGGGCTGAGAGCTCAGGAACAGGTCACCTGTCCTCTCTCCCTGCAGCTGTCCTCCTAGCTATGTCAGTGAGGTGTCCCTCTAAGGGACGAGAGCGTTTTTAACAGACTGGGGGACTCGGCTTGCGTAGTAGTCGTGATTCCTCAGTGAGGCCAGGACGCCAGCGGAGTTCATGTGCTTCACTTCCTTGTTGTACTGAAGGGAATTCCCATGGATATCCGTTAACTTGCCTAGAGAAAAACATCAGCACAACGTTAATGGCCGTTCTACCGTCACAGTTCATTATTTGTTAGTGCCCGTTGCTCCCCTATGCAATAATAATCCAGTTCATTCTGGATAAAAGAAGGAAAAGTAATGGTTAAATGTTAATTCACTTAAAATGTAAGACTACAGAACAATTTTAACTAACTGAAAGATAAAATATTTTTATTTCTGATTAAAATAATTTCGTTTAGCATTTTCAATTTCTGTTTCTCAGTATCAATCCATTTCTCTTTTTGTGAGCTGATTGCTTTTCCTATGGGTTATACTTCATCATCACTATTCCCATTTTCAAACGTGCTTTCTTTATTCTACTGCTTAATATTAACACTTTATTTGGTAAGGGTTTACGTGAAGTATGATCATGAAATAGAACTAATTATATTATAATTTCATTTAACATTCTAATGAGAAGGGACTGTGATGAATTTAACTTCCTTGTCATGTAATATGTTAATGATACTGATAAAATAATGTGCTAGGAAAAAAGATAGGATGAAAAAAAAATCAAGGAGTGACCTGGTGTCTGTTTGAAATGTAAAAATCACCTATGTTCATATCTGTCATGCATTTCCAGTCAGACTTGGAAATTCTAATATGACCTTTAACACTAGTACAGAGATGTTTACCAATATTGGCTTAAAAGAAATTAGGTGGTATGATAATGAATATTTCACTTTTCAAGAAAAAAAAAACCTAAAAGCATTAAAGCCATAAATTAATAAGGGTTTAATTAAATTAACTGTATGCAGATCAAGGTCCAAAAAGAGAAACCGTAATTAAAAAAATGAATTGGCTGAAAAATCCTTCTCATCTATGAACTATTGGGGATGGAATAGATAATCTCCAACTTCCCATGTAGCTTTTATATCCTAAGAGTCTAGGTAAAGTGGTATTACTGAAATACTACGTCAGCATAATATAAAAACTGTAATCTCACAAATGAAATGGACTAACCTCCCACAGCATGTAATATAACTTCTGGAGCACAAGTATCCCACTTCTTACATCCAGGACTTGCAAATACATAAGCAGAGGCTTTGCCTTCAATCAGCTGAATAATCTGTAAAATGAAAGATAATAACTATCCCTCGACCAGGAAATGAATGAGGTAAAACTAAGAGACCATTGCTTGTTTCTATCAAATATATTTCAATTCCTCTGTTAGACTCCACTTGGGTTAAAGCCTTTAGCAGGTTTAAATGACAAGACTATTAGGAAGAAACACAGAGAGCCCATGCATAAATAACACCCAAGGGGGAAAGGGTTCAATAAGCTACAAGGATATCTGAATGTTCCAAGTTAGATGAAATCGTTTTCTTTTTTATGTTGGTTTACTTTCTTACTATAAAACTATAAAACTATATATATATATATATATATTAATTTAACCTTGTAAACAATTGACTATTATATAAAGGATAGGAAAATATCAACTAGTACAATAATGTATAAACTGTAGTAAGTCCTAACAAATATGTGAGGCTGACCAGTGAGTCTAACAAGTAGTTATTTGTCTTTGGGGTCATCTCCATTATTATTTGCACTGCAAAAATATGAATTTTTAAAGTCATCTTAATAATAATTGTAATACTCATGTAAATCTGAGGCCAGTGATAGAAATTGCATGACTCAAAACAGTAACTTGCTACATCAAGCTTTGATTCGTTACTTGATTTTTCTTTTGGTTATACTGTAAAATAATTAGTACTGTAAAGCTCAGATTTCAATATCCAGACTGGGAGAATGAGGAAAATGTCAATGAACACAATGTAACCAATTATGACACATTTTCACTGAGCTATCTTGGATAAAAGAGACTTGAACCCTCACATTAAAAAAAAAAAAATTCAAATGTGCTTCCAATGGCAAACTACACTCTTTAATCTCGTCTCCCAAACGCTTATCTCACGTTTGTTAAAAGCTCAGTATTTCAGTGACTCGACTGCACTTCAGAGTGGATGGTGGGAGCTTCCTACCTTATTTCCTGCTCCGCCCACTCGCAGCACATCATCCGGGTTCATGGCAGAAACACAGTCAGTGACCAGCTTGTTGCTGTGGGATCGCGTGGTTGTGATAATGTGCTTCCCAGCAGGCACTTCTTTGAGCTGAAACCCAAAGGCACCTAACCCTAAAACTCCCCAGATTGTCCTTCCCAGCACAGCATCTGCTCCTGCCTATGTAAACGGCAAAACAACAGCACAGCTTGTAATTGCTAGGAGAAGAGATTAGCCATGAATAGAATATTTAGTTATAACAGCATCATAGTTTTAGATCATAAAAACATGATAATGTTATAAAGCACAAAAACAATATCATCCACAAAAAAATTTTCCCTAGAGAATCAACGGATTATGCTCATTGGTGTTTTGGCTAATAATTGGGTTTCAAAAGTATTGAAGGGAACTTCTGGTTTTTCCCTGGAGTCCACAGGAAAGGAAATATGTACTAAATCCTGTTGCTCTCCGAACCATCGAATAATCTCATTGTATTTGAAACAGCTCTTTGCAAAAGGGACTGAAGTCCCTAGGAAATGAAACACCATGTATTGAGTCCTACTTTTCAATATCCAAGAAACAGCAAGGTTAACATGGGAATAGGTAATGGTGATAATGCATTTTGCTGCTATAGAGACAGACCAACTGAATAGGCTGATACTGAAGCATAGCCATGGATGAAGGAGGTCAAGGTCAAAGACTTTACTGGCAATATGGAATAAAATGATAATAATAATGCAATCTTAGAATATTTTCCTTTGCAGAGCTCAAAGAATTTTTCAACCACGTTTATTACTATGCACTTCATATCGAAAAACATAATCTGTATTTCATGAAAAGTAAAACTGACGCATAAAATGATTAACACAAAGTCATCAAGATACCATTATTAAACATAATAGAGACATTTATATTTTTACAGAATACTTAACATATACCAGGCACCATACTAAGTGCTTTACATGTATTATCTCATTTAATCTCCAAAACAACTCCATGGAGTAGGTATTATCATCCTTCTTTTACAGATGGGGAAAAAAAAAAAAGATTGGCTCCATTAAGTAACTGGATCAAGAACTCTAGGAAGGTCATAACCAAACTTAGGCCTCATCTCTGTTCAAAGCCAATATCCCTCATCATTAGACTATACTGCCTCAGTTTACTGGTCAAAGGCTTTCAAACGCACCATCTTACTTGTCCTACAGCAGCACCCTGGGTGTTGTGATAGTGAGATGGCTTGGCTGCAGGCTGGAATGCTGGGGAAGCGGACTCGGAGACGAGTAGCATGTCGATTGAGGAATGCCCTTGGGATCAACCCCCGTGGAAAGGAGGAAGGCAGCATGAGTGAACAAAGGGAGAAACGGTCTGTGATATAGATCCAACAACAGCCACAGCCGAACTTATGGGGAGCTCGGGGCTAGAACGGCCCTTCAGGGTTGTACCAAACTGGGATGAAATGCCAGGCCGTTACACCCTTGTACGCCTCGGGGAGGAGCATGGCCCTGGGCGAGGCAGCTCTGTACAGGTGAGGCAATCCCTGGAGATGCTGCGCTGAGGCTGTCTGCCAACATCATTCCCTGCAAATGGGGCATCGAAGGCACCAGACGGCAAGCGCTGGGTGCTCACTATACATTCATGGGCTTCCTCTGTTCTGGAGTGTCCACTTCAGGAGGGGCTAGGACTTGAAACACACAGATGGGCTCAGTGGTGGCTCTGGGTGCTCATTAGGCTTCAGATTGTTTGCTGGGACTAATTTCATGCTCCCAAGAAGCCTACTTACTTAGTTTTCCAGTTATTCTGAAAAAGAAAGGAAAGCAATACAATAGTGGACATAAGTATTCTGGTCCTGAGAAAGTCACATAAATGACCATGGAGGCACAGAGTATGGGACCAAGGAACCGGCACCTGGTGGGGTGGTGCCAGGCACCCCCATGAGGCCGCTGGCAGCTGCTTCTGTGCTCTTGATCTGCCTCTGCCTCTTCCCTTCAAAGGCTCCACACCAACTTCCGGAGGGTAATGAGTCTCATGATGTTGAGGAAGCTAACTCCAATAGAAAGACACACTGGGTTTCTTTGCACTAAGCCAACTGTTTCCTTAAACTCACTACCAGTTTTAGCATCTGTTAGGAGCAATAATAGAGTTTTGTTAAAAGTCATCTGGCTCAAGAGAGCAATACAGCATAATGGGTAAGAGCTCAGACAGGGGTTTAATCCCAGACCTGCCACTGACGAACTGGGTGACCCAGGGTAAATTACTTGCTTTGGCTTCCCTTTCTTTAAAACAGGGAAAAGGTTTTCTTAAAGGATGGTAAGTATTAAATGAGATAGCGCATGTGAACACCTAATTCTGGCAGTATACTGTAAGCTCTTGAGAAATTTTAGCTATTATGGTGATGATGATGATAATTTAAAAATTGAATATGCAGCCTTGAATACTACCAATGGAGCTGAGTAACTTTCTGCTTGTTGCAATATTTTAAGGTATAAGCAAGAGAGAAGGAAGAAAGGATAAGGAGAGTATACAGAGGGAATGAGGTGAAGGGACAGGTAACAGAGGGGAGAAACAACAGGAGAAGATGAGCTGGTACAAGGGCTTGACAATGACTAGCTGGTAACACAGGTTTCCTACCTCTTTGCTTCCAACTAGCGGAGCCAAAACCCTAGCTATTTTTCTCACCTTTGCTTCATTCCTGTGTTCCCTTAACTTCTGCTTCTCATTGTTCTGTGGAAAATAAATACAATTTTTCTAATCTCAGAAGTGATAGAAACTATTAACAACTTCTGAGCACTCAGATCCTTTTTTGATGAAAGGTGTTATGCATTACAGTGTTAGCTATGAATAAAATGTCTTTTAAGTAACGGTATTCACTTATTTTAAAGTTTACATAAAAGCCACAGGCTTGTATCTGTATATAATACTATATAAACAGTAGAGTGATATTAAAAGAATTAGTAGATACTTAATATGGGAAACTTTACCAATAATGCATAACTAGTTTTGCTAAATAATCCTAAGAAGCACATGATTATAAATAAAAAGTTATGCAAATGGCAGAATGAAACTAATTTATCTTAGAAGTAGAGATTAATCTTGCTCTTAACTCAAATGAGAAATTCAGAAGTAACAGTCCCCACTCTGGTCATCGTGTTTCTTCAAAGTTCTATCAAGGTCACACTAACAAATGCAACTTAAGTATTTCTCTCAATAATTTCCTTTAACATTTAGTGTGACTTGATGATATATTCCTGTTTTGGAATTACATTAATCTCTCGCTTCTAAGGAAGACAATTTCTAGGGAGTACAGTAGAAAGTCCAAGTATATTAGAGAGAAAAATAAGAGAAAAGGGTGCAACAGCGTATTTAGTTGTTACCAACGATGACGATAATCTCGGCACTATGCAGTATTACCTGGGAAACAACATGGCTAGCATCTCTCTTGGTTGAAAGGGTTCATTTCTCCAATGTGCTTGAAGAACCACCTGTAAATCAGGTGTCTCAATGACCGGACTAATCAAGAACCACATCAGTAATTCCCAAACTTCGCATTTGAAGGCACACATTAAGAAAATATGTAATACACACAGTGTATTATATATATCCCTGGTATCAATGCCCCCAGAAGTTCTGATTTAATGGGTCTGGGGTGTGACATGGGAGTCTGTATTTTGAAAAGATGAATACATGCGCAGCCAAGCTAGAAATCATTCGATTAGATATTATCAGGAATCATATAACACTAATTATTTATCGACTTAAATATTTTTGTGTCGCCCCCCCCCCCCCATTTGTAGGCAACATCTATTTGCTGGCCGCCTCAGCCGAGCCCCCCATGTCTCGATGAGAAAGCACAGGCAGGTACATGGCGAGGCCTCCATCCTCACTGGTTACTGGCCAGAGACCTCCATCCTTGACACTTCCTGGCATCTGGCTGCCCACACAGGAAGTGATTCGAGAGGTAAAGAAATGGGGGCAGGTGCCGCTGAGGTTCGAAGATGCTGGAACATGGCTCATCTGTTGCAACATGAGGAATTAGGAGACTGAATCTAAAGATAACATGGAGAAAAACCCAGCCGACTCCAAGTCTATCTATACTGACAGGTGACCCCTAGATACCACGGCAACACTGAAGAACTGTGCAGGGGTCTGCAGAAACTGCCCTCCATACCAAAGCATTGACTCCCTTTACCAGATTTTAGAATTGTTTACTTCCAATCCCTTGGCAAGCAAAGCTCCCTTTCACACTCCTCCAAAACTGTCATCTGGCCCTGGCTGGTTTGGCTCAGCGGTTAGAGCGTCGGCCTGCGGACAGAAGGGTCTGGGGTTCAATTCCCAGTTAAGGCCATGTACCTTGGTTGCCGGTTCAATCCCTGACCCCGGTCGGGGCTGTGTGAGAGGCAACCAAGTGGGGTTGGGCTTCCTCCCCATCTCATCTGGCTGCCTCTCCAAATGAGCTCTTTCTTTGTTGCACAAAAACAAAAACCTGTGTCAATCATAGCAGTACCTGGTAGTTGTAGTACGGCTGGTTAATAACTCCTGCTATGGCTTTTCCTTCATAAGCAATTCCAATAAGAACTGTTACATTGTCAAGAAGACCTATAAAGAAGAAATGAATATCAATTATTATATAACTTGTTCACGTTATGACTCATCACCCACACATGAATAGCTCCAAGTTATCTGCAGTAAAGGCAAGGTATCTGCAGTGATTCATCCATGATCGATCCAACTTCTGGCAAAATGCACAAATTATGAGAAAGTGCTGGCCAGACAGAGAAGTAGGGTCTAGGGCCAGTTAACTGAATTGCTATACGTGGTCTAATTAAATAGAAAACTAATTAAATAAAGCAGCCGTAACTCCACAGGCATTATCATTAGATCCCTCTGTGCCCCCTCTGCCACCATCCACCTCACTCCTGACCACTGCATCACTCTCTATTCCAGGGTTACTCTCTCGATTTGCATTTTAAGACTCCAAAGGAAGGATTCTTAGCCTGGGGTCTGGGCACCAGGAAGCAGCATTAGAATTAACTGGCGTCACTTTTATAATACAAGAGCCAGTGCATCGCAATCTCTGGAGGGGGAGAGGTGGAGACCTAGACAAGCTGTGTAGGTGTCCTACATACTCAAAAGCTGTCTGGAACCCCCGTTTCTCAACAAAGCTGTTTTCAGTAAACACACACACATACATACACTCTGCATGGCTCACTCATAACAGACATGTCTCATCCAAGGACAGAGAAAGAGTTTTCTCTAGTAATGATGAGAAGTTGTCTTTCTAAGCCATGAAGCTGAGAACCAACATAAGAAAACCTAGGTAGACCTTTTTTTTCCGCAAATAAAACTCAAAGCTTACGCTATGCTCCTAAAACCTAAAACTCTGGCTCTGAGCTTGGTCTTTTCTCACTTTAATGTTGCCTATTTTACTTTAATAGGCTGCTTTCTTCTTTTTCTCATCTTCGATAACTTCAGAAGAGAGAACTACTACACTGTTTCCAAGCCCACCTTTAAAGGCGAGGCTGTAGAGAGAAAGCGGGTCACAGGTGAGGGGACAGTGAGTGGGGGGAGGGGGACAGCGGAACATGAGCAGCAAAGCTGTGCTTCTCTTCGGTGTTCCACCCCAACAGAGCTGGGGTTCAGTCTGGTGACACTGGCTTCATGTCAGCTCTTCTCATGCAGGGCACATCAGAATTGCGGGGCTGGCAGACCGTGTGTGGGGAGGTCGCGGAAGGAGATGAATTTCCTCTCCGTCTTGACAATCACTGATGTACAACGACAGTCAACTAGGATGGGCACCAACACAGCTTTAGGGCACAGACAGAGAACAATGCCAGCCTTTCATACGACATATGAAGTGTCGAATGCTCACACTCAACATCATAGGCTACTCCTGCTGCTCAAATACAAAAACGAAAGAGATACCAACCTTCAGTATACTCCTTGGTACCATCCAGAGGATCAACCCAGACCACAAGCTAAAAAGTAAAAGGAAATACGCAAAGTAAGTCTACAAAATATTAAAAAATAGATACAAATAGACTAACCAAAGCTACTTTTTTTTTTCTTCTCATTTTTGAAATTATTTTATGGATGGCTTAAGCCAAAGTCACCAGCTTTGTGACAGTAAAAAGAAATTTACTGTTCTGTAATCACGGAGAACGTCCATTTACGATGGAGAAAGTGGGACTTAAGAATGTTGAAAATGGCCCTGGCCGGATTGGCTCAGAGGTTAGAGCGTTGGCCTGCAGTTCAGAGAGACCCGGGTTCGGTTCCCGCTAAGGGCACGTATCTTGGTTGCAGTTTGTCCCCGGCCCTGGTTGGGTCATGCGGGTGGCAGCCATTCAATGTGTCCCTTTCACATCGATGTTTCTCTCTCTCTCCCTCCCACTCTATCTGAACAATAAATGAAAAAATGTCCTCAGGTGAGGATAAAAAAAAAAAAAAAAATTTGAAAATGATGTGCTTCACTGATGACAGCTGACTGTCAGCTGAACACCAAAGACAATGCCATGTACACACTGAGCTACATGGTGACATGGGGAAAACTTTAAAGTGGCACCAGGATGTTCTGAACAATGTGTGGTTGCTACTCATTTTTATAAATAAATGCCGATTTAAGAAATGACAGTCTGATTAACTTCACATCATCACTTATAAATAGCAAATAAAAATAAACAGTTTAGTCCTGGCTGATGTGGTTCAGTTGGTTGGGCATCATTCCGTGCACCAAGAGGTTGGAGGTTTGATTCCCCATCAGGGCACATGGCTGGGTTTCGGGTCTGATTCCCCAGTAGGAGATGTATGAGAGGCAGCCGATCAATGTTTCTCTCTCTCTAAAAATCAATATTTTTAAAGTAAAATAAAATGGTTTATATAACTGAAACTAGACAAAAGAAGAAGTCCCGCCCTGGCCAGTTTGGGTCAGTGGTTAGAGTGTCGGCTGTGGACTGAAGGGTCACGGGTTCAGTTCCTGGTCAAGGGCATGTACCTGGGTTGCAGGTTTGATCCCCGGCCGTGGTCTGGGTTGTACAGGAGGCAACCAATCAATGTGTTTCTCTCACATCGATGTTTCTCTCCCCCCCACCCCTTCCACTCTATCTGAAAATCTAGGGGAAAATATCCTTGGGTGATGAGTAACCAAAAAAAAGAGAAGCCCCTTCTACTTAGGACTTCTAACATGATTCAGGCAAAGGCGGCCATTACCCACTAGAATTCTAACACGATGTTAATGTCAATGAAGAAATACTTCCGATGAAAAGACACCATGTCTCATTCTTTGTATCCTTCATACCCCAGGGCAGAGTGCCTTACTCACAGTAAGTATTCAATGAATGTGCTAAACAAATTAAAATTAGAAAATTAAAGTATGATAGTTATATGAAGTCACAGATTTAATTCAAGTGACTTTAAAAAGTAAACGAGGTGATTTTTATGGCCTTCCAAAAATATAAGCTAGTGATCTGTTTACCTCCTTCCAGCCCCAATAGCCAATGAAATATTTTACTACCAAATATACTAAATAAAAAATTAGACTTTCTCCTTAAAAGTACTTTTAATAATTACTCTAGAGTGGAGAAGAGACCAATAGCATGAGAAACTGAACTCGAAATAGGTCAGACCTTCCCAATGGTGGCCTGATACTCAATGTTGCCCCTATTTTATAACTACCAACTTTTCGTCACTGTAGGTGAATTCTATTTCCTTTACTGCAGCAACAACAACAAAGATGAGTAGAGAGTTAAGGAATGTGGGTCATACGTCTTCCTCTTTAATGGTGCTGTACTGTGACGGGCAAGGTTTCCCAAGTATTTCTTCCCACTGACCATCTTCAATCAGCTCTTGATCCACTTCTTCAGAAAGCAGGTCCTACAGCAGAGAACACTGATTACGAGGCCGCCGAGCACCCGTGTCAGTAACGGAAGAAATCCGCAGCATCGCACTTGTCACTAGTCCTGCCACTTATCTTTAGAGCTTTAAACCAAACCGAATAAACTTGCCGACGTGACCAGATACGGCTCACCGAAGTTGACCAGGGAGTCCCAAGTTCGTTATCCGGAACAGTTTAGAAAGAAAAGAATTTTTAAGCACTATCAACTTTTCAAAGTAAGTGGCTCTGACACCGGATACTTCTCTCTCAATTACATGAGATGTCAATTCCTTCACTTTCACAGGGTTAGTCTTTGGATAAGTACATAAGTAAGCCTAGTTAAAAACAAACAGAAACCAAATCTATTTTATTCTAAAACCCCAGAATTCCACCCATCTTAGAGTTTGCATGCTGAATATTATAATACTAACCATATCTTCGATGATCAAGATTGAGATATCTGGCCCAGAAATGGACCAAATTTTTCATCATCAGACATTGCCTTCAAGTCCGAGGAATATAATGACTTTTGCGTTAAAATGCCAGATATAACGCTTGAAAGCATGAGTGGTATCTAAATCATTAAAGTGGCAGTTATAAATCCATATGGTAAACAGGTATTAAGGAAAATACTATATCCCTGACAAGTCTTACCTCTTCCCCTATGATGGTTAGTTTGGGGAATTTCCGTGCCAGGGAAGAGCATATGCTCATTTGTGCCAGTCGGTCCGCTTTGGTCTGCAGGTCCGTTGGACAGGTCTGCAACAAAGAATGCAAATTTTAGCCCAGCCGGTGTGGCTCAGTGGATTGAGCATCGCCCCATGGACTGAGAGGTCCAGGTTCGATTCCAGGTCAGGGCACATGTCCGGGTTGTGGGTTCGATCCCCGGTAGGGGGTGTGTAGGGGGCAGCCAATCGATGTTTCTCTCTCACATTGATGTTTCTCTCTCCCTCTCCCTTCTTTCTCTATAAAAAGATCAATAAACATTTTTTTTAAAAAGAATGCAAATTTTAACAGAGCTCATATGAAATGTCGTCCTCTGTCTGATTCCTAAGGCATGAGTCTATACCCTTTAAATGACAGTCTGTTTTTAGATTTATAAAACTTAACACCAAACGAGCTAACTACTTCTTGGCTTGGTTTTTCTCGTGGGATTTATAGTGGTGAAAGTTTGGAAAGGAGCTTTTAAGTTATCAGAACATTTTCTCCCCAGTTCAGAATTTCCTTTCATAAGATCTCTAGATCAATCTTTTGCTTAAACAGGTTAAGAGAGAGGAAATTCATAACTTCTTTAAGTCAGTCAAAGCTAAAAAAACTGTATCTTTAGTTATTTGAAAGGTATTCCTTATACGGATTTTTCCGTAGCTTTCACTCACTAACCCTAATCCTAGCAATTCAAGGGGTCCTCAGGACAACTCCTTGGTGTATGGAAAATTCCTATTTCTGAAATATAAAAATGAACAACCATAATATTTAATATATAGCTCACCTATGGCTCACTCAGTTCATGTATCAGATCGTCATGCTAGTGAAGGACAGTGGAAAACCCTGGAACTGACAGCCATGACCTCATTTGTTCGTTTCCTTTCAGAGAAGTATGACGTTATAATTTACATATGTCTGGTTAGGTAAATCTACAGATGATACAAACTTAAATGGTGGCATTTTTACAATGCTCTGCAATGAGATGGGGAATGATCATGAAGGTCGACTCTCTCATGCCACACTGGAGTTTGCTGCTTATCTTAATGCAAAGTACTATTCTGCTGGAGTGTAGTGCCACACAGGCAGAGGTCTTCGTTTTAGTCCTCAAAGAACTGTGTCTGGCGCACAGTAGGTGCTCTATAAATATCTGCTGAATGAGCCCAGCCAGTGTGGCTCAATGACTGAGCGTCGACCTGTGCACCAAGAGGTCACTGGTTCAATTCCCGGTCAGGGCCCATGCCCAGGTTGTGGGCCCAGTCCCCAGTGTGGGGCATGCAGGAGGCGGCCAATGTTCTCTCTTATCAATGTTTCTATCTCCCTCTCCCTTCCTCTCTCTCTAAAATCAATAAAGAGCCCTGGCCGGTTTGGCTAAGCGGTTAGAGCGTCGGCCTGTGGTCCGGAGAGACCCGGGTTCGGTTCCCGCTAAGGGCACGTACCTTGGTTGCAGTTTGTCCCCAGCCCTGGTTGGGTCGTGTGGGTGGCAACCACTCGATGTGTCGCTTTCACGTCGATGTTTCTCTCTCTCTCTCCCCCTCTCACTCTATCTGAACAAAATATCGAAAAATGTCCTCGGGTGAGGATAAAAAAAAAAACAAAAAACAAAAAAATAAAATCAATAAAGAAAATAGAAATTTATTTATATATATATCTGCTGAATGAAACCTCTGAAAGTAATTGTTGAATCTGAAGATGACTTATATATCAATCAAGCGTAGAGACCATGACTCCAGACGAAAACAGACACACTGGCAGCCGCTGAACTACATGAAGAAAACTATCCCAGTTCTTTTATTCTCTAAGATAAATATTTCCTGTTCTTTCTACTGACACGGTGCCAGACCTCACCACTCTGCAATCACCATAAGGAAGCCACCGATTAGTCCAACGATTGAAGTCTGTGCAGATTATTACATCCTTGAGTTAAACTTCAAGGGACAAAGATAAAGTTGGTATGAAAAAAAGATGGGATTCTCAGTACCTTCTCCACGATGCCCAGGTCTCCTTCAGCAATAACACGCCTGACTATTGCTCCTGCTTTCTGAGCAATCGAATATGCTGAGGCTACCAACCGCATCAACACCGTGTGACCGGAAGCCATGATAAGCCCTAAAGGGAAATTGAGAGAAATGTTTTGTTACTTTCACAGCCAACTACTTGTTTAACTTACTTGAATTCAATCCAAAACGTGTTTATTGTGTGTTTACTTGGGAATGCCCCAATTCACTGTATAGATTCTGAAAAGAGACTTGGAAAAACCTCCATTTCAGGATCAGCTCTCAATAAATTCTAAAGTTTTATTTTCTGTGCAGACGGGACATTTTGAAGCATGGGGGAAACTGGCCCAGGCCTGTGAGCACGTGAAAAAGCTTTATGTATGAGAAGTGTAACATGCAAAGACTGTGGAAGGTGCTTCAGGGGCTGAAAATATAACATTTGCTTTGAAGAGCTAATATTGTGGTGGGTTGGGGGTAAAATAGCAGAACCTAAAGTCTACAACCTAAAACTGGTAAGTGCCAAGAGAGGTATGAATCGCATAGATGATGTGGGTAGATATGTGGAGTAATTAAAAAGGGAAAGGACAGCCCGGCTGGTGTGGCTCAGTGGCTGAGCGTCAACCCGGCACCAAGAGGTCGCAGGTTCAATTCCCGGTCAGGACACATGCCTGGGTTGTAGGCCCAGTCCCCAGTCTGGGGCATGCAGGAGGTGGCCAATCGATGTTCTCTCTCATCGATGTTTCTATCTCTCTCTCCTCTCCCTTCCTCTCTCTCTAAAAATCAATAAAGAAAAATAAATAATAAAAAGGGGGGGGGATTACACGTGAGTATAATTAGTTTCTGAAAAATCAGCAAAGACTCCTTGAGATTAAATGCAACGTCATCTGCGGCCTATTTACAACCATCCTCTACAGGAGCCATGGGCAGAACAGGCAGCATAACTAACTGAAGACCAACCATGTAGAAAAGTAACGAGTGTCAGAGTAGTTTCTGGCCCCAGTAGAAAAATACAGGGAAAAATAGCTTTTAGGATTAAATATATTCATCTTTGAGAATACAAATCCAAATCCTGCCATTTTAGTGACTGTTCTGAGTCTGGGATGCACCACCCAGATTCCCTTTAGGACCGAAGGACCTATTTCCTCTGCTGCTGAGTGTTCCCAATGGATGGTCTTTGGCTGCCACCTTTCTTGGGGAATTTATCTGCTGAGAAGAGCAATTTCACCTGAAACTGGTCAACAAGGGGGTGTAAGGGCCTCTCTCCACTCCAGCTGGGCCACTGCCCCAACTCTGATGGGCCAGCCTAGCTTCCCAATGCCCAGTGTGGTCAGCCGAGGCCTTAGGGGACACCGTATCACGGCTAAGGTCTCCCCCTCTCCCTGTGCATTCCTACCTCCTTCCCTTCCTTCCCACACTTGATCCCAAGGACACTCCCCAGTAAACCTCCTATACTCTGTGTCTGTGTCAGGGTACTGGTGGGGAACCAACCTATGACAAAAAGTCTCCCCACGCTAATCAAATCGAGGCAACGTCGTTTCAGTCCAAGAAGGGAACACAATATAGACATTACAGAGCTCAATTCAGCAACAGTCGCCATTCCACCAATTTCTCACTGAGTATTTGACTCCATGTGCCTTTTAGCCTCTTTACATCTTTTTTCTATCACCCGCCTTCTACTCACAGGGCTTAGGAACATCAATGAGATGAACATGAACGAGACAATAAACAAGGGAAGTGTTTGAAACCCTTCATAAGAAAGACACTGAAATTGAAATGCAAACTAAAAGGTAATGAATACCATACTGTGACCAGCACTTTTCTGGAATTAAGATGAAAACAGAGTGGGTTTCAATGTATTTGATTTCTGTTGATCTTACTACATCATGATCAGGCTATATTTATTTTCTTGGCATACTAGGTGTTAGACTAGGAAAAATGGGTTATGATGATTATTACTTCAGGAACACCTCAAATAGAAAACAGGAGAAATAATTTAGCAAACCCTTTGCTAGCCTTACATCTACTCCCTTATGTCCATGACCAGCCAGATAGCTGATATATTCTGTACTGGAAAAGGTAGTCTTTGGGCCACTAATCTGTACTATCCAGGTGTCTTAACCACTGAGGCTACTTTATCTTCTTCTTCTTCTTCTTTTTTTTTAAAGAAACACTTAAGGATTAATCGCTGAATCCAGCTTGCCTTGGCTTATTTCTTTTCCCTTATTGATTTTGAGAGAGAGGGGAAGAGAGAGACAAACATTGATGAGAGAGAACATCGATTGGCCGCCTCCTGCATGCCCCCCACTGGGGATCAGGCCCACAACCTGGGCACGTGTCCTGACCAGGAATCGAACTGGTGACCTCTTGGTGCGTGGGTCAACGCTCAACCACTGAGCCACACCGGCAGGACCACTGAGGCTACTTTAATGTGTTGGTCTGCACATCCAGTCCCCATCCTATAAAAGATGACAGATGACTTCTGTGAAAGGCAGCCTGGGTTCCCTCACCCTATGGTGTTGTTCTAACTCTTCATAGGTATCATTTACCTTTGAGCCAACTGAGCATTCATTACAGGCTTGTCAGTTCTTACAGGGCTAAACCACTCCCCTTTCTGTTTGCCAAGTCCACGGTATTTTCTTCCCGAGGAAAACTTGAAAGCTTTGTCTTCCTCCTACATGCTTCATAAAAATGTGTATTTGCAAACCACCATTTAAAGCTAACATCTGTTTTATGTGAATGTAAAAAATCAGTTTGGGGCAAAGCACACAATGATTTACAAAGAGATCCCTTAAATCACTTTTAGTTGGCAAATAGGAAAATATTTCTACCATTTTCTCCGAGGTATTTCTCTGGTCCAAACTGAATTAGTAATAAAATATTACCGACTCCTAGCCCTAATATTTTTTATTACATATGTTGTAAACAAATGAATACACTTGTGGCTTTTCATATAAAGAAAATGTAGCTAATTATATTATCAAAATGCCAAATCTGTAAAAGAGGTTCCTATTAGCCTTTTTAATGGTGAACCTTCCCAGACCCCAAATGAGAATTAATTACCTGTTGCCAGTACAGGTGGATATAGAACAAGGCCAAAAAGCTTCCTGCAAGTTAACTTCCTTACAGCAGTTCAGATTAAACTCATCCTACTTCCTTCTCTACCATTTGTACTCCTCTCAGTCCTAAAGCACTACCTCTAGATTACCTGGCTCAAAGGTAAACGACACCTGTGAACAATTAGAACAACACCATACAGTAAGGGAAATTGATCTGCCTCCTGCAAGCTTACTCAGTATCAGAAGAGTGGTTAAAGGCACAGGCATTGAAGCCAATTGCCCAAGTCCAAATCATGGCTCTGGCACGTATTAGCTGTGTGATATTAGGAAAGCTACTTTACCTCTCTGTGCCTCAATCTGCAAAATGGAGCTAACAATAGTACCTATAGCATAGAGTTGTAATTATTACACGAGAAGGACAATTACAGCACTTAGATTGTCCCAGGCACAAGGTAAGCACTGAATTATAATGGCTAAAAAATTCCTGTAGCTTTGGCAACATTATTTTGACCCTGAGGATTTACTGTGATAACCAATATGACCCTGAATCACAGTACAGCTTCTTTTAAATCATATTCCAGGCTTGAGGCTTAGAGCACATATGAAAAAATCCCATCTTTTAAGAAATCTTTACAGCTGCCAACATGGCTAGTTCAGGAATAAATGATCCTTATTTTTATAGCGTGGGAGAGTATCTTGAATTCAGTACAAAGGTGGTGAGCATATGAGGATTAATGAGTTCACAATCAAAATACTGAGATTATTTATCTTGGGACTCTGATTAAATCATACTAAAGTTCAAGGTCATCTGGAAATATAAAAATGTGAGCATAACAGAGCAAATTCTAAAAAAAGAACAATGAGCAGAGATACTTTCCTTACCAGCTACCAAAATATGATATAAGATTATAGTAATTAAAATAGTTTAATCCTGGACAGATTTAGAGAGACAAATGAAGGGAATCAAACTCCAGACACAATAAAGCTTGTATTTCAAATCATGGGAGAGAAAGTTAATTATGCATAAATAGCAGGGCAATTAGTAATGCTCTTTTAAAATGTTGAATCCTTTTTGCATTCTTTATATCAATATAAATTCCACATGATTCTAAAAGTAAAGAATGAAACTCTAAAAGTACAAGACTAAAACTTGGATGAAATGCTTTACAAATTTGGTAAAACTATAAACATGCCAAAAAACAAGAATCCATAAAAGAATATACTGATACATTTGACTGCATAAAAATTAAAACATCTGTACAGTCAAAATACCATAAACAGTACAAAAAGCTGACAAAAACGAGAAAAAAAATAGTGTCACATACTAAACACATGAGCTCATTTTTGTTATGTAAAAGAGCTTTTATATATCAATAAAAGATTAATCCAATAGAAAAATGAGCAAAGAACACGAACAGGCAATTCCTAGAAAAAGAAAAGCAATGGCTGGTAAACACATGAAATGATTAATTTCATAATTTCTGAACATAAATCCCTTGAATCTCCGCTTATCTGTGCCAAAGGGGTGGAGTTAGGGGGACAATGAACGACTCAAATCTGCCTGTGATCTGCCCTTGTCCTGACCCGCAAGGGAGAAACTCAACTTACTTACGAGACAGGCCTCGAACAAAGTTAGTCGAAAGACACTTCAGGGATAACCCCCCAAAAGCGTTATTAAGCAACAAGTCCCTCGCGGCGTCCAGTACCGCTTTCTCCCAGTCAATAGGACATCTGTGGTCATAGGACAACCTTACCTCAGCTACTGCGCATGCGGCAAGTTCGGCGCAGGCGCAGAGCAGCTACGTCGCCACAGTCCTGTCCGATTCCCGATCCGCCGAAATTCCACTTCTCCATGTTTTCTTCAAGTTCTTGATTGGCTCTAGTTGCTTGACAGCCAAGTGAATGGTGTGTCTACCTGTTAGAGATTCATTCCGCCTTCACGGAGTCTTCAGCCCACTTTGTGCACACAGTTTACTGGGTTAGTGACATCGCCCTGCGGCTGCGGGCGGCTGCGTAACCGCGAAGGGGTTAACCGTGACACCTCCACCTGTCTCCCTGCAACAAAGCAACTGTATGCAGAATTGTGTTTGCATTTGCCTGCAGATAACTCTTGAGAGATGGCCTCTTTCCCTGGTGTATCATATTAATGATTTTTTTTTTTTTTTTGCTTGATGCACTGCCAGAAATAAACACCAGCAAAAACAAAAAATTGTCTTTTTTTCCCCCCCACGTAGGCATTCACCGTATATTGTGCTGCTTGTGTTGTGGGTGCGGGGAGGGGGCAGATACACCTGAAAGCAGCAGAGTGAATAGCCAATGACTTTTTTTTTCAATATTACAAAGTAGGGCACTGTGATTAGAACATAACGAAAATGAAAAGATGGCAGAACTAGTAGCAACCATCAATTATAACAGTAAATGTAAATTGCTTAAACTCCTCCATTTAAACACAAATTCTGCAATTGATTAGAAAACCAAATGCCCTGCAGTTACACCTCATTTCATTGCACGTTGCTTTATTGCGCTTTACAGGTGTTGGTTCTTTTAAAAAGCGAAGGCATGATCAAACTGCAAATTTGGATTTTCATTGGCATAAAATTGGACCCGTTGTGTGATCTGGAGAAAATTACTTAATTCTGTGCTTCAGTCTCCTTACCTGTAAAATCGTAATATTCATAGTACCTACCTCACCTCACAGGGTTGTTTTGGCATGTTGTATCTTCACGGGGCTTAAAGATCAAATGAGTTGATGCAGGCAGAGAGAGCTGGGGACAGTGCCTGGTGAAAGGCTGACATCAATGTAGTTTTCCTATTTGCCGCTTGCCTTCTCACTTTGGGCTGTCTTTTTCCAAATAACATTTTGTTTTCATTTTTGTAGGAAATCTGTCCACCTTATGTATACCAAATCTTCTAGATGTTGTGTTGCGTGATTAGGAAGGTTGTTCCCAAGAGGTAACAGCTGTCAACTAAAAGGTCTGAGTGGTGGAAGATCACATCCACAATGCAAGGCCGATGTAGAGCAAAACGATTTCATTGCATGCGCCTGGGTGCAGGCGGGCTGAGCCCGAAAAGGGGTCAGCCTCAAATAACAGTTGGGGTGTAGGTTACATACACTGCTTCTAGCTTCTGGCAGTTCCTGCTGAGGTACCCTGCATGGCCCATTATCCACTTTGCAGTTGGACTGGTCTGGTATCTCGCCCTGCATCTGCTGGGTGATTCATTGTCTTGTGGATAATCTGTATTCAACAGAAGGCTGAGCAAAGGTCATGCAAGCAGCGCCTTTTTCAGTTTCCGCTTTTGCAAGCTTTTCCAAAGTGGGGGACATGCAGGAGACGGCCAGTTGATGTTCTCTCTCATCGATGTTTCTCTCCCTCTCCCTTCCTCTCTCTCTAAAGTCAATAAAGAAAACAATAAATAAATAAAATTGTTATTAACCCTTCCATGAACTACCATGACCTGGACAACCAAATGGAGCAGAATAGAAGTGGGACATGACAGCGATAGAGGGAGTCTGAAAAATAATTAGGTTGATTTACAACGTTGATACGAACTTTGTACTCACAAAAGCAGTGTTGCCCCCAAACGTGGCCATTAGTCCCGTGTGCGTGTTGACCACTTGACAAGTTACTAGCCCAAAGGGAGATGCGCTGTATGTCTGTGTAAGATACATACCAAGTTTCGAATTCTTAGCATGAAGAGGAAGAATGCAAAGTATCTTATTTACAATTTTGTATAAACTACACGTTGAAATAATGCTATCTTGGACCTATTTTGTTAAATAAATAAATATATATATTACTATTTTTTAAAGCAGGGCTCTGCGATTGACACAGGAGCGCCAGCGGCGGCCACACCTGGCCCCGCCCCCGGAGGCTGACGCTACGACCCGGAGCTGGATGTGACCCCGCGGACTCCGGGAGGCCGCGCTCCCCGCCCTTCTGGCCCCGCGCGCGTGCGCCCTGCCGCCGGGCCCGCGCAGGTTTCTCTGGAGTCCCTGTCTTCCCGGACCCGGTGGGAGCCGAGGCCCGGGCGATCTTCGGGAGGCGGGGGTCGGCTCGGCATGCGTTGGGGGCTGCGTCATCGCCGGCCGGGGCCAGCGGCCCTGGCTGCCGCCTGGACTTTGTGGGGGCCGCCCCGCCTTCCTTGTCGCCCGGGCTGGCGAGAGACTGCCCGGGGGCTTTTGGTGCGATCAGTCACCGGGGCCAGCAACCAGCTGCAGAGCTCGAGTAATGGCAGGTATCGGGACACGGTGCTGCTGCCCCAGACCAGCTTCCCCATGAAACTGCTGGGCCGCCAGCAGCCGGACACGGAGCTGGACATCCAGCAGGTGCGGCCCCGCCTCTGCGCCGCGCGAGCGGGGACTCGGGAGGGAGGCCCGAGCCGGCCGGCGTGGGGGGACGGCGGCCCCCGGAGCCACGGCGGGCGGGGCGGGGCCGGGCTCCAGGCCCCTTGGGCGGGCGGGTTGTGACCAGATGAGTAAAATCCATCCGCTTCTCAGGTTTTACTGCCTGAAAACTTAAGTGGAGAAGCCTGGAGGTAAGTCCCTAAGCGGTAGTGGGTTACTGAGATAGCAGCAGGGGTTCAGCATAAGTCTCATTTCTAGTTAGTTCAACATAAGTACTCATTTTTAGCTTCGGCAAAGCAGGTCGAATGTGGACACGTTTCCGGGGGCTTATAAAAAGTAAAATAACATGTACATCTATCCATAAAAATTGGGTTATGAGGACAAGTGGCAGCTCACGTTTGTGGTATTAGCAGGTCCCTAGTTGGAATTGTGACTTGTGTGCAGGACAAAGTAGCAGTACTTAACCTTTCTCTGACTCCGCGTCCTAAACTGTGCATATCTGCCTCTCGTGTTAAACTGAATTTTCAAAGGACAGAGATTCACTTGTTAGTTTCTCTAATTCTAGAGTCTTTAAAATCCCTGACACTCGGGTTATATTGGTTCAGTAAATATGCTTAGCTTAAATATGACAGTTATAAGAGCTCTGGACTCATAAACCTGTTTTGGCCAAATAATTGTTTAAAGTGTTTTATCCGGTACCTTTGGTATGCCAAGAACTGTGACATTTCCGAAGGTTCTCTCATCTTCACACCAAATGGATATTAACATTTTTTGCAAATGAGTAAACAGGCCCATTAGGGCAAAGTGACTTGACCAAGTTCACAGCAGATCGCACTATGTGTGGTTTCAGATTGAGAGAGTAGCAAGGGCTTAGATTTAATCAGAAGTCTGTGAGGGAGACTATTAAAAAGATATTAAAAGAAGAGTACTTAGCTGTCAGAGGAGTGGGGTGTCCAGGGGCTGGGTTTGGGTGAGGTAGAAGAGGATAAATGGTGATGGAAGACGACTTGATTGTTGGTGGTGAACATACTATACGATATACAGATGATGTATTATAGAATTGAACACTTGAAAACTGTATCATTTCACTAACCAATGTCACCCCAATAAATTCAATAAAAATTTGTTTAAAAAGTACTCAGATGTGCATTTTAGAAACCTCACCATTTGCATTTTAGAGTTGAATACATTGGAATGAAATAAGAAATAAGTGCTGGCTGTTATTTATGGTAAGATTCGGGAGTATGCATTTATATGATGCTCAGACATTATCACTCTTTTTAAACAGAAATGTGGATTTTCAGAACTTTATTCATGGCAAAGAGAAAGAAAAGTAAAGACAGAATTTTGTCTTCATGATGGACCTCCTTATGCAAATGGCGACCCTCATGTTGGACATGCTTTAAATAAGGTAATTATAATTAAGTTTATAAGACTTGGGGGAAAACTTTTATTTAAATACACTTTACAGCCCGGTCAGTGTGGCTCGGTGATTGAGCATTGACCCATACACCAGGAGGTTGCCATTTCGATTCTCGGTCAGGGCACATGCCCAGGTTGTGGGCCCAGTCCCCAGTGGAGGGCATGCAGGAGGAGGTTGATCATGTTCTCTCTCATCAATGTTTCTATCTCTGTCTCCCTCTCCCTTCCTCTCTCTCTCTCAAATTAATAAAGAAAAAAAATGAAAAAAGAAAATAAATACTCTTTACAAAAGAGTATTCTGATACTATGACAATTATGTAAATTTGCATTGACATCAAATGAATGTCCTAATAGAAAGCAGCAATAAACCTGCTTACGGGCTGTAAAGTGTATTTCATTACTGTGTGAAATATAGTATCACTGGTATTTGCTTGGAACTTGCTATTTTACATTAGTAAATTTCATTTTATTCAGTAAATAACTATTGAGCACCTACTAAGTGCCAGGTGTTGTTCTAGACTGATAATATCAATGAACAAAATAAAGCTAAGTCTTGACCCTTTGGAGCTTATATGCCTTAGTCAGGGAAGACATAAGATAAATAAAATGTTGGAGTTGCTATAGACTGAATATTTGTTTCTTCATGGAAGACATAAATCAATAAGCTAGATAAACTATGTTAGAGTTGCTATAGACTGAATTTGTTTCTTCTTACAAATTCATATGTTGAAACCTAATCCCTGATGGGATGGTTTTTGGATATGGGGCCTTTGGGACGTGATTAGGTCATCAGTGAGGTTAGTGCCCTTACTAAAAGCTACCCCAGAGAGCTCCCTTGTCCTCTTATGCCGTGTGAGGTCACAGCGAGAAGATTATGGGCTGTGAATCTGACAGAGGGTCTCAGCAGATGCCTATTCTGCCAGTTCCTTGATCTGGGACTCCTCTGATTTCGGAACTGTGAGAAAGAAATGTCTGTTTAAGCCCTGGCCGGTTTGGCTCAGTGGTTAGAGCGTCGGCCCGCGGTCCAGAGAGACCCGGGTTCGGTTCCCGCTAAGGGCACGTACCTCGGTTGCAGTTTGTCCCCGGCCCTGGTCGGTCGTGCAGGTGGCAGCCGCTCAATGTGTTCCTTTCACGTCGATGTTTCTCTCTCTCTCTGTTCCTCTCTCTCCCTCCCACTCTACCTGAACAAAAAATGGAAAAATGTCCTCGGGTGAGGATAAAAAAAAAAAAAAAAAAAAAAAAGAAATGTCTGTTTAAGCCGCCCAGTTTATGCTATTATGTTACAGACGCTCAAACTGGTAAGACAATAGTGATAAATGCTATGGAGAAACATTGGGAGAGGGTGTGGTCTTGGACACCTGTTTCTGCTTTCAGAACCAGGAATCTGGTCACTGAACAGGTCCATACTGCTATTAGAGCAGTATTGCATTGTAACATATATATTTTACTTAAAAAATATATTGTACTTAAAAAGTAAATCGTATTGGAAAAAAAGTTTTTTATCCTCACCCAAGGATATTTTTCCATTGATTTTTCAGATAGAATGGAAGGGAAGGAGGGAGAGAGAGACAGAGAGAAATGCATTGGTTGGTTGCCTCCCACACAACCCCTACCAGGGCCAGGGATAGAACCTGCAACTGAGGTACGTGAACTTGACTGGAATCAAACACGCGACTCTTTGGTCTGTGGGCTGATGCTCTAACCAGTGAGCCAAACCAGCCAGGGCTGTGTTGAACATTTTTAACATTTGAGATGTGTTATACATATTGCACATTCCACAGAGGACAAACTATGATGCTTGATTGTTAATTATTGCACATTTTACATCAGCTGGTAAAAAAGCATAACTTCAAATATCTGTTTTTCTTAAGTATTTCTGTAGCACTTGAATTAGGATATTTAATAGGTTACTTTATATAAATCCTTTCAAAATTGAGTTTTCTCTGTGTTTTAAAATATTAACAACATAATACAAATTGTTGGATACATGCTTCATGTATGGGTAATGATTAGCATTTTCTTTGCAGATTTTGAAAGATATAGCCAATCGATACCATATGATGAGAGGTTCCAAAATACATTTTGTGCCAGGCTGGGATTGTCATGGGTTACCCATTGAAATAAAAGTATTATCAGAATTTGGTGGAAAAGCTCAGAATCTTTCAGCGTTGGAAATCAGAGAGAAAGGTAAGCAGTCTGTTTCTGTTTAAAATGATATTTGTAAACACGAGTTCTTTGGAAAAGTCTGGGCTTTGTCAGAGAGACCTGTTGTATTTTGTTTTTTCTGTGTTGTTTTTTTTTGTAGTTATAATGAGATATGTTGGAAATCACTTTGTGTCACAGAAAATTCAGACTTTTTTCAATTGTGAGAAAAATATCTCTTCGTGAGAACTTATGTGCAGAGATTGAAGGAAAGCTTTGTAAGCATTTCCAAGTACATTTTTCAGTTCTTTAGTCTATATTTTGTGAAATTATTATTTTGATCAGTGTTATTTATTTATTTTCCTGGCTCAGGCTATTGACCTATTTCAGGTGATAAAACAAAAGTGGATTCTAAAATACAATATATTTTATTTTTTTTATTTTTTATTTTTTTCTTATATGAATTTTTATTTATTTTTTTGTTACAGATATTTTACCTTTTTACCCCATTGGCACCCCCCACCCCACCCCACCTCCGCCCCGTCCCCAGCTTAGTTGTCCATGTCCATTGGTCATGCATACATGCATATAAGTTCTGTGGTTTATCTCTTCCCACCCCCCCACCCCCCCACCCCCCCATCCCCTCTTCTGAGGGATGTCAGTCTGTGCCCTACTTCCATGTGTCTGGGTCTACTGTATTCCTCAGACTGTTATGTTCATTATATTCCGTATATAAGTGAGATCATGTGGTATTTGTCTTTTTCTGCTTGGCTTCTTTCACTTAGGATAATACTTTCCAGGTCCCTCCATGTCGTCTCAAAGGATAAGAGATCTTTCTTTCTTACCGCTGCATAGTACTCCATTGTGTATATGTACCACAGCTTTTTTATCCATTCGTAAAATACAATATATTTTATATTAATCTCTTATTTGACTCTTTAGTAGATTGAGTCAGCAAGGAATCTTATGTTTCTATACGTTCAACTATTGTATATTTGGACATGATTGTGAACATTATTTATTTCTTCATGAAACTTATTGGCATTGACTAGATGTACCGATTTTATTTTGTATAATAAAATATATTCTCTGATCTTTTCTTAAATTCAGAAATTTGAAGAATAATTTTTTTTTTTATCCTCACCCGAGGATACTTTTCCATTTTTTGTTCAGATAGAGTGGGAGGGAGAAGGAGAGGGAGAGAAACATCGACGCGAAAGGAACACATTGAGTGGCTGCCACCTGCATGACCAACCAGGGCTGGGGACAAACTGCAACCGAGATACGTGCCCTTAGTGGGAACTGAACCCCGGTCTCTCTGGACTGCAGGCCGACACTCTAACTGCTAAGCCAAACCGGCCAGGGCAAGAATAATTTTTTCATTGTATTTTTTCCTAAATGTAAGGTCATTGTACAAAGTTTGGAAAATACAGAAGATGATAAAATTTTAACTTTTGAAATTCGAGTTAATGTTAGAGTTTGAATACCTTTAACTTTCCTATTAGATAGACTTTATAGGTCTGGCCCGTGTGGCTCAGTGGATTGAGGGTCCTTCCATGGACTGAGAGGTCTCTGGTTTAATTCCTGGTCAGGGCACATGTCCAAGTTGCGGGCTCGATCCCCAGTAGGGGGTGTGCAGGAGGCAGCCAATTGATGTTTCTCTCATCAATGGTTCTATCTCTCCCTTCCTCTCTAAAATAATCAATAAAAACACATTAAAAAAAAACCAAAACTTTAAACTGTATACAATACCTGCATTTAGAGAGATACATGCTAAACCATGTTTAAGAATTTAAATTTACTGATTTTTCAAAGCTTTCTTTTCTTTATTTTGTTCAGCTAGATCATTTGCTAAAGCAGCAATTGAGAAGCAGAAATCAGCATTTATTCGTTGGGGAATTATGGCAGATTGGAATAATTGCTACTATACATTTGATGGAAAATATGAGGCCAAACAGTTGAGAATGTTCTACCAAATGTATGACAAGGTAATGAAGTATTTTTTTTTCTTCAAGTATGTTAGATTGTTACAGAATCCCAGCTTTCATATATTAATCTTTGTCTTTACAGGGCCTGATTTATCGATCTTACAAACCCGTGTTTTGGTCTCCCTCATCGAGGTATATATGCATTTTTACTCATTAAAAGATAAATTTTGTGAGGCTCCAAATATTTATGTCTCATAATTTTAAACCTTAGGACTGCATTGGCTGAAGCGGAGCTGGAGTATAATCCCGAGCATGTCAGTCGCTCAATATATGTCAAATTCCCTCTCTTGAAACCTGCTCCTAAGTTGGCATCTCTTATTGGTATGATTTATTCGTTCCTTGAGTTCATTGATTTATTTATTTTTAAAAAATGTTTTCTTTATTGATTCGAGAGAGAGAGATAGAAACATTGATGAGAGAGAACATCGATTGGCCGCCTCCTGCATACCCCCACTGGGGATCGTGCCCACAACCTGGGCATGTGCCCCAATTGGGAATCAGACCAGCGACCTCTTGGTACATGGGTCGATGCTCAACCACTGAGCCACACCAGCTAGACCATTGCTTGAGTTTATTAAAGTTATCTTTAGAGTTATTAAATAGTTAAAACATTTGCTAACACATTGGAAATTTTATTTTCACAGATGGTTCATCTCCTGTTAGTTTTTTAGTCTGGACCACGCAGCCTTGGACAATTCCAGCCAATCAGGCTGTTTGTTATATGCCAGACGCAAAGTAGGTATAGTATTGCCTTTTTTGTTTTATCCACAAATAAGATCAGTTCCATCATTAGCATCATTTTGAATATATTTCATTCTCATTATCCTCTTAAAAGTGAAGGTGTTATAACTTTACTATGTTTATATGGCTTTTAAGATCTTATTTCTAGCTTTCTGGAAAATAAAACAGAAATGTAAGGGATGAAGTGCTTTTTTTTTATTTTGAAGTTAGTTTTTCTGAAACGATATAAAACATTTTAAATGTTACCTGTGGTTTTTCTTTTCTCATTGTTAGTAATTTTATCCTAAAATTTTATTTTAGGTATGCCGTTGTGAAATGTTCAAAATCTGGAAACCTATACATACTGGCGGCAGACAAAGTAACACCTGTTGCTTCTGCTTTGAAAACAACATTTGAGGTTATTTCAACATTTTCAGGTGAAGATTTATAGATATTCTGACAAGATAGTCATCAAAATATTGGGTTCATTTGAATTAAGTACTTCGCTGAATATTGCTCATTCTGAATCAAAACAGATATGGTTTCTGCCTTTCTAGAATATATTTTACAGTGATTCCACTGAAGGTGAATATATATATATATGTGTGTGTGTGTGTGTGTGTATATATACATATATGTGTGTGTGTGTGTGTGTGTGTATATATATATATGTATGTATATGTATATGTACTTGTTGTTAATCCTCACCCGAAGATTTTTATAGAGTGGAAAGGAGGGAGGGGGGAGAGAGAGAGAGAGAGAGAGAAACATTAATGTAAGAGACAAGTTAGTTCTTGTTATGGAAGCTGAATGCATTCTCACAGGTTTTTGAAAATATTAAACGCAAATTTAAGATCATTTTTCTAGATTGCATAATTGTTTCAAATTATGACTGTGCGGAGAATATTGGGTTGCATTTTGAGCCACCACATTTCAGAGGAAAATGTGTGCTGCTCATCCCTGGCAAAAGAAGCTGGTGACAACTAAGCTTACTACTAACGTAGTAGGAATGTCGAACAGCTCAAATGGAATGATCCGTGTGGGGTGGGTTTTCTTTGCAGAAAACAATATGTTGTTTCTCATTAATCATTTAGAGCTTCCAGAGCAAGTGAAGGGTGAAGCCAGGTGTGGGGTCAGTCTGTTTCAGGGTCTGCTCTTCTCCCCTGATCTGGTGCTACTCTTAAAGAAGTAGACGAGTTGCCATACAAGATGATTCTTTTTATTTTAATCCTCCCCTGAGGATAGTTTTCCACTGATTTTTTCCCCCCAGATAGAGTGGGAGGGACAGAGGGGAGAGAGAGAGAAAGAGAAAGAGAAGTATCGATGTAAGAGAGAGACATCGATCAGTTGCCTCCCGCACGACCCCAACCAGGGCCAGGGATGAAACTATAGCTGAAGTACGTGCCCTTGACTGGATTCGATCCCACGACTCTGGTCTGTGGGCTGATGCTCCAACTGCTGAGCCAAACTGGCCAGGGCTACAAGATGATTATTAATTGTGGTTTTCTTTGCCCACAGGTGTTGATTTGGAAAATGGTACTTGTACTCATCCTTTGATTCCTGATAAAGTCTCTCCTCTTTTACCTGCAAAGCATGTGACCATGACCAAAGGAACAGGATTGGTTCACACAGCCCCTGCTCATGGTATGGAAGATTACAGTGTAGCCTCCCAACACAGCCTGTCCACGGTACTGGTCCTCCTCTTTCCTTTTTAATTACTGCTTTTGGGGAATCGGAGTGATAAATCTAGCTAACATCTTTATTTTTTGATAATGAACAATCATTTTTATCATCATCATCATTGAAATGCTCAAGTTTGTGCAATACACCAAAGCTTCGTTAATTCATACTAATTGAGAAAGATTTGCTAGACTTAACACAACATCAGCACAAAATTAAAATGGAAGCATGTATGCTTAATCGGGGCAGTTTTTCCTTTCAAGTGTGAAGTCACATAGACAAATCGCATTCAGTCCCTGACAAATGGCAAGTGGATTTTACTAGTTTTACTAGTTGAAAAGAACAGGGGGTTTTTTTGTTTGTTTTTTTTGTTTTTTAACTAAAAAGTTCTCTCTCAGTTAATTTTACACAGATCAACTACTTAGCAAGTTTTTCCATTTAAAGGGAGTCTCAAAGTCATCACTGTGTATGTATGTTGCCATAGATCTATAAATTAATAGAGAGCAAATTAAACATAATTTTTATTTTATTTCACTTTTTGTTATTAAACTTTAGGTCTCTGCTTTAATAAGATATTTTGCCTTTATTGATATAAAGGTATAAATTTATATTTCTTTTTTTTAACACTTTTTTTTTTTTTTTTTATTATTATTATTTTTTATCCTCACCCGAGGACATTTTTCCATTTTTTTGTTCAGGTAGAGTGGGAGGGAGAGAGAGGAACAGAGACAGAGAGAGAAACATCGATGTGAAAGGGACACATCGAGTGGCTGCCACCCACACAACCCAACCAGGGCCGGGGACAAATTGCAACCGAGGTACGTGCCCTTAACGGGAACCGAACCCGGGTCTCTCAGGACCGCAGGCCGACGCTCTAACCGCTGAGCCAAACCGGCCAGGGCTAAATTTATATTTCTTAGTAACCGAATAAGTTCCCAAAATTTCAAGGTCGTGAAAGACTAGACTAACTGAGATGTTTTATACATATTGTCTCGCCAGATATTGTCATTATAAGATAAAATGTACTGATACTTGAATTGTTCAAAATGACACTTTGTAGGATTGTTTAGTGGATGAAGATGGAGTTTTCACAGATGCTGCAGGTCCTGAACTTCAAAACAAGGCTGTCCTTGAAGAGGGGACGGATGTGGGTGAGTACCGTGTATGTTGATATCATACATCTGTTTTCTGAGAAGTAACCAGCAGTAACCTTGACTTATACTCCCGTCTTATACTTTCATCATAAAGATAAAGCTAAAATTATATCTTATTTTGCCACATTTTATTATTATTATTTTTTTAATCCTCACCCAAGGATATTTTTCTATTTATCTTCAGGGAGAGAGAGAGAAATATCGATGTGAGATAGATACATTGATTGGTTGCCTCCTACACGACCCCCACCAGGGCCAGGGATGGACTGCAACTGAGGTACGTGCCCTTGGCTGGAATCGAACCCGGGACTCATTGGTCTGCTGGCCGATGCTCTACCACTGAGCCAAACCGGACAGGGCCATTTTATTTTATTTTTTAATATTTTCTATTGATATTTAGAGAGAAAAGAAGGGAAAGGGAGAGAGAGGAACAACTCACCAGGGATCGAGCCCATAATCCGGGCGTATGCCTTGACCAGGAGTCAAACCAGCAACCTTTTGGTGCATGGGACGACACCCAACCAACTGAGCCACGCTTGTCCGGGCTGCTGCGTGGTTTTAAATGGAGTTTTTCATCCCTTGCTTTGAAGTTGCTGTGTTTAAGCAAGTCAGGGCGCTCAACAGAGACTGAAGTTATATTAGGAAAGTATATAGAGATAATCATCAGCAGTATTAGTTTTGTGGGAGGCTAACATCAAGCTTGGGGCTAGATGTTGACTGTGAGTCAGACACTCTCCACTCCCTTTGTAACCCTTGTAAATCACTAACCCATCTAGCAGGGTTTATGTGTTCTGATCTTGGGGTTCCTCCAATCTTGGGTTACCCTTCTGCCTTTCTGGAATTACGGATCCAGGGACTAGGTACTGTGAAAACCTTTCTTTGCCCACACTAAAGACCAAGGCTAATTAGACCCGGAGCATTAGTGTCCCAGGGCCACGGTAACAAATCACCATCAATTTAGTGGCTTTGAACAAGAAGTTTATTGTTTCACAGTTAAGGAGATTAGACGTCCGAAATCAAGGTGTTGGCAGGGCGCGCTCCCTCTGAAAGATCTTGGAATAATCCTTTCTTGCCTTCTAGTTTCTGGTGGCTCCTGGTGACCCCGGATCTAAACCATTCCGTAGTGCACAGCTGTGCTACTCCAGTCTCTGCCTCCACTGCCACATGGCCCTCTCTGCTCTTGTGTGATTGTGCATCCTTGCCTCCTGTAAGGACACTAGTCATTGGATTCAGGGCTCTCATCCCGTGTGGCTTCATCTTAACTTGATTACATCTACTAAGACCCTGTTTCTAAATAAGATCACATTCACAGGTACTAGGGGCTAGGACTAAAGCTTATCTTTTTGGGGGACAAAAGTCAACTCACTATGCCTGGTTTCTTCTGGAATACATGGGCACCATTTTAAGAACCTACACATGAAAGATTATGACTATGAATTTCAAATGTAGAATTCTAAGTGTATCTTGTTCTGCTTTCTTTTGAAGTGAAGGGAATGGAATAATTTGGGTTCTGAGTAAAGTTTCCCAGTCCCTGCGTTTTTTGCCAGGAGATTCGCAGATTGAGCCTTTGATACCTGGTAGGTGGCGATTCTTTCTGGCACCTATTGGTCCAGATTTAGAACTCCCTGGGAGCTTAGAGAAGTATTCAGATTTTCATAGCACTTTTAAATCGTATCTAATGCAAATTGTTACTGATTTTATTTTAAGTTATAAAGATGCTTCAGGCTTCCAAGAATTTGTTGCTGGAGGAGAAACTGGTGCACAGCTATCCCTACGACTGGAGGACTAAGAAGCCAGTGGTTATTCGTGCCAGCAAGCAGTGGTTTGTAAATATCACAGAGCTGAAGACGGCAGCCAAGGTAGGGAAGGCGTCCTACTGCGGCGGGTTCTCGTGTTCTCGGTGAGGAAGGGCTGCACGCGAGGTTTGGGGCGGGTTTGGGGAGTGGAAGGGGTTGCTGCTATGATTTGGTTTCATAAAATTGTAGAATTTTAGATTTGGAAGGGCCTTGGATTTCCATTCTTTCATTATTCATACATGTGAGGAATGCCAGGCTGAAAGGGGTTAAATGACTTGCCCAGATTTCCTGCCCAGTGTAGTGGAAGTATCATAGAATTGGGACAGAACCGAGTTTGGCAAGTCGTTTAACCTCAGAACCTCTGTTTCCTCGTCTACGTAAAGGCAGTAAAAACACCTACCTCCTGGAATACGCAGATAAAGGTTCTGAAACAGTAGTCTGGCACATAAGGTTTCTAAAACCCTTTGCTTTCTTAAGATGGAGATTTCAGTCCATTTGAAAAGTTGTTGCTTTGTGTTAATAAAACTTTGTTTAACAGATGTTCTAAATATCAGCATGTACTTGAGCTCTTTCGTTCACTAATGTGTCTCACAAACAACTCCATTCTGCTGAATGAAAGAGCTCAACTACGTATTTGTTAACCGGGCTGGACATACAGACATTTTGCTTCATAGCTCACATCTAACATGTTGCTACATTTTGTTGGTTCATTTGTTGGCTTGGCAGTTGGGGGCCATTTCCAAAGCTACGCGCAGCAGTTTACATTTTCTGTATTTGTATTGAGTGGACAATTGTGATATGATTGGTTGGGGATTTTTTTTTTTTTTTTTTTGACATTCTATGAAGCCCTTATTTGCAAATGTTAAAGTTTGTAACTTCCAGCTCTGCACAGATTTTTGGATGCAGAACATCGTAGTCTGATGCAGTATGCTGAAGCCACGTTTTTAGAAAATGCCTTTTATACAATTTTCATTCGCTCTTGGCAGAAATAGAGGAGTGATGTGCTGCTGTGTCTCAACCCCCACATTCAACAGCAGTCAACTTAGGACGAGTTTTGTGTTCACCCACACCCCTCCCACCACTCACTTTTTCCTCTCTACCCATTGGATTATTTTGAAGCAAATTCCAGGCATTCTTTCTTCCGTAAATATTTCAGCATGCGACTCTGAAAGATAAAGACTATTTATATTTATAATCCTCATTTGAGGATATTTTTCCATTGATTTTTTAGATAGAGTGGGAGGAAGGGGGGTGGGCAGAAACATCTATATGAGACACATCGATTGGTTGCCTCTCGCATGACTCTGACCGGGGCTGGGGATTGGATCTGCAACCCAGGTACGTGCCCTTGACCAGGAATCAAACTCAACCCTCAGGTCCAAGGGCCGATGCTCTTACTGCTGAGCCAAACTGGCCAAGGCAATAAAGACTCTTTAAAACATAATTCCAATGCCATTATCACCACCTTAAAAAAATTAATAGTTATTCTTTAACAAAATCAAATATCCATTAGCATTCACATTTCTTGGACTTTTAAACCGGGTATCAATCAAATTGAATGGCAGATGTTGCCATTCTGCCAGTAGGTGGTGCTACAAATGGCTTTGGGGAAGGGAGTTTCTGGTAAGTGAGAAAACTAAACATGAAACTGAAAATTTAAAAATGCTTTTATTCTTGGATAGAGAGATTTTTAAAATGAAGTTAACATATTTTGGCCTTTTTTGAGCTTATTACCAAACATTTTTGCTCTATAATTTATCTTTTGGTAATTAACAAATGAAAGTAAATCAAATGCTAGAAATTTGCAGCTCCTGCGGGTAGAAGGAGGGAGGGTTGTGAGAGGTGGTAAGTAAAGAGGAAGTAGCTGTTATTTTGAGCAAGTGCTTTTATGTTTTAACTCATAATCTATGTAAATTAGGTTATATTGCAAACCTTGTTTGACAGTAGTTTTTCTTACGCATTTAAGAAATGGTTGAATTCAAGTTTCAATTGATTTCAACTGTAGTTCAATGAATTATAATACTGCAACTAACCCTGTTTTTACTGTTTTGATCTTGGGTGCTTGGAAATTGGTATAAAATCTTTTATCACATCTTCCAAATGTGATATCTGCTCTTGATGTTATTTATTGGGTTCTTTGTGGCCCTGTTTTAACTTTGCCTTATTTGCTCTGAAATGTGTAGTGTTTAGTTTAGTTTTTTGGGGGATGAGCGGGGGGCATGTAAATGAGTATAAATATCAAAAGTAAAGGAATATATTAGGATAAATAGTGACAGTTCTGGAAAATTGGTTCTGCTTTCTCTCACTGGACTTGATTTGTGAATCAATTGCAGGAACTGTTAAAGAAAGTGAAATTTATTCCTGGATCAGCCCTGAATGCCATGGTTGAAATGATGGACAGGCGGCCCTATTGGTGTATATCAAGGCAAAGAGTGTGGGGTGTTCCAATTCCTGTGTTCCATCATAAGACAAAAGATGAATTCTTGATCAACAGGTAGAACTTTCTAAATATTTTCAACATTTAAAAATGAGTTGTATTTTCTTCAGAAATAGGAGAGAGAGAGACATCGATGTAAGAGACATCGATCAGTTGCCTCCCTTACATGCCCTGACTGGGGACTGAACCAGCAACCTAGGTATGTGCCATGACCGGAAATCAAACCCACAACCTTTTGGTGTACCAGATGGCACTCCAACCAACTGAGCCACCCAGCCAGGGACAGAACAAGTTTTTTAGGGAATGTCGTTGAATTGATGGGGGTAGAGCATATGTATATATTAGTAAGTAGAGCAAACTGGTATATGTGATCATTATTCAGTCATGGCAGTGAGGTGGTGCATAGGTTGATCGATCAGTAAGCTGGGTGAAATAAGTGTGCGCTTCATCAGAAAAACACAAGCAGATATTCATTAGGTACCATTTATGTTTTATTTATAGTCAATACATTTACATGGTTGTGTTATAGATTCTTGCAGTGCTCACGTGGTCTTCGTTGTTTCTCGTTTTGAAGTAGTGGAGATATACAGAACATTGGCCTACAGAAATGACAGACACACTTAGCCATACTGTCTGTCAATTCATAGGTCATTTTCCTGTACACCAGTTGTTAGTTCACAGCTGGGCCCCATACACGGAGGACAGGGAGAGACCAAAGGAAGAGGCAGACCACTCCAGATTAGCAGGTGGCAGGTTGAATGAGCAAGGGAACCTAACTTAGATGGTAATCACAGTGGCCATGATTTGCTGTCTTTGTTGGATATGCCTCTATTTTGTAGCGAGTTGGTAACCATCAAAAGTAACAGCATCTCCACTGGAAATTGGTACACAGTCCACATGGAGTTGCTGTTACACTTGATGACTCCATTACATCTATCCTTCACCTTTTCTTTCATGAAAGTCTATAAATAATCTCTTAAGTATACTTATTTCACAGAAGAAAATCTTCATGAATTCAGATTCTAAATAAATTTAGCAACTGGCATATTTGAAACTCAGATGTTTAATTTTGATTTGAATTAATGGTTTCATCCACACTTTATATTCATATATGTATTTTCTCAAATTATTCCATTTCTGTCTTTAACATTATCAGTCATTTTCTGAATCTGTAATCTAATGCCATTATAATTTAGGTGGAAATCTATTCCTAGTTAATAAAGACAAAATAAATACATTTTAGCATTAAAAAATAAAGTATAGAAACATTTGTTACCTAGGAAGGAAAAGAAGTTGTTAAATTTCTTTCACCATTTCAGATGATTATAATTAACAGTATTAATGCAATAGTTAAGATATGCATTTAAGGAATTTAGCTCATTATTTCTGGAAACCATGAGAAATTTCCTAGAAATAGGCAAGGAATGTCTAGTTTAATTTGAGTGCAAGCTTTGGCTACCTCGAATTTTTGCTCATGTTAATGATCTTTTGGTAAAAAAAAAAAAAAAAAATTTTATAATGTATATAAAATAAAGAAAAGTTTCACCCTGGCCGGTTTTCTCAGTGGTTAGAGCGTTGGCCTGCAGTCCAGAGAGATGCGGGTTCGGTTCCCACTAAGGGCACGTACCTCCGTTGCAGTTTGTCCCCAGCCCTGGTTGGTCGTGCAGGTGGCAGCCACTCGATGTGTCCCTTTCACGTTGATGTTTCTCTTTCTCTCTCTCTTTCTCTCTCTCTCGCTCTCCCTCCCACTCTATCTGAACAAAAAATGTCCTCGGGTGAGGATAAAAAAAGAAAAGTTTATCAAAATTGTTTTCTGTCACCTTTCAAACACGAATATAGCATTATGTCAAAAATAGTATCTTTCTCAAATTTCATTGTATTCTAGAATTAAATTTAGTAAATAAATATGAAACATTTAAGCCTCTTACCTTATTCTGGTAACTTAAAGAAGAAGAATGGGTCTTACAGCCCTCTATGCAGGCAAGACCCAGGAAACCCTGGGACAGAGCAGCAGTCTCTTCCTTACCCAGCAGTCCTATGCAGCCTCATTTCCAGTAACACGCTAAATAAGCTCTAGCCCAGCTGATAGCAAAGTCCAGGGTGATTGGTTGGTGTTCTAGTTGCTCATACTACCTGGGGCATTTTCGATGATTGAAACCTAAGAAGGAACTTGGAGCGTATGTGTTTAGATAAGGCTCTTGGGTAAAGTGCAAAGTTTTATGACACACTTATCGCTTTATGAAATACAGCATTAAAATGGAAGCATATAGGTTAGGTACTGATAAGTGGTTCCACCCACTCTTGTCAACAGTAATTTACACTGATCTTTAGGTTATAAGTTAACTGTGTTAAATATATGATATTATTAACAAAATGGGAAAATTCTTAAGTTTTGAAAGATAAATTTTGACCCTTATATTTATTTTTCTGAAGAATGTTTACTATCACTAAGACATGCCTATCAATACTAATTATTTTAAGAAATAGCTTCTAATTTGTGGCTTATGTCTTTTAATTGTTATGTTTATTTTTCACCCAAAAGTTATTAACTTTATTGTAATTAAATGTATTGACCTTTCCCTTTAAAAAAGAAGAAATGCCCCCACATTTCATTGTTTAAAAATTCATTAAAGCATGTTCTCAGTGTTGTTATAAAAATTACACTTCTAAAGTATTTATCTGAGGGACATGAGAGGACTGATGTCTTGTGCAACAATATATATGTAAGGAGGTCTAATACAGTTGTTTATAAAAAGCATAGTGATATAAAAAAGAGATAACGTAAATAAATTTCAGAAGAATGAATTTGCAATCATTAAAAGTGGTTGTGTAGTTCCCTGTGTATGAAAATCAAATACTTTTAGCCCATCCAGCATTTGGCTATTTCTAGGTTTTAGCTACAGAACTATACTGAGTATCTTTTTTTTTAATCCTCACCAGAGGGTTTTTTTCCATTTATCATCAGTTAGAGTGGGAGAGAGAGAGAGAAACATCGATGTGAGAGGGACACATCGACTGGCTGCCTCCCACATGACCCGACCAGGGCTGAAGACAAACTGCAGCCAAGGTATGTGCCCTTGTCGGGAGCTGAACCTGAGACTCACTGGTCCGCGGGCCAACGCTCTACCACTGAGCCAAACCGGCCAGGGCCACACTGAGTATCTTCTGAGTACTTTGTGCAGCCTTTTCTTGTATTGTTTTTTCAAATGATCTTTTCAGGTTTTGTTTGAACGTAAATTCAGTTTATTTTGCAATCCAGCCAACCTCAAGCTTATAGGTTGTTTGCATGTGTTTATTTTCATTGCAAGTTTTGTTCCTAAAACTCTCTGCCAGAGTGTTTAGGATTATCCAGACCACCAGAGTATAAGTGGAGAGAAAACTTGCATTTTGTGATACCAATTCTGTGCACTTACATTTTGATGTGCTTAGAATGTGAGGATGTTTTTGTCTCGGAAATCTGCATTTTGTTCAGTTTTTATCCTCTAACTCCAGAATTATCTTTAATTTATTTTTGTTTTAAAAGTGTAAGTAATGTAGTTGCCTTAGGTTTCAAAATAGAACTGAGAAAATGTAACAATTAAAACATGAATTTTAGTTCAACTAAAGGGGGTCCACTAAACTTGGCCTTACAGTTGCCTTAATAACATGCCCAACTGCAAAATGAGTCTTTCTTTGTTGTTTGGTATTTTTAGTTATAGACTCAGTAAGACACTTGAGTCTAGTTCAGTAATACTTACACTATTAAATCTTCATTGAATTATCTGCTATCTCAGAATAGAGAAAAAGAACTCAGTCTCACTAGAGTTGCCTTTGGCATTCTAAAATGGATATGTAAGTATCATCTATAGTTGTAAGTTACTAAGATATTAGGACTCTCTCTTTTTACAGTGAGAATGTTTCCATAGTCTCTCTTCTCACAGCTTTACCCGTGTTCACAGGAACTGACACTCAGGAAAAGAATGTGCTGTGTTCCTGTCAGTCTCAAAGTCGGAGGTGAAATCTGGTCCTTGGACTTGGTGCCTGCTCTGTCAACACCAGTCTCAGACTCCCCGGTGCCCCGCCTTCACCTCGGGTTCACGGTTCCTTTATGCTTGGCTACTAGGAGTCTCTGTGCCTTTGCTTAGCATACCCGAGAGACGAGGAGTATGAGTTCACTTGACAGTGCTGGTCTTTACAGATGTGTTAGGCTGAATGACGAAGTAAAAACGTTTGAACCATGATTTAGGAGACATGATTTCAAGGCCTGGCTTTCACTGTGGTACTTGCTTAGGCTTCAGTACTGCTAAGGAACCTGGAGGGACAGAACAGAAAATACGTTTTTCTGTGAATCCAATTAGAAGGTGCTTAAAAGGCATTTTGACAAGTATAGTGTGTGGTGGACACATAAATGTTTATTTTTATTCATAATAATAATACCAACATTTCTACTTTATTTTCTAAGTGAATGTGAAATTTGAACCATTTGCTTTCACTTTTGTATTATTTTTTTATTTGTGTACTTCCAACACATTTAAGACTAGTTTTCTATTTTATTTTACTGTTTACCTAAAATTGCAACTCATTTTTATAGCAGGTCTAATGTACTTGTGTATGTATAAATGTACTTTGCTAGCATCTCTTTTATAGGTCTATTCAGATTTTTATTATAATATATTCATATTTTCTTAACTGATAAAATGTTCTGTGCAAACTACGTAAGATAGTAATAAGTAACTAAATATTGTCATATAATTAGTTATTGCACAGAGATTTTATGGTCTCATCACAAAAGTTTATCTTTGCTGTTAAAGTCCATCTACAATGTGTGACTGTATTAGATATATGGACTTGTGCCCGTTCTAACACTATTTGTTTTTTATAATTTCTTCAAAATAGATGCTGGCAGCATTACACTTCTCAGTCCATAGCATATTTTGCTTCTTAGTGATATTTTGCTATTGTAAGGTATTTAATTTATACTATCCATTTAATTTTTGCTTCCCACATTTTTAAAAATAAATACTTCATCTATCTGTGAATTAGCAGACCCAGAGAGGTTAAACAATTTGCCCTACACAGTCCTGATTCATCAGCAGCAGATCCAGAATAAGAACTTAGAGCATTTTCCTACCCACTGCACTTTCATTTCCACTGACTCTCATGGACCTACAGTTAATTCTTAGTTACTTGCGTTGATGGACTGTGGTAGAAAGGAGGATAACAGAAAAGTTGGTTTTAGTATGTGTATTTTAATCTAAATATTAATATGAATATGTGTTTTGGTAATTGGTTAACAGAATTAACCAATTTGACTTCAGAGAATCAGTTTGAATAATAGCAAATTCTCTTATAATTCTTACTAGTGGGTACCAGACATTATTCCAGGCATTTTATATATAAGCTTGATTAATATCTGTAATAGCTTGCTTAATGGTACTGTTATCATTTGCATTTCACAAACCAAAGTACAGAAACATTAAGTGCTATGCCCAGGGTCACATAACTAGAAAGTGTAGAGCCAGGCATTAAACCAAAGCTGTCTGGGTCCAGGATCCGTGCTCTCGACCATTATTTATACTGTGACTCAGTGGAAAGCAGCTAGAGGAAGTTGTAAAGTCCATAAAGCTGTGATAATAAATTAGGAATATGTTGTTCCTGTGAGAAAATTTAGTATAAATTTTCCCCCAAGTTAATTTTCAAATAATTTATAACTCTGTATCTTTCCAAAGATATGGTCACTTTCAGTATTCATTTGATGTGTATTTAGTGACTTTCTGTTGTGTGTTGAACACTGTGCTAAGTTTTACATGACTCATCTCATTTAGTTTGCAGTCATTTTAAGGGAAGTATGTAGGATCACTGAAATGTAAGTTCACTGGGGCGGGCATCTTATCAGCCTTGTTAACTGCTTTGACTCCAGTGCTTATAACACTGTCCAAGATATTGGAGGTGCTCAATAAATAGTTGGGAACAAATTTTATTACTCGCAGCAGAGGGGACAGCCAGGACGTAGAGAAGTCAGTACTTGAGCGCGGTCTGTGTATGCAAAGTGGCAGAGTCAGGATAGGAGCCTGGATATCTGTCGCCGAGGGCGTGTTCTAGCATGGCAGTGTCCCGTGCACGTGGACTTGGCTGTCCTGTGAGTGACGGGGCACTGGAAGGTTCTGAGAAGGGGTTGGTGTGATAAAAGCCATTTCAGGAATGCAGTTCTCTCAGAGATAGGTCGTGGAATTCAAGGGCTGGGAACTGGGGAAAAGTCAGACCACTGCCTCGATCTAGACCTGAGGCAGTGAGGTTGGACTCATGCAACTAGTGAGATCAGGAACAAGTTCGAGTACTATTTCAAAGGTAGAACTGTGAGATTGTGTTGCTTTATTTCAGGCAGAAATGGCGATAATTAAGAGGTTTTGAACATAGGTACTTGGATAGAAAATAGATGAATAGAAATAGGGAAATGAGAATTGAAATAGGAGAAGTGTTATTTTTCTTGTAAGGGATGCATATGGTTTAATTTTGTTTTTGAGATATATTGATATTATTTATATTGAATTTAAGATGACAGCAACAGCTGAGTAAGCAAATAATTGAAGAGAATACCACTCAAATTTGGGGGAAGATATCTTGCAGCTAGGAAATGTTTTAAAATATTTTTTGACTTTAGAGAGAGAGGAATGGAGAAGGAGAGAGAAATAGAAGCATCAATGAGAAAGAACATCGATTGGCTGCCTCCTGCATGCCCCCCACTGGGGATCAGGCCCACAACCTGGGCATGTGCCCTGACTGGGAATCGAACTGGTGACCTCTTGGTACATGGGTTGATGCTCAACCACTGAGCCACACTGGCTGGGCAATATTACTATTTTCTTAATTTTAAAATGTTTGGTATTAATCACAATAGTTAATTGAACAATTCTGTCTTGCCCTCCTAAAATAGCCAGACCATTGAGCACATTGTTAAGCTGGTGGAACAGCATGGCAGCGATATCTGGTGGACTCTCCCCCCTGAACAGCTCCTTCCTAAAGAAGTCTTATCTCAGGTACCTCGCTCTTGTTACTTCACAGCCATTGTGTGTATTGCGTGACCTCATGTCTGTAGAAGAGATTGTTGGGAGTTAAAGACGTAGGTGCATCATCATGTAAAGGTGAAGGATTTATTTACTGTAAATGAGAAGCCAGTGCAGTTTGGGAGTAGACGTTTCTGTTTAGCTAGAGAAGCTTGGTATCTAATAGAGCAGTAGAGGGTGAGGGTTATATGTTATCTCCTTGAGAGTCAGAGTCTTAACTGATGCTGAAGTAGCTGTAATTGTGAGGACAGCGCCTAACACGGTCCATCAGGACTTCATAGGATCCTAATTAGAAGTGACTGCATCACACACCAAAAATCCAGTATGGAAGAGAAGTTCAAGAAAATAAAAACAAAAGCAAAATTAAAAACAGCATATATTTACATTAATAAATATGTAAATGAAGCGGCCATAGCTATTTTTACATACAAATGAGTCAGTTATACATAACTCTGAAATATCTTTAAATGTTTAAATTTTTATTTTAAAATGTGAGTTTTATGGTTATAAGCATTTCATTTTCTTTAGACTTTTTTGAGTGTTTATGGTGTACATTTTTAGTGTAACTGAAATGCTTTCACATGATCTTACCAGGCTGGTGGTCCCGATGCCTTGGAGTACGTGCCGGGTCAGGACATTCTGGACATCTGGTTTGATAGTGGGACTTCATGGGCTTATGTTCTTCCAGGTAATTTTAAATAATAGTTTATATACCAGTCAGGCAGTTGAGAATATATAAATGTTACTTAGAATAAATCTGTATCCAAGAACTCTTTTAGCTTTATTTGGAATATCTGCTCTAATGTAATTTCAGATCTGGAAGGGCCCTTGGAGACCATTTAACCTAAAGATTTGTAAACTCCTTTTTGTTTTTCCAAATGAAATTTTATACAGAACCACAATACATAAGATGGATAAAAATGGGAATTTTATTTCTCCTTTCAGCCTCCTTGGCCCACCTGCCAAACCCAAGGCACCTGATTTTATTAAACAAAGTGTGGACATCACTAAAATGGTCTATCATTTCCCAGAAAAGGGAATGAGATTGAATTAGAGGCAAACTAGGTGATGGTCACATAACCTAGAGTCAGGCTGGAGGACTAGTACCTGGCCTCCCCCACCCCCATACAAACAACTAGTCTGTGACTCATGGCTAAAGGGAGAGGAGCGATCGGGCAGGAACTAGGAGCAGTAGGAGCAGGCGCACATTAGAGGGTGTGTTCAGAGTCTGGGGAAGACATGTCCTTGAGGATACTGAGTGGGAAGTTAGGATAAAAGGAAGCATGTGGCAGGCCACCACTGTGAGGGCAGAGACGGGGCTGAGGTGCCAGGGGAGCTGTGGCAGGTCCTGGCCCTGCTCCGAAGGGCCAGCTTCAGCCCCAGGATCCTGTTTGCTCTCTGGAGTGAGGCACCATGGGAAAGCTCTTCTGTGCAGAGGCTGTTGTTAGAGGGATGGAGAGGGACTGTCCTCGGGTTTTACCGAGGGTGTACTTCTGGTTCTGGACCTCACGATTGGGAGGACAGCAGTATGCTTCCCAGTAGGTAAACATTCCTTCATTTGGGCCTTGCTTTCTTTCTGCTTATGAAATTTGAAAAACAAAATGCATGTAAATTCATGTTTACTCTATATTGTAGCTAAAATGTACATAATAAAATGTCCAAATATGTTATATTAATAAAGTCTTTAAAATTTTTTATGTAGTAATTTTCAGAATTATTATTTCATAAGTTTCTCCCACTGTATTTAGGAGAAAATATTGCAAATTTAGGTACTTTGTTTTCCTAAATTATATTGAAAATGTAGGCAAATAACACTACATAAGGTAGGTAGGTTAAGTAGTGTCATAATATAAAGAGGAAGAAGAGTACCTACTACTACATCGAGGGCAGCATCTTGAATTTCAGCACTACTCCTGATAGTGCTTATACAGTGTATTTCAGAGTCCATTACCTGCTCCGGCCTTGGTGAGAATTGCTGCTGCTAGCATTGTTGCTTTTTAATTTCTGAAGTGCTTTTACATTGCTAAGTGCTGCCTGTCCAGGTTATACTTGGAGCCATGACTGGGTTAAGAGCATGGAATTGGTCCTTGAGACCCTCTGTGCCGCTGTCCGTGGTGCTGATAGCGTTTAGTTCATCTGTTTTTAGTTCATGATGTTCTTAACCAAACATTCGTGGCAGAGATACTTTATTAAATGAAATTTGTGGTTAAAAATGCACCTGGTTAGCAAACCATTTATTTCCTCCCTGTCACATCAACATCCCCCAGCGGATGGGACATGTGTTACAGTGGGTGAACCTACCATCACCCAGAGTCCACGGTTGACATTAGCGTTACTTTTGGTGATGTAGATTCTGTGGGTTTGAACAAATGTAAAATGACATGTGTCCATCATTATAGGATCATTCACTGCCCTAACAGTCCTGTGCTCTGCCATTCACCCCACACCCTGCCCCTCACCTCCTACCCCAACCCCTGGCTCATACGGCTTTTTTATAGTTGTTCCATCTTTGACCGGGCCATTGTCAAACTAGAAATTGATAAATTATCCTTTACAAACACTCTTTTTTTCTTAATTTCTTAAAAAAATTTTTTTTTTTATTTCATAGAGAGAGGGGAGGGAGAGGGGCAGAGAGAGAGAAACATCGATGAGAGAGAACATCGACTGGCTGCCTCCTGCACGCCCCACTGGCGACGCTCAGCCACTGAGCCCCACACCAGCAGGGCTGATTTAGTTTCTTGGTTCGGCAAGTGCCCTCCAGATGGTCTAGATTCAGAACCCTTATCTACTGCTCTTCTTGTCCGTATGACCTTGGACAAGCAATGAAACCTCTCAGGGTCTCACCCTCCTCATCTGTAAAATGGGGATGATGATAATACCTACCTTATAGAGTTATTATGCAAATCAAGTGAAATAACATATAAAATTATTTGGATCCTCAGCAAATATTTTTTAAATTAATAAAAACAGTAGTTTTCATAAAATATTTAACTGGCAATATTGATATTGGTAGTTATGATTCAATCCCTAATTTAAATAGTATTATTAATTACTTATGGTTTGGAAGTTCATACAACAAGGTTTATTTTCTTTACCTTGATCAATAAATGGGCAGTGAGGTTAATAGCTCCAGTAAACGCAATCTAGACATTGGGTATAGCATGGCACATGAAATAAATAATGTAATTAGTTTATCCTTTCAATAATTTGATATTCATTTTTGTTTTCCTATTTTAATTACATTTCTGTACTTGTTAATACTTATTTGAGGTACGGACCAAAGAGCAGATTTGTACCTGGAAGGAAAAGACCAGCTTGGTGGTTGGTTTCAGTCTTCCTTACTAACGAGTGTGGCAGCGAGGACGCAAGCCCCCTTCAAGTAAGTGTCATGCCTGAGCTGAGCCTGTGGGCACACTTTGAGCACCTCTGCTGGGTATTGCCAGTGTGGGAAGCCCTGTGCATAATAATGTATATATGGTCAGACACACCTTTTACTAGCTCACAGTGTCCCATCTCGAGAGAAATGAGAGTTTGAAGTAGAGAGGGAGAAAGGAAGGAGGTAACACTACGGAGAAGTCTGGTCACTGGTACAGGTCATAACTCCTAGAAAGGGAAACAGCACAGACGAGGGGGGAACCTTCTGGGAGCTAGGTCTTCAAAGGGGTCAGACTCTACTTGGACGGGTGTAGACAAGGGCATTCTCGGTCGACTGAAGACAGTTTGGGCTCAAATATCCTCACATTTGTAATATCCAGAAGCAGCTACTAAGCTGAAACATTCCATTAGTGAAGTTTATAAATTAGGCATCCTTAGTTATAATTGCTTTTCCTTATGCAAGTATGTGGATAGAGGTTCTAATCAGAAAGATTCTTCAAGGGCTTAAGATTGTTGCTGTCTTACAATAAAAACCCATTCCAGAACACGTTAAATGTTGGTTTCTTGTATAACCTGCTTTTATAAACCAATAGAACAGCAGGTATTTTTCTTTTGAATTGTCTTTTTGATGATAGTTCGAGATGATAATCTGCTCTTTTTAAGACATACTTTTTCCTGGCTAGCTTTAATGATCAAAACTGGTACATACTAGATGATCAGGAAATACACGTTTAGTGAATATAAACATCAAAAATGTTTCTGTGTAAGTAGAGCGCTTACTATTTAACACTTATGATAAATAAGCTGCTGAAATTAGACTTTGAAGAAAAGCTTTTATACGTAATCAAGGAAAATCCTACATTTGTGTTAAACTGATGTATTCTTTTAAAGCTATAAGTCACCCTCAAAAAGGTTATTATAACAGCTGATTTGCCTTCCTAGGACAGTGGTGGTTCATGGGTTTACCCTTGGAGAAAAGGGAGAAAAGATGTCCAAGTCTCTTGGGAATGTCATTGATCCTGATGTTGTCATCAATGGAGGACAAGTAGGTGGTTCTCTCAAAATTCATTTTAGTTTGGTTTTAAAGCTCTTAAGTTGGCAGCCAAAAACCCTTAATGTAGTTACTTCAGTGTTAAAAACAAAACCCAATATCTCTTCTATGAATAGAAGATGCCTTACCACGTCTTAAATCTAGACACATAATGCATGATCTTCATGAACAGGGAAGGCTCGCTGGACTCACCTGAGGTCTGACTCTCTAGGTAGGCCCTGAATGATGCTGCCCCTGTATTCAGTCATCTGAGCTTTAAGCTGTGATTGTACATTTCAGTGGAAATGCTATAAGAACAAAATGAGATGGCAACTTCTAAATCACGTTTCATTATTTTTGGAAATTATACACTTTAAAGCACACCATTAATGAACATCAACTCTGGGGTTGCTGATAATTTGGTTTATTTTAAGGTTGTTTTTAGAGAAGAAATCTCGTCTGTTGTTGTTCTGGCTTTTTACTGCCCTCCTAATGGCCAGTAATCATTTCCCTGCGGACAGAGTTGCTAGGGAATATTGAGAGGGAAGAGGAGCCCTCCCCCTCCTCTGCCAAGGGGAATAGGGCCTGGCTCTGTGCCCAGGCAGCAGCTGTGACAGAGAGGTGTACACAGATGTGCCCGGGGAAGGGGCCGGGTGTCAGCATCTGCACGCAACAGGCTGCAGGCACATTCCCCGTCGGTTCGGTGGTGTGTTAGATACAGTATCATTTCGGAGAGTAGCCCTTACCTCATTACACTGCAGGTATTTTTATGCTCATATTGTGCACCAACGTTTTTGAGTAGGAGCACCTGGAAGATCTGTTCACCTAATTGGAACTGAAAGCCATTTATATGTTTATACGCTTTTTTCCTCAATGAAAAGGATCCGAGCAAAGAGCCTCCTTATGGTGCCGATGTCCTGCGCTGGTGGGTCGCTGAGTCCAACGTCTTCACCGAAGTGACAATCAGTCCATCCGCACTCAGTGCTGCCAGAGAAGATATTAGCAAGGTCAGAGTCACTGTTCTCCTGTTTCTGAATGAGCTGACTAAATACTACTTTTTCACAAAGAAGCCGGTACTGTGTGCCCTGGGAAACCAATTTAACACGCGTTCTCCACCTGAGCATTAAAAATATCCTACATGACTCGTTTAAAAAACCAGTCATCATAGTAACTTTATACTTTCTGCTTCTATTTTATTAAATATACAGCATACTATGTGAAATGCTACTAATTTTTTTGCTGGAAGCTGCATTTTATTTGATAATCCACCCATTTTTGTTGACATACATTTTAATATTGTAAACAAAAACAAACTCTGCCAACACAGTGCAGCAAGTATGCTTACCCGCGGGTGCAGAATTGCTTTCCCACCAAACCGTCCTTCTGAAGGCCCCGCTCAACCCACATGTTAAGGCGGGTTCCCACGAGGCCTGCTCAGCAGTGCAGTTCATTTCATTAGCCAGACTCACATCTAGACATTCAAGATGTGACCACCTGTTATTGAAGAGGTGCATGATCATAACATGGCCTGAGCCAAATAAAAGGTTCCAGGGTTTTGTCCCCTTCTCTCCTCCCATAACTCCTAAAGTTTTACTGAAAAGAAGGAAGTGTTGAGGTGGAGGTAGTGGTCGCGTTCACTTTGGGAAGAGCCCTCACCTCAGCGGGGACAGCGACATGCCAGGCACAGCATCTGGGTCCCTTCAGTGCGCCAGTGCATGTCGCCCTGCAGAATCCCAGGCACAAAGTGACCGAGGACTAACATGTGTCATGCTTCCCCTGCACTGGGCTCTGACTGTGGACTTGCCTGAAGCTAGGGAGTGTCTGTATGTCGGCGAGCAGCATCCTGAACAGATTCGTTCTGGTGGCTAGGAGGCAGACAGCTCATGTACATCCACTTGTTTTCACAAGGAGGTTCAGTACAACATTGATGTTACATGAATTGATCATTAGAGGTAAATGCAAATACTTGAGTAATGTCTTCTGCAAACTGAATATATAATTTTTAAAAAGCTAACTAGTTACTGCTCTGTATCTGTGAGGACTGGAGAGAAAATACATAATGAAGCATAATATATGTGAAATTATGCTAATTTTATATGCATTTTACGTACTCGGTGACCTTTCACATTTACTGCGTTTGTCTTTATTTTTACCTGCACAGATGGACAAACTAGGCCACTGAAGGGGGTCTGCCCAAAGGTTAGAAAGAAAAGGAAAGAAAATTCAGTCTTTGTGTCAAGTCCAGTGGCTGTTTCCATACCTGGGCTATGAAAATGTTTGGGCTGTTTTTGCACTTGTAGTCTTCTTTAGGAATGCTATTTAAAAAGTATCCCATTAAGAAAGTAACACGAGAAATAAAAGAACTTTTCAGTAAGAACTTCAGGCCTCATAAATTGTTTTTGATGACATGTTTTTTATTTCTTTCCAATAGCTTAGGAATACACTCCGCTTTCTTTTGGGAAACGTGGCTGGTTTCAACCCAGAGACAGATTCCATCCCTGTTAAAAACATGTATGTCATCGACCAGTACATGCTCCATCTCCTGCAGGACTTGGCGAGCAAGGTGAGTGTGAACTGGGCAGCACCTGCGACGTGGAAGTTCAGCGCTGCCCGTGTTGAAATCCGAGGGGCACCCAGTGGAACAGACCTCGCTAGAAACTGTAACTACAGCACTGGGGAAAGCCATCCTTGATAAATCCCACACGTCCTAGGTTGCCATAGGGCTGAAGTCTGCTGGGGACAGTAGAACAGACACCGCCTCAAACCGCATCTCCTCACCACCACCACCACCAAGTAGAGAGATAAAAAAAAAGAGAGAAAATTAAACACACACACACATTTCCACTCCGGATGTATTTCTCCCGACTGGAAGGAATAGAGTTGTACTTTATCAGCAGATACACCTCGTTAAGTCTAGAAATAACTGAAGTGGGTATTTCTGTGTCTTGTACGATATTTGATCATTCATCTATAAACACAGATCATTTGTGTTTACTCAGAAACGGGAAATGTGGCCACTGCCACGTACCCTTAGGTCAGAGGCGTACATGCAGATTTCTGCCCGATTTTACTTTCAGGCGTAAATGAGGCAACATTGGTAGCCTGCACTCTGCGGTTTTCAATGGTGTGGTTTCAGCATTTAAACCCTGATCCTTTCCTTTGATGAGTGTTCTGTAGTTTCCAGAGCAGAATGCTCAGTGTTTTATGAAGACAGTCGAATCTGAACCAGAAGTGCTGTTTGGGAGACACCCCCCACCAAAGCTTTTACATACCACCTGTTTTGTCTGCCTCTGAAACAGTCAGAAGGAACAGATGCTGTGATGATGACTAGCATTTCCATTTGCTGATCCCAGCTTCAAATGTTTTTGGCTTTGTTCCCTAGATTACCGATTCATATAAACAGTACGATTTTGGAAAAGTTGTTCGGCTGTTACGGGCCTTTTACACCAGAGAACTTTCTAACTTTTATTTCAGCATAATCAAAGATAGGTATGTATAACTTAATAGTAAAATACTTAAGTGTTCCTTGAGTCTCTTCTGCTGGGCAAACACTGGGCATCCAGGTGTGAACAAGGTGGGCAGCTGTGCGGTTATTAAGTTGGATTCTAGAGTGAAGACTGATTGTTTTTGCCCTGCCTCTTCCTAGCTTTATGGTCTGGGGCAGCTTATCCCCTAGTCCAGGGGTGGGGGACCTTTTTTCTGCCAAGGGCCATACAAAATTATCACCTTAATGATCAGTCAGCTCTATCTGGTCCGGCGGATTTGGTGAGGCGGGGGGTGTGAGCTGGCATTGATTTTGCCGGCCAGATGTTCCCACCCCTGCAGTCTGTTAATCTGTAAAATGGTGATGCTGAAACCATCTCAGTGTGGTTATGAGAATGAAAAAGAGAATAGCAGTAATGTGCTTAGTGCTGTTTGATCAACTACTCAAGAAGTAGTAGCTGCTGATATGAGTCAGGAACACAGGATGTTTTCAGGGGTTTGTGAAGCTAGAGGGGGAGGCAATCTTGTAGGGGTGGGAGTCACTTTTAAAGATCCCCAGCCAACTTAGGAGTTGTCCTTGAACGCAGCAGTCTAGACTCTGTGACCTGGAAAACAACTGCACGGAGCATAGCTGCTGAGGCTTTGGGGGCAGTGGGCGAGCTGGAAGGAGGTCACTGCCATGGAGGGTGTTGTACCAGAGGTGTAGGGCAGGCTGTCCCCTTCTTTAATGCGAAGATGGTTCGACCCATTGAATTAGCCACTGGAAGAGTGTGCTCAGCCTGAGACAGGTGCGATGTTGGCGATCATGACGTGGTGCTGAGCACGTTGTTCTGTTCAGGCTCTATTGTGAAAAGGCAAGTGACCCCAAACGCCGCTCTTGTCAGACGGCGCTGGTGGAGATTTTGGATGTGATGGTTCGCTCTTTCGCGCCCATTCTGCCTCACTTGGCTGAAGAGGTATTCCAGCACGTACCTTACGTCAAAGGTAAGAACACCGCCGTGTTGCCTAAATGAGAAAGGTGACGAGGAGGTTGCAACTTCTGAGTGTACCTTCCTATAAGGGGTGCTTACTCGTGGACAGCGAGTGACTCTGGCAGCACGTCATGGCCCCTCTGTGGGGAGGGTGGCTCAGAGCGCCTAGAAGTGCTGTCTGAACTGTCAGCAGCCTGACTCTCTGAGACCCTGTCTCAGATACATAGATGTCACGGACACATTGTGTTATTAAACAATATAGTGCTTTTTAGTAGTTTCATGAGTTTTTTCCTCTGACTGTAGTCAACTTTTATAAGAAACTGGAAATTATCAAAATTTAGAAAGAGGAGGAAAAAGTCTTACTACTCCAAAACAACTACTGTGATATTGGGAGATTCCTCTTTTCTTCTAGGCATCTTCTTTTTCCTTTGAGGCCGTACTATATATTTTGTCCTTTGTTTAAACTTAGCATCATTATTTCCAAATGTTCACGTTTGATGAGCATTTAGGATGTCTTCATATTTTATCCCGTGGTTACCTTAAAGAACACTTCTCATTTCCCATCATAGTAAGTACTTAATGTTAGAGCTTTACATAGTTTGGAATATACGTACATTAGTGTCTGGGTTTCTTAAGAACCCAAGAGCGTTTTTCGCACGGGGTGGATCAACACCAGCTCCATCTGGAAGAAGCCCGGGCTGGAGGAGGCGATGGAGAGCGCGTGCGCCATGAGAGACGCCTTCCTCGGGAGCATCCCCGGCAAGAACGCAGCGGAGCACGAGGTCACCCTGGTCATCGAGCCGGGGCTCCTGTTCGAGATAATAGAGGTGAGCGGTGAGCGGTCGTCTACCTTGGAGGTGGTGTCGGCGTCCCTTTCCCTGGAAACGGTTTTAAATCTCTGTGTAGTAAAGTCCTGTTTGAAATGCAAGCCCTCAGGCCGTTTATGAGAGGTGACCAGGTTAATCCCTGACAGTGCATTAGCATACCTGGAAACTGGGAGTTTTGTGTTAAAGGTGTAGTTTTCTGAGAATTTTGTCCATCTGGATCAGTTTCAAAACAAATCCAAAACAAGATTTCCATGTCTTTTTCTTGAGTTCTGGAAAAATTTCATTTGTCACAGAAGAGGATCATGTGATCTGAAAACATTCACCGTATTTTTATATCCCAAGTTCTTCCAAAATTTTCTTCTTGGATTCTTAAGGGCTCATTGGCCAGAATGGCTCAGAGCTTAGCATACGGAGTCAAGACTTTTCTCTAGTTTTAGTGCTTAGAAGAGAATTGGCGATGAATATGTGTATTTTTAAGTTTTACTGATATATTTCCTTAAAAAGTGACCATCTCATTTGGTTGGTAAGCTCAATTTAAATTTTTAATCTTGTAATTGATCAGGATTTGAGGCTTGCAATTGCTGTAGTAGATATGAAACTGTTGATCAGTAAGAGTTCCGATAGTATGTCCACATCTTAAAATGTGTGGGACGTTCGGACTCCATTTATGAGCAAGGAGACAGGACCACAGAAGCTGGGACCTGGCTGAGGCTACACAGCCTGGACTGGGTTTTCCCCTACATGTTACATGCCCTTTGACGTCAGTAGCTCTGAGTGGTAAGCTAGAAAGAATACAGCTTGTTTGGATCATTTATATTGGAAAGAATATTTTGCGATTTTCAAAAATGTGAATATATTTTCCTTAGAAATTACCCTAAGTAGCTGTCCGATGGAGCCCTGCTTCTATTAGTTACTGGTTGCAATGTTTTGTTAAAACCAAATTAATTTCTTTGAATCTCCTGTTTCATCCTTTTTTTAATAAAAGGAATGTCCACATCAGCTCAGTCATGTTGGAGGTCAGAGTTAGAGTGAGAAGTGTGGAAATGCGTGTTGACACCCCCGCTCAGGGTCCTGCAGAAGGGTGTTCGGGTGGCCGTCCCTGTGAGAAGGTGTCTTAACCCCTGGCCTGGTGTCAGCAGCACGATCCAGGGAGGGGGCCTCAGAGCTGACGGCGCTGGGCCAGGTTGGGCCGGGTCGGGCTGGGCCACAGCCCCACTGCTGGCTGGTTGAGAAACCTGGTCAGCTTACCCCTCTGAGCCTGTGCCTCCGTGTGTAATGGGGACGATAAGAAATAATGGGCATTTAGCATCTAGCCAAGTGAAGAGCCACCAGAGAGTATATTCTCAATAACCACCTCCGAATGGAAGCTCTCAGTTCAAACCTTTCATTCTAGTAAGAACTAACGTGTTTGAACGTATTAGCGTGAGGCAGAGGTACCAGAGGGTCTCCCACTGCACAAGAGTTTGGCGTCAGCGTCCTGTTTCTGTGAGAACTGAGCTCAGACGGACTGTCCCGTGGTCCCTCCCAGATGCTGCAAGCTGAGGAGACCTCCAGCACCTCGCAGCTGAACGAGCTCATGATGGCTTCCCAGACGACATTACTCCCTCAGGAACCACCCTCGATGCCTGCAGATGTCACTGAGCTTAGAGGGACATTCCTGATCAATCTGGAAGGTAAGCGCGAAGGAGGGGGAGGACAGGTGTGACCTGGGCAACTGCATGACCATGGTCGTCCCCAGCTGTCAGGGGACTGCACGTCCTCGGAAGGCACCTCTCTGTGGACACGGTGGCAAGTTTCTAAACCGCTCTGGAAAGTGTCCTACGCGATTGGGGGACCGAGCCAGGGCTAGAGGGGGGACTCCTGTCTGCAGCGGTGGTTCTTGTATGGCGTCAGTGCCGTCTCCTGTGACAGCTGGCACCCTACTGCCGGGCACCGATTCTAAAACTTCGTGGGTACACCCCAGATTAAAGTGTGATTTAGCTATTCGGAAGGAGGGTTACGGAAGTTCTGGGGGACTCAGTCCCACGGTGGCATCCACAGCATGTTGTAGGCGTTTGTCCACCCAGTTCGCTGTCACTGATGGGCGTGGAGAAGGAGCAGTGACAGAAGGTGCAGGCGCTGGGAAAGGGACGCGCCGTGTCTTGTCAGGCACTCGGGTCCCAGCAGGAGACGGGAGGCTAGTGACAGGCAGGGGTTAAATCTGAGGCCTGGCAGCTCCGACCACGTGGCAGCGATTCTGGCTTAACCTGCTTTTCAGATGTTCCTGCAGTCTTGGTAGTGACTGGACAACAACGTACTGTGCTGTCAGTCGGAGCTGAGAGTATTGGCAGTAGAGAAAGTGGTTTCCTTTTGTTCAAACCAACAAGTTTTAAGTGGACAGTTCAGTTGTTACTATAATTTGGCTTTTTAAAAAAACGTAGATCACACTGCCTCTCCGGCAGTAGACTTGCCAGAGCTGTGCTCAGACCCGAGCCGGCCTGTCCTGCGTCAGGGAGAAGCCGGCTGACCTCTCGGTCTTCGCGTCCTCAGCGCCTCCGCCGTGTGCTTGTGCTGCGTGGCCTGGCGGCATGTGACGGCACTGCAACCACCTTTACCGAGGCAGGAGGAGAGAGCTTGAGAACGGAGCCCCCACAAAGCAGCTACCACAGGGCTCGGGGTGGAATGGCCTGCCCAGGACACGTGTTCTCCTTTCCCAGGTGGTGACATCCGTGAAGAGTCGGCGTATAAAGTAATTGTCATGCCAACTACCAAAGAAAAGTGCCCTCGCTGTTGGAAGTACACAGCCGAGTCGTCCGACACGCTCTGTCCCCGATGCGCCAACGCCGTGGGCGGCAAGTAGTGCCTCGCTCCGGCCGACAGCGGCTCCCGAGCGAGACCCCGGCAGGACTGCATGCAGTGCAGGGGGCTGTTTACAGTGTCGGGAACAAATGCAAGACTTAGGTGATGAGTAAGTGGTGGAGGACGAGCATAAAGTAAGAAGCCTAAGTTTTTCCTCTAACTGGACAACGGGTACCTATACCAATCCACACACGCAGAGGGACCGAGGTCCAGGACGGGCTCGTCCAGAACAGAACCTGAACGTGCTCACCTCCGTGTGTGGCCGAGCGGGGAACGTTTTATATCTTACAAATCTTTTTGACTCAGTATTTAAGTCCTGTAATGTCTGCAAATAAAGGCATTCTGGGGAATGAGTGCTGCGGTGGCGTCTGCCTGCCGGCGGTGCATCGGGGGTGGCGCTCTGCCCGCTGCACGCCCCCGCCTCTCAGAATAGCTAGTGGTTTGGCTGAATCAGAATGAAAACATGAAATCGGTTATTCTCAGAAGAGGAACAAAACCTTAGCAGTTCGTACTTACATCTGTGAACGTCAAGGAAACAACATGAAAGCTGAAAATTTATTTCACTAATATACATGAATTCACAATGAACAGACGGAAAACAGCAGTATAGACAGAATTTCACTACCTACAATACATTACACTAGATAACAGGATTTTATAAACAACTCCATTTTGGATTAAAATCTTTCTAGGGATGGCTAATTCTACTCAGCGGGAATCTAACTTTTAGAATCCAACAAATCCACTCCTGCAGGGTGAGAGCTTCCTGTTGCTATCAGTACTTTGAAAATATTTCTCTTGAAAATCAAATGAATCACAGCCCCTTCTGACTGTCATATTCCATGTAAGCTTAATATTTTTAAATCTGAGCTTTCTGTGATTTTAAATTGCAATTGTGTGGTTTTTTTTAAGAAAGCAATTTAATGTAACAGTGTTTACTTTTGACCTAAGGTGAATTTTTATAACAAAAGTGAAATGGAGAAAAGACTATTTTTCTTTTTGCAAAGGAAGGAAGCATTTAGAAGCCAGATGCTATTCCTTTTGTCTACATTTACCCTGGCTCTCGGGAGTCTGTCTGAACACACCTGTACCGTAGAGGATATGCTCACGTGAACACGTGTTTCTCTCAGCAGCACTGCAGGGCAGGACCGAGCAGGGTGCACCTGCCTGGTGAATGCTGTCGGGGGAGTGTGTCTGGGAAAACACTGCTGGTTATTGGCGTCCCATCAACAGCCGCAGTAAGTGCAGCGTATGCCATTGGTGTCAGAACTAGCCACTCGCCATCAAACCTAATTCCTTCATTTGTGGCTCTTCCGCACCTCAGAATGTGGACAGGCAGACGTCGCGCCCCTGGGCTCAGATCCAGACCACCGCCGTAAAGCGAGCACTGCGCTGAAGTGAGCCATCTCGTTTTGCTGGTGGTCTTGCCTCCAGTCTGCACAAGTCAGCATCTGTAAAGCGAGGTCTGCTTGTCCGCAGCTACTTATCTGCCTGTCTTCTAGCAGATTTAGTTTAAAAGCCCTTGATGAAATAGTAAAATATTTAACTGCATTTCTTAACCAACCATACAACGCAGAATTCAACTTTAAAGTTGAGTGGTGAATTTTAGGGTGACAGAGTCCTGACCTTACGGTTCTACGTGCCACATCACAGCTTCTTCCCCACAGCCCCCGGTCCGATTGCATGTCCTTCCAGGATAAGTTTAACCAGTTCTAGCAGCTAAAATGTCGATTAGGTACATCTCCCAAGGTTTTTAATCAGCTTCCAAAGTATATTAACAACTTTCAGAAAATTTAGAAAACTCATAGGAAGAACCAAAGAACCAGTCTTTTACAACACGTCAACCAGTGACGACAGGAATATGTCTGGATGGGGCAGCAGGGACCCCGGCAGCGGCCGGACGAGCTGTCAAGGCCACAGGGCACCTGTGCCTCCGTCAGACTCACAGGCCCTCACCCCAAACCTCAGGACAGTCTACTCGCTTCTTTTTCAAGGTTCCAAATTGAAACAGTCATTGTTAAGTTTTAGACAGGGAAGTCCTTGTTTGGATGTGATCTTCAGTTGCAATGAATTTACACCGGGATGTCCTCACGTCAGACATTCTTTTCTTTCTGTCCCTGAAGGACATACTCAACTTTGCACAGTTGCTTGAGCTGGCTTCTGATAAGGAAGTGAAGAAGCAAACCTCTGTATCACAACGAGCTACTATGAGTAACAATTGTGATCCATGACAGGTAACAATAACTGCACTGTATGGCTACATTCCAAAGATACACCATAACAAATACTTGGTATTTGTAGAACTCAAAGCACTTCTTAGAGTTTTGCTTAGTTTGGTTTTAATCAAATAATCTTCAGCGCTTGGACTGCTCTGGGCGCTCCAGGGTACAGATTAGCTGTGCTGTACGCTCTCGACCCGGCTGAGGTAGGTTTGCCAAGGCTGCGGCATCACTAAGCACTTTGTTCTGTTCCCGAGAACAGGCGACATTGCCAAGTCCCAGAAGCAGACATTTCTAAACACTTCAGGAAAAATAAAGTTACTTAAATTTTTAGAATCTTTGCCCCTTTTTTTTTAAAACCTAAGTTTTACAAGATAATACATTTTTACAATTACCTGATGGGAATACAACTTTGAGTCTTGGCAAAAAGCAAATCTTACCTTGTCGTATAATTAATTCTGGTGTGCTGCTTGTATCTCAGATTCTCGATTTTGGCAAGTATAGGCAGGTCCTTTGGTACCCGAACAAGGGTTCTATTTACTGTCCCTTCTGAAGACTAGGATGACCTTGAACGCATCACCCTTTGCAAGGTCATCGTTCTCTGGCGGCAGCTGCCTAGCCTCTGGGAAAGGGACCTGTCGCTTCCAAAGCAGGTGGCAGCCCAGCATGGGAGGAAGTGTGATAACAAGAGCATTTTCCTAACAGTTGTGGAAGGAGGGTGGGATGTTCCTCTGACTTTACTGAGGGGACTATATTTACACGATCACATTGAGATTTACTTAGAACAATAACATTTGCGTATGAAATATAGAATCTTATAATAAGAACATAATCTGTAAATTATAACCAATTTTAAATAGCAAAATTGAACAATAAAGCTAGCTAAGTGCTTAAATTAGAAATAAACAGGAAAACATCTGTATGAGTAACTAATAGTATAATTGATATTTGTTTATATTTGCCATAACTGATACTTGCCTATATTTTTGCCTTTGGTATTAACCAAAGGAGCGGAATTTAGCCAGGACTGTACTTTTTAAAAGTAATATACATATTTTTAAATTTATTTTATACAAGAAGAAGACAACCCCCTCCATAAGATCCCAGCTCGCCCTGCATGACATAACCATGCGCTAGTTCACGCAGTCACGTGACGGGAGCTGTTTGCAGCAGGCAGGGTCACAAAGGAGGAAGGGCTATGGCTTCTATGGCTTCAATGAGGTGCAGGGCTAAACCATACTGCCCGTGGTTCTCTGGTAAGAGCTCAATCACTTTATTCACTAGTTTAGCAGTGGTTGCAATGGGCACTTCTGTGTTTTGAAGATCCTGGGGGTCCTACAAATGGGACACAGAAATAACCCATCAGTTACATGCGCCCAAACAACATCCGGTACTAACAAAAATGCTTTTCTTCAGCGCTGAGTCAATTAAAGGAAGAATGACCATTTTCCCAAGTATTAGGAAACGGCGTCTGAGAAAACAGGCGTGCCCGCCCCCCCGCTGCGTACTCACCATGGCCCTCAGCCAGGTGCAGAGCGTGGGCGACAGCCTGGCCAGCAGCTCCATCCCTTCTCTGGCCCGGCTGTGCAGCAGGGCGTGCGCCAGCCTCTGCCCCGTCAGCATCAGCAGCTGGGACGCCAGGACCTCTCTGTCCTGAACCTGGAGAATGGCCTGGGAGAGGGACACGGCTGTGGAGTGCGAGCTACAGACCGACGGACCCTGGCAAGGCGCAGCCAGCCCCGAGTCCAGTTAGTTTTCTGGGTGGCCGTGTACACAGCTGGCCCTTGAACACGGGGTTGAACTGCGGGGCTCCACGGATAGGTGGGCTTTTTCAATGAATCATAACTATACTTTCTCTTATGATTTTAATACTATTTTTTCTCTAGCTTACTGTATTGTGAGAGAACATGTAATACATATAACATACAAAATGTGTTAATCAACTGTTTGTTATTCGTAAGGCTCCCAATCAACAGTAGGCTATTAGTAGTTAACGATGGGAAGTCAAAGTTATGCACAGAGTTTCAACTGTGTGGGGTCAGCTCCAACCCCGACATTGTTCAACGGTCAGCTATAGAGGCAAAATGTCGTCCAACTCAAACCAACATTTAAAACCCAAACTTCTGCCATCACCTAATTGTTCAAGTCAGTAGGACAGTGCAAGTCATCTTCAAACTTTTGTCCGTTTTGTCTGCTGCCTGGACTTCACTAAACACTGAACAGGGATATTTCTATTGTCATATGCTGTTCTGTTTGTGTGCCCAGAAGTTCTAACAAAAGGAAAAGCAAAAAGCTCTACTGGGGACCTGACTGGCCCTGTACTCCGACCATCACACTGACACCTTGAGCCAGGTTCCATGCCCAGGGTGACCGTTACCTCCTCTCCGAGGTGGTCGGCTCCCCAGCTGTACAGCTCCCCCACATAGTGCCTCTGCACGACGTCCTCACTGACTTGGAGGTGATGGGCCAAGTCCACGGCCAGGGCTGGCCAGTCCAGCTCCCTCCCAGGAGCGGCTGGGGCCTCTTCTGCGGGGTGTCTGTCCTTGGCGCCTGAATGTTGAGCCTGGACGGCTGCACTGACAACCTTCAGTAAGAACTTGAAAAGGGAGAGACAGCAACATCGTGTTAGTGCTTCCCTAAAAGCTGTCTTTCAGTGGCTTTTCCATTAAAACTGCTTCATCACCCTAGAGTGACGCACACTTTACAAGGGAGCTCTCTCGGGCACACTCTGGAAGTGGTCCTCCTCCAAAGGCCAGCTGGACTCCGGCTTTACCGGTCTTTCCCCGAGAAGCAACAATAAAATCCTATAACTCATTTACCTGCTGTCGTATAGAAATAAAATTCGGATCCATTTCTCCACTGGGTAATAACTGAATTGAAGTTAGGTCTTTGAAAAATGCGTTTTTCCCCTGAAGAGAAAGAAGAAAACGAGTATAGATTAAAAATCAAATCAAGCCCTGGCCAGTTTGTCTGGCCAGAGTGTCAGCCTGTGGACCAAAGAGTCGGGGGTTCGATTGCGGTCAAGGGCTCAGAGTTTGGCTTCGGTTCGGTTCCCGGCCCTGGTTCCTCGTGCGGGAGGCAACCAGTTGATGTGTCCCTCACACCGATGTTTCTTTCTTTGTTTTCCTCTCTCTCCTCCTCCCTCTCTCTGAAGATAAATGGAAACATATCCTCAGGTGAGGATTAAAAACAAATGAACAAAACCAGTTAAGAATATCTCATCGTTGACTTTTTTCCTCCTTGAACAACAACATTTGAGAATTTTATTTATTCGGGAGGCAGCTTTCAAGGCGGTGCCCAGGGATGCCTCCTGGTACTCATGTCTGCGGAATCCCCTTCTCTCGTGTGTGGGCTGGGGACTCACTAGCAAACAAGCAGGCAGAGATGACGTGTCACCTTCACAGTGGGTACGAGGGGGCCGCGGCCTCTGCCCGCGTGTGCCTAGTCCCTCACTCGCGCTGAGGGGGGCGAGCTGCCTGGAGTGGCCCCAGTGGCGAGGAGCTGAATCCCGCTAACGTCATGTAGGCTTGGAAGTGGGGTCCCGACCCCACCGCAGCCCTGGCCGCTTCCCTGACTGCAGACTCCTGAGAAACTGAGCCAGAAACACCCAGATTCTCAACCCACAAAGATGGTAATAAACTCAATTTCAGCCATTCATTTCCGGGTTGATTTGTTATGCAGTGATAGATAACTGATACACAGTATGTACTCTGAATCCTTTTAAAAACACCTGGCTTCAGAACAGACGTGTGTCTGAAGAGCTGAAGCAGGAAAACAGGGTTAAGTTCCTCGGAAGGAGGAGAACAGAGCAGAGAGCAGCGCCCTCTGAACGGGAAGCCACGGGCTCGAGTCCCCGTCCACCCCTTCCATCCAGCTTCTATCAAACAACTGTTGTGCTCACGCCTGCACACCCCAGCTCCAGCTCGGCTCTGAAATCCCCGGTCCCTTACCTTACTATCAAACAGGGACAGTGGCTTCACGGACTTCAGAGAAAACCTCATGACCGCGTACAGGACGGAGCACAGGATGGAGTGGTGCTCCACCAGCGGGTAGTGGACAGGCTTCTGCTCCAGGGCCAGTTCCACAATGGAGACGGGCCCTTCCACCGCGAGCCAGGCGTCCTCCGTGTCCAGGACCGGCACCGGCACCTCGTCCCTGCTCACGTCTGCCTGCGTGCGAGGGCGGACAGCTGTTCAGTCGGAGACATCACCGCTTGCGAACACCTTCTTTAATGAGCTTACCAGGAGCAAAGTGAAAACCTCTATTTCTCCCACCGGCCCAAAGTGTAATGTAAAAAACCCCAAAATGTAATTCTAATAAGAAACATCACTATTTTTAGGCTTAAGTCAAAACTGTGAAATGAATAAATGAAAAGATATCTGTAGTCCTTTAAGTCCACTGAGTTTAAAAATATTTGACAACTCAGTTCAGAATGAAAATACCCCTTTTACCTCCATTAAAGTCTGAAGGAGATCCAGGCAGGAGCCGAGGAAAGAGGTCATTGCCGTGTCGCTCATCCCCACATCCTGTTCGCAAAAGGAACATAATTAGTTCCTGCAGCAAAACTGCTCTAGTCATTATCAGAAAAATAAAACTTTGTCGACACTGAACAGACAGGCAAGAATTTGACAGTCAAGTCCTCAGCACATTTTAATTCCTTTCTTTAGATTTAACTGGCTTTAAAAAGGATGGTCCTACGATCAACTGTGAACGATCAGTGTCCTGGGTGTAAAGACACGATGTCCTCCCCCACGGGCTGCGGCCCCGTACTCACTGGCCAAGACCTCCAGGGACAGGCGTTCGATAGCCAAGTAATTATGGTCCCACATGAGAGGTTCTGAGGAAACAGCCTGGTGTGTTTCAGAGCATCTTTTAGGGACTAAACGGAACCCTCCAGCCTGCGAACTCGAGACAGATGATGCACGGGCAGCCGCTCGTCCTGCCGACGCCCCAGGGCCTGCCCAGGAGCCTTGCGTCCACGTACATCTTTCTAAACCCATGAATCCCTCCCATCCCTAAGTGATTCAGAGTGAGTGTGTGTGTGTGTGACACACACACATGCACTGGTCACAGGGAGTCCCAAGCACATACCAGAATTCAACTGCGGTGACTTTTCAGGACTAAGGGCCTATAACAGCTGGGTTGGTATGTCCCAATCTTTCTTAAGATAAATTTGTAATAATATTTTGAAGTTTTGAGCTAAAGGACAGGAATGTTAAGACCCTGTGTGAAGGTGCACCCAATCTACTACTCCTGAGTCCACTTCCAGTGGGTGCCGCCGCCCGCCGCACCTTTCCCCTTCGCAGGACAGCAAAGCTGCAACAGCGACTTGTCACGGTTCTGTCCACAGTCCAAAGTTGAGACGTCTCGTGAAAACCTAGCTGAAACATGCTATCTGACAAACTATAAAGGTGAATGAGACCTGGCCAGAGTTCACGAGCAGCTTCCCTAATATAGTGTTCTCTTTCCAATGTTCTTATCTCCTGACATGTCATCGGAATGGTAAAAGGCAAAGTTCACCCCTACAGTTGATGAGGCTCCAGGTCAAGTGCAGGATTAACAACCGCAAATCTAGTTAAGGGAGATCCACTTACCCTTCGGCACAACCTGTCCTTGGGGGACTTTCCAACCTAAGACAAAAGGACATGAAATGCTGTATTTATTTAATAACTTGAAAAGGCATCACTATGGTACAGGAAATAAAAAGTAACCAAATTCTAAAAATACAAATATACCTGTAAATAAATGTGGCAACCGTAATAACATAATGCAATTAATTCTGTGGCAGAATTTTGTAAAAATATATTACGAGAAATATATCACCCTGGGCTCACAAATAATCCTTTTCAAAAACATAGTTTTGAACTACTAAATAAGAAAAACTAAAAAAAAAAGCCGGTTCTTTGTATAATCAAATAATTGGGTTGCCTTAACACTCAGAACCAAACTCAAGGCTACGAACAGAGAGCAGCTAAGAATCCTGTTAGCTGATAAAGACACACCATGATTCTAAGAGAAAGAAGGGACATCTAAGCAGACAGCAGTCATATGTCCAGCTCAGAACATCAGCTAATTTCCTCGATTCAATGAACAATAAGACTGTCCCACTCACTGCGTTCCACAGGGTGGGAGGGGCAGATAAAAGCCCCGCACTTCAGGAACACCCGTGACAGGACAAGGCACAGGGGACAGTGACAATGGGAGAAGGGACTCCCGCACCAAGGACTCTTCACCTCATTGCCTCGAGCTGAGATGACTCCATGGCCTTCGAACAGGCAAGCGCATCCCACCCCAGTTCCAACATATCTCACCATTGCCAGAATCGTCTTCTAAAATGCAAATCTGAACAGACCACACCTCTGCTTAAAATCGCCCGTGTCTTCGAGATCAAAGAAAAGCTACATGCCAGGCTGCAGGCTAAGCAGCTGACACCACTGGAAAATCCCAAACCCACCGCCCACGTGAAAGGCTCCTTCCTCCAGCCTGCGCTCCACGCACGGGAGCCTGCGGCCGACTAGCACGTGGCCTGCGAAGCACTGAGGCCTGCGGCCACTCTGCTGGAGGCCAGGCCCGTCCGGTGCTGACAGCCTCAGCCCCAGCAGCTGGTTCCAGGCTCACGTCACGTTCCCTCCAATCTACTTATGCTGCTTGTACAGGCTGTAATTATGGCATTTAACTCAACTGGTTAAAGATGAATGATGAAAAGGAAGAAGCTATTCATCTTATGTTGACTGCTCTGACAAGAACTATGGGGAGCAGCTAACTCCCAGGCCTACTAGAGTAGATCTAGGAAACAGCTACCAAGATCAGGGGATCAAGGAGGAGAATCTAAGGGCTCTGCACTCAGACTGCACCATAACTTAGAGAAAGCGGCCCTAGAACTCACAGGCAATGCGTTACGGGGTGTTTGTGCAGGAAAACCAGAGTAGAACCACAATCAACCCCGTTCCAAGAAAAACCTTGGCTGTACAGCCAGAGCTCCGGGAGTCAGAGTACATCTGTAGGCTTCAATTTAAAATAAAGCGTGAACCATGCTCGGACCACCGCCAGTCCTCTGTTGGGTCGCGGGGCTCTGCGGTGGAGCTGGCGTTTCGGGGCGGGCTCCTGCCAAGCCAGCAGGGGGGGCTACCCTTCCCTGGGCAAGAGCAGCTAACGTGTACAAATGCACAGCCTAACACGGCCCGTGTAAATCATCTTTCTAACACAATTAAGTAAGGGGACCAGACAGACAAGACGTCAGCACATGAAATGTAAAATTACCTTATCCATCAAGTACGTAGCCGCAGAAAACCTTTTAACCAAGAACGTGTTCCACATCATCAGTGCAACGCCTGCAGCAAGCGGGAGACAAGAAGTGAGCGGGAGCTGAGGTCTCTCCACGGCACGGAACGCGTCTTCCTTAAGCTTCTAACTATGCACTACTTGTAACGTTAATAAAAACCTGTCATAAAAATCAGAATGGGGCTGCAAAAGAGGCTATCCAATTGCCAAATCACCATAAAGGGAAGAGTCGTGTCATTAGTTGAAAGATAAATGAAAATGACAAAGAGATATTATACAACAGAAAGGCTAATTAAAAACGACGACAGCGCTGAGAGCTGGTGAGGATGTGGAGACAACGGGGACGGGTGCTCAGACACTGCTGATGGGACGACACGCGTAAAGGCACTCGGGGACCTGCAGCGGGAACTAAAGCTAAATGCGTGTCTAGCGCAGGACCCACAATTCCACTGCAGAAACGGACACAGAGACACGCGCTCGAGTGCTGAGAACGGCCTCACTGAGAGCAGCCGAACACTGGAAACCCACCCAATGTCCATCAGCTGATTTTTCTCATATATAGCCATCTGATAGAGCGACAGGTAAAAAATAAAATTAAAATTTAAAAAATACCAGAAATATATTTTGAAAAACAAAAAACATGCAGAATCACGACCCACAACAGCTGTTCCTGCATCGAGCAGGGAGGGCGTGAGGGCGTGAGGACGCCAGGAGGCTGCGTATACATAAACTGGGCACCAAGTTCGAACGTGAAACACCAGCCTGAAGTCAATAGGTAACCGGGTGTCACTGGTAAGGGGAGAATACTCTGGAGACCCCAGTTCCCTAATGAGTCACTTGAAATCTTTTTTTTTTTTTTTCTTGGACAAAGGTATGATCTAAAAAGATGAATAAATAAAGTAATTTTCAAGTTCTCCTCATGTTAGAGTTTCTGCAGTCCGACTCCATGCCACCCACAGAAAGGTGGTCCAGGAGACAAGTGGCTTGTCCAGAATGTATCCATGGCGCTTCCTCCTTCCCAGCCCCGAACCTCGTCTCAGAACATGCTGAGATGACTCACTGGCCCGGGCTGGGCGCCTCACCTCTGACAGGAGCCCATCAATCTATCAAATAAAGCCAGTAACCTGTTCACGACTTTCCTGCAACTGTGCACTCTTCCAGGGGACACCAGCGGTGCGCGCGGTGCAGCGGGCGGGGCGCACCGAGCCAGAGGCACCAGGTGCTTCGGCTGCCAAATTTCTTAATCAGGAGCCACAGTCCTGAGCAGCCCATCGCCTTCCCTCACCTGCCTGTGAACTAAAGAGCGAAGGGGTGCGGCCCACTCGGGTAATCTTCTCCTTCCCTGACCTAGGAACAGTCAGCTTGGGAAATGATGGCAGGGGGCGCAAGGTGACAAGGGCTACCAGCCCCCCTCCCTTCTCTGGACAGTTTTCCAAAGAACTAAGAAAACCAGTACTTTGTTGATAGCAATACACACTAACGTTAGGTGGTAGGACCATCAAATAAAAATGTCAAATAAAAATGTAAGAGGGTGTGAGTTTAAAGATTCTTGCCTCTTAAATCAGTTGAGTTTTTAACACCTGTTTACTTACCATTCTGAACATGCGGATTAAGAATGTGCTTCAAGTGTTCTATTGACCTAACAAAAAACCGTGCTTCCTTACATAAAGGGAGAAAAAAAGAGAAAAAAAATCATTTAACAAGTATTTCAAATACAAAGGGAGACTTCTTACATAGTTTCTGCATAAAGCTATAGAAGAATGTTGCAGTAAGATCACAGAAGTATTAAGAAAGAAGTAATTTTTCCTAAGACAACATCACGGTCTCCAATTCCCATCACCTATATCATGGTTGATTTCTAGAAACCCCAGGTCATACACATATGCTGACATCTGGATTCAAAGTTACTGTGAGCGTTCTTCTCAGTAAATACTTGAATTACACACAGATATGAAAACTAAATGTACTTATTTGCAAATATCATTCATTCATTATTCAACACATATTTGTTGAGCAACTACTATGCACCAGGCCGTGTGAGGCAGCAGGAGTCCTGTAGTGACCAAAGCAGACCCAAATCCTTGCCCTCACTGAGGTTATCTAGTGAGGGGGCTGGAGACAGAGGAAGTGAACTACGCAGGATGTTAGTGATAAATGCCAAGGAGAAAACATTACAGCAGCGAGAGGACACAGGAAATAATCACAGGGGATGCCCGACATTCAATTCTTCCTAATCAAGAATTTAAAACGCAAATACAGTATGTAAGACTTTCCCCAGAAATTATCCAGATCTCTGCTGAGTAATTTTGTGGCCTGAACAAAGATTACACAACATGTCCCCGTTGGTAATTAGAAGTGTCCTGAACCTGAGTTGTGTGTGTAAAATGGAACTGGGATGGGGTCAGATGGGACAAGGAGATAAATATTTAACAGGAAAAAAAATCCAAACAATAAAATTGGCCACTTATTTCAACTGTGAAGAGTTCCAACAATCGACAATGACAACCCTAGTCAAAACAACGGGCGCTATGCGAGCATCTTCTCTATAAACGGCTCCAACCTGCGGGGACAGCTGCTGTGAGGTCCCGTGTGCTTTAAGGAGAAAACTGAGGGCAAAGGGTTCAGAACCATCCCAAAGGTCCCAAAGCTGCTGACTAGCAGTGGCAGTGCGTGGGCTCATCTGTCTGTCCGTCCACTGTGCCAGTGCCCTGGGTGTATCAGTGAAAGCTTGTAAAACAGTGTTTCTCTTCAGTTTCACTTTCTAAGACCAGAATCTGGAATTGATTCATTCAGATTTCTGAAATTATGATGTCCTTGTTTTAGCCCTAACATTCTTTTTCCATGTGGGAAAAGTATCCCACGTGAGCGGCGAGCCTCCATGTGATTACCATTCAGACTGTAGAGGGTCCCCGTCCCTGAATCACTTCTCGGTCAAAGTTTAACTGATGAGACCACACCTCTGCTTAAAGCACTTACTCTTTACATGCCTTCCTTGACTGCCTGGGATTCCACGTTAGAGGCTTTCTTCTGAGGAAGGAAGACTACTGGCACCGTTAACGTGTCGGCGTGAACTAGTTCACCCGAGAGGTCTTCAGAAGTGCAGCCGGAGTGAGGACGAGACGAGAGCAATTCTAATCTGAGAGGCCGGAGGGGGGCCTGCGTGACCCGTGCGGCACAGGGACGAACACCGTGTGCTTTGCATCCTGCTGGGCCCTGGCAGCAGTCCTGAAGGACTGGCATCATCATTTAAGAAGGGCGGAGGGAGAAGACACAGGCTGAGAGTCCGAGCTGGCCCCAGCCAGGCCCTTGTCAGAAATGCATCAAGTCCAGTCTCCTGCCTCCAGGCACGCGGGGCCCTTCTCCCTACACCACTTGCAGACCGTGAATGCCCCGGAGCGAGGGTGGTCAAACGTGGTGAAAACGATGCCCAAGCAGAGCTGAGAGGCCCGCGAGGCCCATCAGGACTGGAGGCGGCCCTGTACAATAGTCCTGAGCGTCCTTCCGAGACGCACACGGGCAGTGAGGAGAGGCAGCCGCGTCTGAACACGGGGCCCCGGGCTGGCTTCAGGTCCTGACTCTGGCTCTGTCATGGTGACACAGTACTGAGAGTTTTCAGTTAGCCAGGTGCTAGGTTGTGTAGGAATCCGAAAGGAAGTAAAGAACATGCTCATCACAGCCTGACTGGGAACGGGAATCGCACTGGCTGCAGACAGAGGAACCGAGGCTGAATCCTGGCCCAACTGGGACTCAGCAGTGCGCCTTAGGCAGGGGACGCACCTTCCCTGAGCCCTGGCTGCAGGTGAGGATGATGGATCCCTGCGCTGCAGGGGCTACTGTGAGGGTCGGGAGCCAGCGGATGGACAGGGCCTAGCGCAGCACCTCGTACAGACATGTTCCCCAAGGGGAAGCCTCCCGTGTTCGCGTCAGCTTTTACTAAACTGTCCCCAGAACGCGCAGGGTGCGCACAAGCACAACCCTCGGGCCGGGCTCACCTCCGGGTCCTTGTTCCACTGAACCACGTACTCCCAGCAGCAATGCGCGTGCAGCACGTCCGGTTCCAGGCTGCAGGGGAACTGCTCCCGGGCCGCACGCAGCAGATCTGAAAGGCAGAGACAGGGACGTGTGACACCTGCCTTCAGGACTCCCTGCCAACCCTCTCCCTGGAGCTCGGAGTCCTCCGCATCGTGTCACCTGGTATGGCTCCTAAGTCCGCGCCCACCTCTGGCGCCTCCAACGAACCTCTGTTCATCCCTTCTCTGGGTTCGTCTGGGTTTTCTGCATCTCTCTCCTCATTAGCCAGTTTTAGTACTTCGGGGCTCAAGTCCTGTTTAAATACCCACTTGGCCACACTGTCTGCAATGCCACCTGCAGTTTGGAGGCGAGAGAAAATGAAAGTTGCAGCATTGGCGGAAGGGGGCCATCGGGGCAGGACCTGCATTTCCAATCCCGAGATCTAAGCCCAACGTTCAGTTTACAGCCTGAAGGTGACCCCAAACCACGAGATTCACTGCAGTGCTGCGACCTACACTCCACCTGTGAGGGCGAGTGGGGTGCTGGCTACCTACGGGCATCGTTAGACTTGCCTAAAATATTAGACAAATACAAATGCACATGTAGACCTGTCTGAATACCACAAACCTGCTACACTCACAAATTCAAAATACACTAGACCACACAGAAAAGGGATGCAAACATCTTTAAAACACCTTCTTTAAATATGAGTGAAAACAGGTGGATTAGCATGACACTCACGTAGGCTTCTCAGGCAATACATTCCTTGTAACAGTCAACTAACTAGCCTATATAATACTTAGGGGCAAAATTTAGCCACCGTTCATCAACATGATGCTTTATGCCATCTTGCAATCAATATTGTCCAAAAAATTATTTTGTAGTTTTGCAAACTACAAAAACGTTCACGATGAAGAGTCCTGTTTATCTAAAAAAAGATTAAAAATTTACCAAAACGTGCCCTGGCCAGTTTTGCTCAGTGGTTACAGCATTGACCTGAAGACCAGAGAGTCCCGGGTTTGGTTCCCGCTAAGGGCATGTACCTCCGTTGCGGTCTGTCCCCGACCTCAGTTGAGGTCGTGCGGGTGGCAGCCAGCCGATGTGCCCCTTTCACATTGATGTTTCTCTCTCTCTTTTCCCCTCTCTCCCCCTCCCACTCTATCTGAAGATAAATGCAAAAAGGTCCTTGGGTGAGAATAAGAAAATAATTTTTACCAAAACGATTTCTCCGTCTTTCCTCCTTTTATGATTCAAATGTAAACCTTTCCGCAAAAGAGATGCCTCACGGTCAAAATCACAATAATCAAGAGAATCTATGGGAGCAGTGAACTGGGTGATGTAATTTCTTATGTTTGGCTTCCGAATCATTTGCAGATTCTCATTCCAGAATCAGGGCCCCGGTGATACTGCTTCGGTTCACATTAAAATGGTGTTCCCACACTTTCCCCAGGCAGCAACGGGGGTGCAGCGAGACTGTGCCAAAAAATCTCACGACTTACAAAGAATGAGAAAACGCATTAACTAAGTAAGAAGCTATAAATACCTGAGTATTTCTAAACCCAGAAACACAGTCAGTCCGGATCATGTGCCTGACAGCTGCTGGGAAGAAAAGGGGCACGAGAAAGACCACGAGAGGTAAACTGCTTGTGGTCCTGCGAGGGGAAGCGCAGGACCGAACCGAGGACTCCGGGGAGGGAGCGCGCTGGAAGGAAGGGCCGAGCTCTATGGGAACGAGGAGGAAGCAGAGAATCTGCAGTTCAAGGTCATAAGGGGTCTCTGGGAGGAGGTGGCCCTCGAGCTGAGTGAGATGGAGAACTCAGGGCTCCTGGAGAAGAAATCAGAGGAGGAAGGGGAGGCGGAGACAGGGAAGAGCACAGGCTCGGACCCAGAGACAGGGACCCAGGTGCTTCGCTTGCGTCCAGTCCAGCGACAAGAAACGCGACAGTGGTTGGATTCAAAGTCAGACGGCAGAGCAAGTGCTGGAGTTCCAGCTCCGCTCCAGCAGTTTCTGACCTTGATAGTCTCAGTCTTGGTCCCTTAAACTCTTAAGAATGATGGACAGCCCCAAATAATTTTAGCTATGGATATTTATCAATATTTATGGTATTAGAAATTAACATGGAGAAATTGTAAAAAATGGTTCATTGATTTTAAAATAAAAATAACAAACCCACTGCACATGAATAGTTTATGAAAATAACTGAAAATAGCTGGAATTCCAGCAAGATGTTCAGTGAGGAGTGGCGTGGCGGCGAACCTCACGTCGGCTGGGTCCCAAGCCCCCGATGAGCTCCTGCACCCCACCCACGGGGCTCTCCTGTGCCGGCTGAACTGCAGGGAGATCTGGCCTCCCGAAGGCACGGAGCTGGAACGGGGGGACTCCTGAGGCCTCTGCCATTGTGAAGCCAGGGACGTGAGTGGGGTTCCTGAGCAGAAAACTACAGAACAGACTTTGAAAAGATTAACTGAGAAGACGTGGTGGGCTGCTAATATATTTTTTAAATCTGAGTGCATTGCTCTTCCCTTATTCTTTCGGTCATTTCTACAAAACAACAGCAACAAATGCTTAGGCCACAAAAACAATTAGCTACAGACGCTACGACAGACGGCAGACGGGGCTCACCTCGCCCTCCCTCGAGGAGCTTCCTAACCGAGAGCCGGGGGAGCGGCTCGGCCGGCAGCGACGCCACGCGGACAGGGCGCGCGTCCGCTCTGCTGTGCAGCAGGGTCTGGAGGATAAGGCAGTCCTTCAGCTGCTTCAGCAGGAGTTTCCAGTACTCGGTGTCCAGAGAAAGGGCCTCCCAGGAGTCCGTGAGGGCCTCCGCGTCAGCGTCCACGGCTGTCTGGGAGAACTAACAGAAAAGGCCCCAGTGATAATCTGGCAAAGATTCTGAATCACCATGAACTTGAATGAGCCTTGAACTTGAAGGCTGATGGACAGTCAGGACACACCACACAGATGCTGTTTCACAAATATTATACTTGGCTGGATGAGACTTGAGGCTCAGGAGTGGACGTGAGACTCGGGCACCGAGGATGGAGACTAGGCATTCACAAACACGCCTGTGTCACCCTGTCCCCCAGGCCATGGGGGTAGGACCCAGCTTCTCGATCAGTACCCGGATACTGTACTGATCCCTCTTTAGAATGCACTCGCCAGCGTAAAAAATGTGCCTGCAATTTCTCCCTCATTATTATAAACCTCTTAAGCTAGTGATATAAAATCGAGCCTACAAACTACTAAGACTGACAATGTGAAGTGACTCTCCGCAGACCTATTCAAGTGTCTCATCCAGTTTAACGCAACATCCCTCTAGAAAAAGTTATCTGAGCTAACAAAAGCTATCCGGGATGTTAGTCTTTCTTTTTGTGAAGTCTCCAGGAGATGAGGAAAACCACCCAGCAAAGGGTCAGCAGGGAGCGTCCTCTGCGTCACTGGATGCCAGTGCCCCAAACACCGCCTGCGAAAGGGGGTGGAGCCAAGGGCTGCCTCCGCAGGAGCTGGAACCACCCCGAGAACCACGCAGTCTAACCCTGACCTCTTTCAGGTGAGGAAACCGGGGCACACACCTCGTTTCAGGGATTCACCACCAATCACCAGCCACGGGCAGAGCCAGAGCCAAGTTCCACACTTGCCCTTGGGCCACGTGGTGACGTCTAAGTTCAAGTGTGCGCGTCATCTAAACGAGCACACTAAGGGCAGCACCCCCACCCCTCCTGATCCCAAAAAAAAACAAGAACCCGTGGACAGGCAGTTCGGACCCCAATGTTGCAGGGGAAGCGTGTGGCCTCAGAAAGCGAGGAGCTGCCCCACCGAAGGCGGGACAGGCAGGGACGGCAGCCGCTCTGCCACGTACCTTCTCCTCCTCGTGCGCGCTGCCCGACAGCTGCGCGGCGACAGAGTGCCCCACGTGCGCGGACAGCAGGGCAGCCCCGTTGCTCTCAGACTGGACGCAAGCCGTGCGCATCCGCTGCCACCAAGGGGACACCGACTGGGAGTCCCACGTGTCGTCGATGGCCACTGCAGCAAAGTCGAAAGGGGCTCTTGGTTTCTCAGTGCTGGGGTCCGGTCTCAGACTGAACAGTGTCGAAGCTGAATTCCCAGTGCGTGCCTGTCTACTTCTGAGTGAACTGGACAGCACATCTACAGTCTATTTCAGCCGGAACATATATCCCACTTACTTTTGTGTCAGTCATCTTGTTTCTGAACCAACTTTACATCCCTCTTTGCAATGTTTCATCATTGCTGAAAGCTACTAGTAAACATTTGATAGATTATTGTTCTCAGCAGAACAAAAATAAGAAAAGTAACGTCCACCAGAGACGACTTGGCTGACCTAAGAGTGCAGCAAACGCCCCGCTGGGATCCCCTGACCTGATGACGCAGGGCCCTGGTTCTCCACGAGATCCGGGCGGGGCGGCGGGAGCTCCCCTTGGACACACACCCGAGTCTAGGGTGAAACTCTGCGGACTGTCGTGGCCTCCTTAGGAGAAACCACCGGCCCTGCCGGGCTCTGTGAGAGCAGAAGCCGAGCAGCCCGTCCTGCCGGGTGCAAGTCCGGGTCCCGGCCCGGCACTTTACCTCTCGTCCTGCTCAGGAGAGACAGCACCGTGTGAAGACAGTGGACAGACTGCGGCTTCTCCAGAATGTCCTTTTCCTTAGAAAGCCAGACGCTCAGGAGCAGAGACTGAAATCAAATTTAAAGCCCTTTCAGTCTAAACAGTATTTCACTTCAACGAACTCTTGAGTGTGTACAAGTGAGTTGGTCTTTCTGGGAAATGAACACCTGGCGGGGACATCATGTGACGTGAGGGCAGAACGGTACCCTGTCTGCCTAAGAGCGTCCCTGCCACCTGCCAGAGACCCACATCCCACCTCCATCCCCCCCTGGTTTAAGCGCTGCTGGGGCCTCGGCTAAGGAGGCACTGGAGGAAGGCCTCATTCAACGTCATCGACGGTCTGTGCTCGCAGCGAACCAACTCATACACATGGGAGTTAAGTTCCTTCAGCACCTCCTCAGTGTTCTGACAACGTGACACTGAACAAGAGGGTGTATTTCGAGGACCTGCCGTATCAGAGAGTAGGCCCCTGGGCTGCAGTTTTACTGCAGGTTCAGTGCTGTGCTGGTCCCTGGGATGGTTCTTCTGTCTGCATGTCCTACAGCATGGAGACAGCTCACACATGTTCTCAGTTAGGGAAGGTCAGATGTTGTGTGTGCTGGGCCCTGGGACGGTTCTTCTGTCTGCATGTCCTACAGCATGGAGACAGCTCACACAAGTTCTCAATTAGGGAAGGTCAGATGTTCTGTGTGCTGGGAGCCAAGTTCCCTTGAGCTTTGTTCGTTCTAATGCAAACGTGTTTACTGGTGACTGCGGTCCCTGTGACGGCATGCATGCGTGTCTGGTTCTAATTTGTTCTAGGCCAACCATGGACTATGCTGTCACAATCTACAGGGAAGGAGAAGCAGAAAATACTATTAATTAACTAAATTATGGGGACTATAAATTTCTTTGACCACTTTTAGAAGGTTTTCACGTACGCTATGATATGCTTTAGACAATGGTAAAAAGAAGAAGAAAAAGATGGGTGGTCCCGATGACGTGAGCAAAGGGGCGCAGCTCCCAGCACCGAGACTCCTTACCAACAGCAGCTGAGGGCTGAGTCCTGCCGCCTCCAAAGTGTGACACACGTCCTCCGTGGGGCTTTCTCCACGCAAACACTTCCAAAAGAAGAAACTGCCTAGTGAACAGGAAAGACATGCATTGACCAGTGACTACTTGCCACCTGGACAGTCTTCCTAAACTGCAATCTAAACCCCCCGAAGAGCAACACAGCAGGAGCGGAGAGATGCTGGTTCGATTTGCTTGGCAGCACATCGTCCCGGCTAACAGCGCCCCCTGCGCATGCTCCCTGGCACACTGCCACCGTTTCCATGGCAGCGCCAAGCATCCGGAGCAGCTTCAGCTAGCCGACATATACATGTGGAGTTCTCTGGGTACTTTAAGCTCAGAATGAACCGGGTCTTTGAGATGCTGTAAGCTCGTCCCAGGCCTTCCTCCGCGGGGGCCGGGTTCCGACAGCCCGCTGTCCTACCTACCTAAGGCCACGCACTCCTCGTCGCCTAGCTGCTTCGTGCTGACCACACCCTTCTCGTGCTCCAAGCACTCCAGGAACGTGCTCACCGGCAGCACACCGTCCTGCTCGTCAGAGAACCGGACAGCGGTCCTGCTGTTCTCTTGTCTGTACTTCCCCAGCAGTGCCTGGAGCTTGACGAGCTCCTCTTCGTCAAGCCTTAGCAATGCAGCCAAGTCCTTAAAAACAGGAGAAGAGTTCGGACTAGACCACGTCTCTGTATGCGCCTGCCCTGTGTGTCAGCCCCACCAGCTGGAATGACAGGCTAGACCATGAGCCCCAGACGGATTCGGAAGCAGTGACCGCTGCAGTGCGCTCAGCTGAAAACCTGGCTCGCACATTCGTGAGGAGGCCATTTAAACACAGTCAACGGAGAGTACCATCCTAAAAAAGTTTCCTGAGATTATATTTTCTAAAAGGTTCACATTTTAATAAACATGTTACTGTGTGATCAGAAAAAAAATTAACAAGGTTATCAACTGCCACTCTTGTGATTCTGAGGAGATAAACTCAGTATGAAATTGAATGCTCATTTATTAAGCAGCATAAGCACTGTAAAATAAGGACATTGGCAACAAGTCTCACGGTTTCTACACATAAATTCTCCCTGCGGCTCTCGGGGACACAGAGGCTGACAGTCCTGGATGCAGCCCGCCGGCCTTTCCAGCTACTTTTACATGTCCTACGTGCAGAAACAGCTCCCGATACCATTACTTTCCTAAATGATGGAGAAGCGCACACACACACTCACTCTCTCTCTCTCTCTCGAGAGAGAGAGAGAGAGAGAGATTATGGCTAATTTGCCATAGCCAGCAATCTTTCTTCCCCCATGCCGCATGACTAAAGCTGCATCCCTGCACAAGAGCAGTTTCATTTTTTTCTTTATTTACTTACTAAGGCTGTTGTTTTTACAAACCAGCCAAATGCGGACCAGCAGTTCAATGCTATGCTGAGTTTATCTACCAGCTTACGTGAATTCTGTCCCAGAGAAAAATTAGCCACTCAGCCTAGAAGCTCACTGCATGCTTTGTAAAGGAGCTAAACAAGTCTACGGCAAATATGGTTTTAATTCTTTAAAAGTGCTTTAAACATAGAAAAAGAATCTGAAAACTGATTTTTAAATTCTGTAGTTCTTTTATCTTTGCACGTTATGTTGGGCTATCAAGTAGAAATAAATTCTGCAGGGGATTACTGAAGCCATCTATTTAACTTTCTCTGGCAGGGGGTGAGACAGATAGTTGAGATCTTATGAAAAAATTAGGCACCAAAGAATCTATATAATGCTTACGCAATCCTGTAGACATAACTTAATCAACCTGAGCCTTCCTACTGCTTGAAATAATTCTACATTATTGGTGAAGTGGCCAGCAAAAGAAAAGATCCTGAAAAATGGCTGTCATGTACAATGGCGATCACAGAATATTATAAATAGATTACTGTTCAAATGCTTTGTAAAATCCGTCTCTAATCCCAAAGATGAAAAAGATGTCAGAATGAGGAGGTTGATTCCATCACGGTCAGAAAATCTCCTCTAAATTTCATGTTTAAGAAATTGTTATTCATGCATGCATATTTAAAATGAGCCGCTTCCACTCACTCTCAGAAGCAGCAGATAATTTTCTTTATAGCACTACTGGTGGCTGATGTCACTAACCCACTTTAATAACCACTTTGCTTTAGGACAACCGGCCATGGTCACTCAGTAAGCTGAGGGGAAGAGAGGGTACGCTTTCTGTAGTCCCCATCAAAGAAACTTTCTCTCTCTGTGTGAAAAGTAAGAATTGTGGACACACTCCTCAGAAATGAACAACACTGCGCTGTAGTAAAGACTGACAGGCGCTGTCACTTTTATATGTCTTACAGAATAAAAGCACAGAACATTTACCATAATCATTTTCAATACTTGGATGTGAGATATAGGACCTTTGGAAAGTGCATTCCATTACGTGTACAGAACAGATGAGCTGTGTGAGCTTGTAACAACAACACAGAAAACGTGGTCCCACCTGCCTGGCAGAATCATTTGTTTATTCTTTAAAGGAAATTCGAGTTTTGCTACTGCAGTAAACTGACTGTATGCTAACTGGCGAACGTCCAGAAGTTGTATTACAAGAAGTAACCTTAAAAGATGAGTTGAGAAAAACTAGATGCTTCTAGTGTTGTGTAAATGGATTAACTATAACATTTCATTTTCTAGCATAAATAGTATAAAGTTAGCAGCAAGGCACAGAGAGCCAGCAGGACGCCTTGTAAAGAAAATGCACTTTTATGCTTTATAAAAATGCTCACTTTTCTACTTCTTTGCTATCAATTTTAAAAACTGACAGTTATCAGCAAGGTCATTCTGGATGATGGGTCAGGGGATTACGCACGTGGTCCGAGAATGGTGTGTCTGGGTGGAAATCAAGGGAGTTCAACCGACTGACAGACTCATAGAGATGGAGCAATTTCAGTTTACTGGTGCAGAACTGCAGCAACCCTTCGTCAACAGACTCAATCTCTAACAGGCAGGAGGAGAAAACACATTAAAGAGATGTATTTAACAGATTCATAAAAGGCTTTTCTTCATTAACTCTCTTACTATTACATAATTCCCTGTTGTCCTATTTTATTCAATACCGTGGTGCTTAACTATAGCAGATTAATAAGACAAAGAATTTTTCAATCACAGCAAAATATCTAAATTTTTTAATGAAATAAGGTGCTCTAAGAGTAGAAGTAGAAAAAGAAAAAAGAAAAATCTTGGTCTAATACTCAAATTTAAGTAAATGATCTGGAAACAGCTTTGAAAATGTCCTCTCGGCCCATAACTCACAGGCTGCCTGTCAGGCTCACACATGCAGACAGACAGAGTCAAAGCTGCCTGGCTCGTCTTGCTGCCGTGGTCAAAGGTAAAACACAACCAGAAACTGGATGGTGCCAGATGTCTCCTCAAGAAAGGTTGGCAAAGAGACCAAAAGTGGAATTCCACGTAATACTCTCTATCAATCAGGTTTTCTTTCACCATGAATACTGGGAAAATACTATATGCTGCATCCATGTATGATGAATTAAATATATATATGTAAAACAAGTATTTATTCTTTAAAAAGGCAGACACTGAAAACCCCCAAGAACTCTTCCTTAGGATGCACTAACCTGGCACATTCTCCAAGTTGTTACAGCCTGATAAAACTTAGAACTCTAAATACTTGACATTTTTTAAGACTTTCGTTTATGGACAGAACTTGAAAGACAGTGATGATTTTATAAAACTCCAATAACAGTGTTTACTCTTGGTCTGGTGCAAGGTAACTGTTGATTTAATAAATGTTGATATTTCGTTAAAGTTCTGTGGGATGGGGGTTTTATAAGTGTACAGTGCTTTTAAAAAGAGAGAGTTCTAACAAGTTCTATGCATCAAAGAAGTCTACTGTTTACCAAAAGTCAGCTTTATATGTGTGTTAAAAAAAGACTCTTGCCCTGGCTGGTTTGGCTCAGCGGTTAGAGCGTCGGCCTGCGGTCCAGAGAGACCCGGGTTCAGTTCCCGCTAAGGGCACCTCGGTTGCAGTTTGTCCCCGGCCCTGGTCGGTCGTGCGGGTGGCAGCCACTCGATGTGTCCCTTTCACGTCGATGTTTCTCTCTCTCTCTCTGTTCCTCTCTCTCCCTCCCACTCTACCTGAACAAAAAATGGAAAAATGTCCTCGGGTGAGGATAAAAAAAAAAAAAGACCCTTAAAATTAGGATGCCTCAAGTCCTTAGAGGGTATATTATAATTTGTTTCTTAAGTCGCTTTAAGTTGGCTTAAATATAATTAACATGAAGCTGGCTTTATATCATAAACGTCAAAAGCAAAAAGTCACTAGATGAAGTCAGTACCCTCTACACTACAATTTAATTGAGTTAGGAAATCAGAATAAATTGAATTTTATAGCCCAGCTGGACAGAGTATGGGGTTACAACCCCATAGTTAGAGATGTAATTCTTTTTCAGACAGTAAATTCTGAACAGTAAAACAACTGGAAAACTCAGAACTAATTACTGAATCTGAGTCTGTGACTGGAAGTCTAACTGTTTACGAGGGAAGGGATGAGAAAACACGGACTCCATACATGAGCAGAACATTCATCAAATCAGAAATCAGAAGTACTTTTTATCATTATCTTGGTCAAAATGACATTAAAGAATGTCCCATCTCAAAAATCTCCCTCCTCCCATAAAGTTAAATAAAAAATAACACGGCCAACTTCCTCCTCATGCCCAAGGCTTTCAAATATGCTACAACTATATCAGAATAATCACTTCATCATCCTATACCGATATCTTCCCTCACAGTGGACGGATTAAAAACAAATATTTACAGTAAGAAACAGAGTCAATGTATCCAGAGAGCTCAGATGAACAGCAACTCATACAATGAACAAGGAATAAAGAAGCGCCCAAGTCCTAACGTTCCCTTTCATCTTACATTATTTCCACATTAAAGTAACAGGGCAGTCTCATAAAAGAGCTTTCCACAATCAGTAATAAAATGAAGTGAGACCATAACCACCATCAGTATAATCATTACCTTGGTTTCTCAGAGTGTCCGTGAGAGTCTGAGTGATGTTTCTGAGGCAGGAGAAAGGTAGCCGTCCACTTGCCAGAAGGCTTTCCAGAGCCTAGAAGACAGACATGGAGCAGCTCCAGCAATCAGAAGGCAACGACTCTGTTTACATGTGACATTTACGCCTCCACTTTCACTACACCAAGTTTCGATGGGAAGCTCCATTTATAAGATAGTATACATACCTGTGAACTAAAGCTGCATCATAAGTAACATGTAATCAATTTCATGTCATGCCAAATATGGTATAATGGCAAAAAGTCCAGACTGAGTGAAACAACCAAAAGTGACTGATGTTTAACAGAACAGCCAGAACAAAACAAAGACAGACATAAAGCTATTCACTAACAAGATGAGTTTGAATAAGTCTATACTATGTATGAATGAAAAGTAGAGGCTGTTATTGTTATGTAAATAACAAAAGCAGACAAGTGAATTACTGCACATGGCACGGCTGGTTGAATCTTCAGCCAGTCTACCTATATGTGCTCCCCACCTCACCCCACCTGCCCCTTCCTTCCCCCTGGGAGAAACTGAGGAGCCTCCATCACCAGCTCCAAAATATCTCTTCGTGCCTCGAGAAGCAACCATCAGAATCACCCGTGGACGAGACACGGCAGTTCAAGTCCACACCTATCATTTCACATTAGCACATTAAGTTTGATTTTTATTGATGAGGCTATTTTTTTAATCAACTCCATTCTCCGTATCTTTTATTTTTATTATTTTCTTTATTGACTTTTAGAGAAAGAGGAAGGGAGAGGGAGAGAGAGATAGAAACATCGATGAGAGAGAACATCGATTGGCCGCCTCCTGCACGCCCCCCACTGGGGATCAGGCCCACACCCTGGGCATGTGCCCTGACCAGAAATCGAACAAGCGACCTCTTGGTGCAGGGTGGACACTCAACCACTGAGCCACACCGACAGGGCAATGAAGCTAGTTTAAAAGGTTGGGCTGAGAATGCGCATGAGACAAATGTCAGCTGTGTTTGTGGCGGAGAAATGGGCTTAGCGGGTGGCTCGAGGCCTACAATGACGCAACTACCTGGAGGATACAAAGAAAGTGACCAAAAGGGGCAAATACCCTAGGAAATGTCCTCTGGATCTTCTGTCTACTATGACACAAGCCAGCGGATGACTTACTTCCCAAGCCAGATCTGGTTTTTCTCCCTTGAGTGTCACATACAATACACAAATTTCACTATTAGGTTTTCTAGCAGTTTTAATAAAATTCATAGCTTCATACACAATTCAGTTGAAAAGACAGAAAATGCATCCATTATGTTTGAAAGGAGCCATATAATAGTGCTATGAGTAAAGCCCTGGCCGGTCTGGCTCAGCAGTTAGAGCATCAGCCCGTGGAGCAGAGAGTCCCGGGTTCAGTTCCCGCTAAGGGCACGTACCCCGGCTGCAGTTTGTCCCCGGCCCCGGTTGCAGTCGTGTGGGTGGCAAACCTCTCTCACATCGATGTTTCTCTCTCTCTCTTCCTCCCTCTTTCCCTCCTGCTCTATCTGAAGATAAATGCAAAAATGTCCTTGGGTGAGGATTAAAAAAAAAAAATGCTATAACTAAAGAAAAGCAACAGAAAAACCCAATTCCGAACACTGGAACCTTAGGGACGGGAGGGGATGCAGTTGTGGAGAGACACGCAGGGCTCCCCGGAGCTGCTGGTGGTCATCGCCTGGGTTTACTTTATTATTCCTTAATCTGAACAGGTGTTATGCATGGATGTGTGTGTGTGTGTAGAACACATATACTTGCTTGTGTGGTAGTATTACTAGCTTATTCAAAAAAGAAAGGAGAAAAGGGACGCAGGAATTCCCGCGTGGGAATATCAAAAAGGAAGAAAGAACATGAATAAAAACATAAAAGGCCAGCCTGTCCTGTTTGGAGGAGAAAGAAGAAAAGAAAGATTTTCTTCGCAGGAAACCGTTAATAGCTACTCAGCAGGCAAGTCCACATATACGCTCACCTGCTTTTTGGTTGCAGGGTACTTAATATCGAGAATTAATTCCTTTATTTCTGTTTCAACCAAATCTAGAAAGAGAAAATGAACCAAAGTAAAATTTCCACTTTTATGGCAGGTCAACTTTACTCTGAAAGAAAAGTGCCTACATTTGACCCCCCGTCAGTTTCAAGGATGCTGGTTCTCTCGCGATACTGTTACAGATGCTAACATCCCGACAGCCTCCTGGGAACGAGCTGCCGTGGCTCAGCCACGCAATGGCGCTGCACTCAGTCACACCAGTGACTTCAGGAATGACAGAGCGTGCTCCTTGTGTGTAGTACAGGACACCCACCGAGATCGGGAGACTTTGCTTTCAGCAAGGCTGCTAATTTCTTCACTAAGTGCATGTCCTTGGCCCGTTCACTCTTCTTGTCACTACAACAATAAGCACAACACGTTCTTACAGAATGTGTCACTGTTTCCTTCTAATTCAGACACCCCAACTGGGTCCTGTCCTTTATATTCTTCCTACTTAACTTTAAAGGTATCAGTCTAATCAAAAAACCACCACCACAAAACAAAGCAAAACCCACAGGTGCAGGACTGGGCCGAGCTGGCAGAGGGCGTCAGGGAGCGGACACAGAATCTCACCTCAGCGCCAAATGGAAAGGAACAGTCACGGTTTTCACACTTGCAGACACGGGATCGACGAGGCAGATCTGGTACGTCTGTGGCTGCCAGCTCTGACTGGTGACGTTATTTAAGCCCATTATCTTATAGCCAGGATACAGAAGCCTGTGAATACACAGAAATCACACACCAGTATGGTAAAAACATGAGTGAGAGGAGAATGCCACAAGGTGCCGCCACTATGGCCTGGGACCACAACCTCACCGGTCATTCAGAAGCATCAAAGGCAAATGAATACAGACTGATACGGAAGTGAAGCAGGACCCGGCCGGCATGGCCCTGCCTGTCACACTGTGCCAGAACATTCAGTGAGCACAGGCCCGTGTTGCAATGGCAAACAAAGCATTCACCGCAGCTAACATCTGAAGGGGTCTTCCCTCTGGAGCCCCACAGCGTAATGGACGAGACAAATGGCAGCACCAAAGCTAACTCATTTAGTAGTACATCGTGGCCTTTTCAAGATTTCTTTGTTATTAGATGTTTGCAGGAAAAACCGTAAGAAAGAACATTTCACGTCTCAAATAAGTTGCAATTGAAGAAGCGCATTTAATAGAAGCTTTATTTGAATGCGGCTCCTCTGTCATCAGACGATGCAGGTTTGCAGCTCACCTACAGTGCTTCCCCACGTTGAAAGCTCCCACTCTGGGTCCCTGCTGCGTGCTCCACACCTCCAAAATCCCCCTCCTTGGTGCGTAGATCACCAGGAACTGAGCCACTCGACTGGGACCCTGAGTATTTCCAAAGGGGGAGGAGTCCACCTTTTCCGGGGCTCTTTCGTGGAGGTCTTCTACAACTTGGATCCAACCAACCTGGGCATCCCGATACCCTGGGAGGAGAAAAGGGGTGCTATTGGTTAATAATCTAAGTTTAATAGACTTCTGAAGCACTATGGGATTTGGGGGCAGGGGGAGACTTGAGAAAAGCTATTGTTATTTCCAAACTATGAAATAAACAGAAAATAGTAATTATAATAAATATGGAATCAATATTTTGCTCTATTTGCTTCAGATCACTTTTTTCTTTAAAAAGAAAACAGTTATCACTGAAGTGTCATGAGTTCCCTTCTCTCCCTTTAGAAACTCCCTCCCGTTAAAACATTCTGAGGAGGTAATCAAGTAGAGACTTAAAATAAAAGTCCAATTAAAATTTAAGAAAGAGATCGAACTGATTTCCTGCTCCTCAAGTCCCTTGGTGGTGGTCAGAGGGAGGGAGAGCACGGGCCACAGAGTGATGGGAGGCGCCTGCGTGAGATGCCGCAGGCAGGTCGTCCTCCCGCGGGTGGCCCTCCCACCGGCAATCGGTGCCTCTCCTCCCGCACAGGGAGGGACCGACTGCACCAGCAGCCAAAAGGTAAGTGACAAGGCCAGCGACGAGACCGCCACAGTGGATCTGGACGGGCTGGGACACCCACGTCTTCTACGTTCTGGGACAGCCTTGCTGAGAACACACCCTTGGTGTTACTCCAGAAGATGACCACCAAGAAGAAACCTACTTCAAGACACTCGGCCATGTGGCAGGCGAACGCTGCAGGAATTCTCTGGCAAGAAGGTGAGAGTGGACTCAGCCTGGTCCAAAGTAGCTTAATGTCCTCGAATCCATTATTCCTCACTTTGTCAGGGGCAGACCAGACTGCACCATGATTGTGGTTTCCCACCTGTGCTCACATTACTATTCCAGATGATTCCCAACGATGCCTTCTCCACTTTTTCCTTAGTCAAAGACAATTCATTTTGTTCAGGATGACAATGTGCCTTCATATTTTCAAGTCTCCCTTACAGTTAGGTAAGACTATGGGACTAACTCCTGGCTAATGTTCTATAGAAAAAGGTTGGAGGGACTTCAAGAAATATCTTCAAAGCAGACTGACTCAGTTGGCAGTTCTTCCTTGCTTCTTCTTCCTTCGTGGGATACAGATAAGAAGGCTGAGCTCCAGCAGCCATCTGCACCATGAGATCACCTTGAGTGGGGAAGCTAATGGAAGGAGACTGGGTTCCTGAGGATATCTCAGTGATTTCATATCAATCCAGTACTTGGGTCTGTTATTAGCAGCTAAATACAATTCCTAACTGACATAATTACCAAGAAACAAAGTGAGCAGACCCAAGCATATGGATATAGAAATCAAGTCAGCAAAGACGTATTTTGCTGCCTTCAGTCTGAAAGATCTGGCTTTCTAGGTCTGAGAAGAACCGCTGACTCAAGCATGGCCTTGTGAAGTGGAATGAATGTAGCAGGGGCAAAAAACTGAGTTCAGAAACTGTGACAGCCAGAACTGAAAAGTACATAAAGAAGTTAGCTCATCAAACTTAAAGGGATATCAACTGGATAATTGGGTCAAGTGTTGCTGATCCAAGTTCATATTACAAAGAACAAAGCATAAAGGATTAAATTGTGTTATTAACCAAAAGCTAAAGGATGTTGCTCAATTATTGGGGTAAAGAGCAAATTAAGCTTCTTTTGTCAGGAGTTTTGTAAGGAAGTACCTTTCCACATGCGTATTGCAATTCCTCTGGCTACATCCAATAAAATAACTCTGCCAAAATCATCTGTTACTGCTGCTAGCGTGTTACATGGAGACAGACATATGCTCTCACCATGGCGTCTAGAATCTGGAAGCCCAAATCTGATATTTAAAAGAAAAGAAAAAGCTCAAATCACATTCCATTCTAGAAATATGTACCACAATAATGAAATGCATAAATAAAATAGGCTGAATCTGTTTTTATATAAAGAAATATGACCCTTGCATGGACTAATAATGGACTATTCAACACCTGACATTTTTTACTGTAAAGTTTCTTCCATTATAAAATAAAAATATCTACTTTTTACTTTATAGGTTTTCTATATACATACTCACAACCTTATATTTTTAGAGACCATCAAGTACATTATAACCGTTTTCCCTTGGTTAAGCAGTATGTCACGGAAAACATTACTCTCACAACCAACTAAATCTTAGAAAACTTTGCTCCTCTACAGGCTTCTTTGTCTATTCTAAGTTCTCATTCCTAATCTGTTCTCTTTTTGTTAGATATCATATCTTGCTGATACCAATCTTATCAGCCTGAAGGGAGAACTTTCCTTCTAAATAGTTATCTCTAAACTGCTCTTGGTCTATAATCAGTCTTATTAGAACTGCAAGTAAAATAAAGAGGTGCCGAGAAAGGACCAGGAGAGCTCACTTTAACAATAGTCCCCGAGACAAAAAGCTCAAATTGCTACAACTATTTGGGATGCATAGGGCCATCTGGCTTATTTCCAGATTCTTGGGTGCATTTAAATACGTGACGTTTTAAAACAAGATGGAAAAACCTTAGAAGATAAACTTCAATAAATTTCGGTAACAGTTCTATCTCCTTAGGTGAAGAACATCTAAAGGGGTTGAGGGTTCCATCTCCCTTCATGGTGGTACTTTATATCAGGTAATGAAAGAATCACACCCCCTCCTCCCCCAACCTGACAAATACACCCCACGTCCCGTGCACCACTGAAGCACGCAAGGAGGCCAAGCCAGCATTCTGAAGAGTTCCTGAAAGCACGGGACTCCGTTTTTACTTTTCAAAAGAAATCACTAAATGCTTTTTACATTTTTACAGCTTACTGACAAACTAAAGTATTCGAAAAAGTCATCAGCTATCACAAAATTAATATTCCTGCAACTTGAGCTAAGTTTACAGGTGTTTGTAAAAACCACACAGGCGCTCACAGACACCCCAGCACCTGCGATGTGACGGGGACAACAGTGAATGAGACAGGCAAGGACCACTGTCCTCATGGAATTTATACTCTACTGGAAAAATCACCCCATGCTGACTCTTAGAGGCTCCAAAGACTCACGAGATGAACAACTCAGCTAAGCTCACTGAAAGACCATAAACTCACAGTACGTTTCCAAAACTACTCCAACTTGACAAGAGCTCGGCGGACTTGCCTTACAGCTAATGGGGTGGCTGGTTCGACCTTTGGCTTTTGTTTTGGGACAGCTTCTTCCTCGTGCTTACTTTTCCAATTGAGCCAACCACTGAAAGGAGAGAACAGGAGAATAAAACCAGGGCTTCCAGAGTTTCCAAGTGCACACTATCAAATTAGAAGCCCAAACCAAGCTAGACACCAATGAAATACATTTTAATTGAATTGTTATGCAATTACCTGGCAGCATTTAACAAAGCAGAAGTGAGTTTACTGGCAACTGCTAGGGCAACATGAGATAATAATGGCTGTGTGCTTCCCTGGAAAACAGAACATGTGAGGAGAAAACTCAAGAGCTGACAAAGGAGCACGACACTTTCTGCACGAGGCCTACTTTACGAAGTTTGAAAAAGCTGTCAAGCCCGGACTAGCAAGAACATGCAGCTTCTTTCGGAGGGTACAGTAAAAACTTTTATTTCAGGCAGTAGCATTATCATCAAAAGTTTTCACTGTATAGTGTCAACGTGAAAACCACTGGCAGTCTGTTTTATCTGTAGGATTCCCTCTTTCAGCTGCAATTTAGTTGAACATTTTAAATAAGGACAGGAAGATGGCATTATTGTGGCAGGCCCGTGGACTTCCCATCTATACACAACTGGCTCTTTTCCCTCTTTTTAGAAAGTATATATTTTTATTAAAGGAAAAAGATAGGATGGGCAATTCTGAGAAGACTGCTTTTCAAGAGACAAGCAAGAGCTGCCAAATCTAACTTTCCCCTATTTTAAGATGCAATTTCCACCACTTAGATAGCGCCAGCTGGCAGGCTGTTCTGACTTGGTCATTCCTCACGGTCGCAAACCACTGGGGGCTGACATCCACAACCCTGAGCTTCGACCAAGTGTCCATGACCTGGGGCCACCAGAAACAAAGAAGTTGGTTTATTTTACGTTGACTCAAGCACCTTTCAGTTAATTTAAAGAATTTAGAACAAAGTGAGCTGACATTCGTTTGGGCTTAAAATAAAACTTAGAAACGTAATTGCTTAACCTTTCTAAGGCTAAGGGAACATACCGGTTCTGTAGACAAGTGGGAAAATCGATCTGTGGCCTTACTCGTGATGAGGGAGGAAACGCTTACCTCTAAAGCATAGAAGAAGCCAGTAAACGGATTGGACCCCACAGTGATATACTGAGACATGGCAGGTGGGCTGTTCTTAATGGCTGCGTTAAATCCACCTATATTGGAGGCAGTCTTCATCTGATCGAAAGGGGACAGTGTCATAATACCTAAAGAGAAAGCGACAACGCATGATCGAATGCACAGAAATGACACTGTCATTGTAGGTCACTGAATGTTTTCTTCAGTTCCATTCTAAGATAGTAACTGCTCAATTTTATTCAACAGATAAAAGTCATTTTTAAAAGCTACAAAATTAATATAACATATTTGTAAAATTAAAACTGGCATCTAAAATGCCTCTAAGCCAGCGGTTCTCAACCTGTGGGTCACGACCCCTTTGGGGGTCGAATGACCCTTTCTCAGGGGTCACCTAAGACCATCGGAAAGCACATATTTCCGGTGGTCTTAAGAACCGAGACCCCGCTCCTCTGTCCGTCTCCAGGCGGGTCCACCCACATGCAGGTGCGCCCACAGACAGCATGAGGAGCTGCATTAAAGGGTCGCGGCCTTAGGAAGGTTGAGAACCACTGCTCTAAGCTATAAAATATTACATCTTATCTTTGCTGCTTCCTCTGCCAAGAATGTTCTTCCCACACCTGTTTGTTTGTTTTTATTGTATTTTTAGAGAGGGAGGAAGGGACTGAGAGAGAAACATCGATGTGAGAGAAACATTGATCAGCCGCCGCCTGCACACCCCACACTGGGGATCGAGCCTGCAACCTGGGCATGTGCCCTGACCCGGAATCAAACCAGGACCTCAGTCCACAGGATGAAGCTCAATCCACTGAGCCACACCGGCCGAGCATTCCCACGACTCTTCACATAGCTGGCTCCTTCTCAGCCTCCAGGGGGCAGTCTGGATGCCACTTCCCTGGAGAGGCCCCTCCCCAGTCTGCCTGAAGTCCCTCTTCCTTTATCGTAGCTCCACTGCTTGATTCACGTGCGTACAGGTGGTTTACCTGCTTACTGTCTGTCTCCTCACCAGAATGTAAACTTCATCAGGGCAGGGGGTCTGTCTGCCTTTATTTTTATAGTGCCAGTATTAGCTCTTGGGACATAATACATACTTGTTCATTTATTTGTTGAATGAACTAATTAGACCTTTACACAAAGTTCATTGCACTTTTTGTTCATTTTGTAGGCCGGGAGATGAATGAATAGAGTCAGATTTTCTATCCAACCATTTTTCCTAGCCTGTTTCAATGTTCCAAAGTTTAATTAACAGAACAGGGACATTACCCTGAACTGAACTCAACACTTTGGAATTATGCAGCAATTTGATGTTAGCAAAAAAAGTAAAGACAAACCGAATGTCTGCCAATAAGGTGTTCCATACAGAGTATTCCATATAGTCCTGTGCAACAAGAAGCAGATATCTGTCCAATATCTGCCGTCTGGCCTCAGATTCACACTCCAGGGCCAGTGTGTAGACCATGAGGACTTCCAGTTGGGGTAAGACCACTGGGAAGCCCATCAGCAGATCCAAGAGAGTAGGGAGAATAAAGTCAGGATATGTACTTCCCGTGACCACTGAACAAAAGTCCATCCCTTAGCAAGGGCGAAATCTGTCCACCTCTCTCCAACTCCACTGCCTGCACCTGAGACACGATCTGCTGTTAGGGGCTGATTCTGCTCATCATCTCCAAGTTCTGGAACTGCTCTGGGCCCTCACCTCCTTAGACCTGGGAGTGGGTCACAGCTGCACTGTTAACCAGCTCCGAGACACCATCCCAGAGAGGTCTCTCATTCCACACTTTGTAAATAGTTTCTCTGCAAATAAACCCCTTTCAATCGTTTCAAGACGTCATCTGTCTTCTATTAGGACTCTGATAAAATGTACATTTGGTAAAATTGATGTGAAAGTCTCTTTATAATATGTTGATAAGAAAAGGGCTATAATAGTTGGTATGAAATAACCCTATTTTTGAAAACCTGCCTACATAACCAGACACACATTACATACACAACTCTGTACAGATGTTTTCCAAAATGCCAATGGCAAGTGTCTCTAGATGGTAGAATTTAAGGGGATTTTTTCCCCTTTTCTCTCCATATATTTATGTACCATTTAAATTTTTGGACACGCAAATATTACACTGATAAACAGAAAAAAATATTTTTTTAAATAGCATTTCCTTCTTCTCCTCCCCACTTGCAACTACCTTAATTCAAGAGGCCACTACTTCTCACCAAGACTCTTACAGCTTCCTCACTGTGCTGATTCTGGTCTTGACCCTACATTGCACCAGTGACTTGTTCAGTTCTTGGCCAGCCCAGAGGCTCGCCGTGGCTCTGCGAAAGCTCTAAAGGCCCCTGCAGAGCAGACGGGGCCCTTCCCAGCCCGTTTCCACACCTGGCCTCGCTCTCGCCCCTGCTCCTTGGCATCACTGCTTTTCCAGGAGACGATGCACTTCTACCCTCCTGCCTCCTCTGGGCCTGTCCTCGGGGTCAAGTCCTTCTCCTCCTTCCATTCTCGGATCCAAGTCAGCCTCCTCTTCCCCGCTCCCACAGTGCTGGGGTTCTGTCCCCACTCTGGCCGGTGCACTGTCTACCACACAGCCGTGAGGCTGAGTCCTGTGACTGTTCCACAGGTTTCTTCCAACTACACTCCTGCGTCCTGACAGCAGGGACCACGTGTTCTCGCCTCTGCATTCCCGATGCCTGGCACGGTAAGCCTTCAAACACTGGTTGCGAGGAAAAAATCTGCTTTTATCGATATTCTGCTAGTTTAAAGGTTACATTTTTAAAGGACTAGCCCCTAGGATCAGTATATGGATTAAATTTGTTTGCAGAAAAATTAAGTCAAATAGTGAATGGCAACAGCGTACAGTACCGCTGCTGAGGGCATAATTATTGAAACTGCTAAAGACATAAACCTTTGATAATCCATAAGTCTGAACAAACTTCCAAATGTCACTAAAAACAATGCATGTTCTTTTCATGTAAGACTAAATCTACATTTGCAATCAATGAGATACTTCAATCAAAATAGTATAAAACAGAATTGAACTAGTAATGCTTACCAATACTAGCATGATCAATAATAGTGTCAATATCTTGTAGACCCCATTTCTTGTAAGCTAACGGCGGCGGCTGTATGTTCTCATTGCCTGATGCTGCAGCTGCCAAAGAGAAAATCAGACAAACCAAACCTCACTGTAACAGACAGAATTAAGTTATATTTTAAAAAATCAAAAAAGGGTATTAACTTATCCTAAAATTCAAGCTTACAGTAATGAGGCAAAGTAATGTAAATGAGGCATAAAGGGGTATCTTTACCCTGGGTGAGGATGGAAGCCACAGAATCCCGGACTTGAGCAGACTGGCCCAGGAGCTGCTGATCTCGCGGGACCTTTGGCTGCTAAGCTAGATGCAACCACGTTCCTCACCCCTAAGCCGATTCTCATCACGGCTGCAAATCTCTGCCTTACTTGGCCAAGACATGCTGCTGACCGGGGAATGAAGCCTGTAGTCCCTGTGCTGGGACACACTCCACTGGCGACACGCGGACAGTGTTCTGAGCAATCCACCCAGCAGTGTGCTCCCATTTCTGCAGAAGCGGGTTTCTTCCCCTGCATCTAGCTTGGAAGGTCTTTCTAGTTTAGAAGACGCATGCAATTCTCTAAGTAGGCTAAATGAAATTATATAAACATCATCACAAGTTGGCTATTTCTTTCCCAAAAAATTACCTTTTGCTACCTGATTTCGACAAGCACGAAGAGATTGAAAAAGGCTAAATCCATCAATAGTCACAATGGCAGCTGGATATAAGATACTCAACTCTTCATTCTACCAAAGAAGAAAGAAAAAAAATAATAAAGCATCATTGCCAAATAAGCATATCCATTTTCCTATTGGAGGTGAATGTCATGATTAACATAAAATAAAAGCACTATGACTAAAAAAACTGTCAACCACCAACACAAAAAACAATATCAGGAACAGGAAAAGTAAAATAAATGGAAAGTTAATTCCAGAATACCTCTGGCGATGGACTTAAGATTCTTCTTAAATACGAACTATCGTACATAGTGAATAATGCTTCCAGGATAGATAGCAAAGTTTAAAAAGATAGAAGTTTCATAAAAATAAAGTAATCATTGTGCAGATACAAAAAATGTATTCAAGTCGAAAGAAGAAAAAAGGAAACTCACCTGAAATCCCCGACAGGTCTCAATACATATCCTCACATATAATCGGACTTTTTTGTGAGCATTTACCCTATGTGCTATTCCATAACATGTTTTAATCACTTAATAATGTCAATTATTTTCCATTTTGCTAAGTGAACAAATAACTTTTCATCCTGACAATACAGTGCTACATTAAGCGCACTAACATTTAGCTGGGCAGCTCTTGTTGATGGACAGTCTGGCTGCCTGCGTCCCTCACGCTCTCCTCAACCCACGCTCCACAGCGTGGGAACCACTCTGCTGCTTCAACTCTCCAGTGGCTCCTCTGCATTTGGAATTCAACCTGAACCCTGAACCACGCCTGCAAGATCCGGCACAGGTCTCTGCAGTCACCTCCACTCTCTCCCCTTGCTCCCTCCACCGGCAGGGCACCATCGCCTGCGGCTTCGCTACCAGCCTGACTCCTGATCACCCCGGTCTCAGCTCAGTGCAGTCATTCAGAGGCTGCTTTGGTAATACATAGCAAGAGAAGTCCCCACAAGCACACAACACATACACCTGTGAACTTGAAATCTTTGGGAAGCAGAGCAGTACAAAGGAAGATGTGTGTGTGTGTATCTCCAAATAAAGTTAAAGTTATATAACATTACATTTTTGTCTTAAGTCACTATTAAACTCTAAAAATGAGAGGCTTCTGACTACAGTGTTTTACTTTCTTGTAGAACAACACATGCAGTATTTCACAAACAAGTAAAAGCACGACTGCTGTTCTCTTTACTCAGCTGTAAACTGGTGGTATCTCTAGACTATGACAGGACAGCTAACTGTGCCGCCAGACAAAGGTATCCTGATGTCTCCACCCAATAAAGAGGGAAGAAACCCCCCAAAGTAAAGCCGCTGGTACTCGGAACACAAACTCGCACGCTACCTGCTCGGTCACGCAGGGATGTCGCGGGATCTCATAGGTCCTGCACTTAAGCTGGAGCACCGAGTCCTCATTCAGAAGCTGAGCGAGCAGGAGCACGCCGTTCTAGGAGGGAGCACAGAGAAGGGCCGGCCTGACTTCCCACCAGTACACCTGCGCAGGTACGGCCAGGCAGGGAGGACGTTTCCCCAACACGTTTTCCACGGACACAGGTCCCCTGTTTCCAGCATACAGCTTCTCTTCTGCATCGCTTGTACCAGAACTTCCTGCCACCGCCCCCCGGTCCGCCTGCCCCTATAAAGCACCAGCTGCACACGCCAGCAGGCAGGGGAGGGGTGGCACCCTGTGGGGCCGCACTAGGCGCCCCGCCCGCCGGGGTTCTAACCACTGGCCACAAAGCTCACCTCCGTGTAGAAGCGCACGGAGCCAGAAGTGAAGCCCAGCACGATGCAGGTCCAGTCGGGGCGCCCGGTGGAACTCCTGCCACAAACAAAATCCATGACCGTCACGGCTCATACACCAGCGCACAGCGACCAAACCACTCTTGCTTGTCCTTACCTCTTCTGGCTTGCTAGTGGGATACACAGAGCACTGGTGACACGTTCCCTAAAAACAAAAACAAGACCATGTGCTTAGCTAAGACGAGATCGACTGCTTTCCTTCTCTCCAATGGAACGTATGGGCAGTAAGGGCAAGATGAGCTCTGGGGACCAGTCTGATTCAGCGCCGAAGTAAAATCACAGTAAGACTCCACCGGAAGTAGGATCATAAAATCCATTCCTGGGATTGGATCCCCTTGAGGTTAATTAAAAAACAGTCTTTTTATTCTGTACTGTCATGAAAAGCATGAAAGTAAAGAAAGCAAAACCTGATTGCACACACTGATTACATATACAGAACTGAGAAAGTATCAGATGTTCACCAGGCTGTCACCGTTCCCCACCACCTCGTCTCCTCCGCATCAGTGGCAGAGGACGGGAGGAGCTATCAGTCACATTACCACAGGTCTGCAGAGCACATAGTCCAGGACTTACTGTACTTCAACTGGTGGGCTGCTTCTTTCATATTTTACAGAAACTGCCCTTGATAACCTATTTCTAAACTCTCTGGCATATTTTGCAGAAACTGCCCTTGAAAACCTATTTCTAAGGCTAGGCTGGATATGTCCTACAAGATTTTGTTTCTGTAGACTTGAGAAATTTTCAGGAACTGACAGACCAAGCCTCAAAATTAAAATAACTCCCTGACTAGTATTTAACCAGTCAAACCTCAGGACCATCAGCAACTTATTTGAGAAACTATAAATACTCTTGCCCCATACATCATAGTAGGTAATCACTGAACAAAATCAATCTTTGTTGGCTTTAAAGAAATTCAACCCTTATGTTTGCTTCGCATTTGTGACAGAAATGAAATGTCTTTAAAATGCTTTAGACTCAATGACTTAAGGAGAAATATTTTCATTTTTTTTATAAGAGAAGACATTTCACTGAGTATCTACAATGTGCCGGACATGTACTATGAGCTTCCACTCGGTTGTCTCTTATCTGAATTCAAAGTCTGAAAAATCTTATTCATTCTGATTAGAGAGCTTTGGGTCATAAAAATGTAATTCAAAAGAGGTTCTGGCTCCAGGTTCCAGGCCAGCAGCTCCACCATGTAACCACGAGATCTGGTTTTACGGCTCTTACTGGGTCGGTGGGAAACCTGAATTGACCAACTGGCATTTCTGAAGTATTTAAGAGTTTTAAGAATTAATGTAGCCTTGGGGTGGTGAACACACAATACAATACAGAGATGATGTATTCTTATAGAACTGTACACCTGAAACCTGTATGCTTTTATCAGCCAATGTCACCCCAATAAATTCAATGAAAAATGACACACACATAAAAAAGAATTAATACCCTGGCCGGTTTGGCTCAGCGGTTGGAGCACCGGCCCGCGGACCAGAGAGGCCCGGGTTCAGTTCCCGCTAAGGGCACGTACCTCGGTTGCAGTTTGTCCTCGGCCCTGGTTGGGGTCATGTGGGTGGCAATCACTCAATGTGTCTCTCTCACATGGATGTTTCTCTCTCTCTTCTCGCCCCCCCCCCCCCACTCTATCTGAAGATAAATGCAAAAAATGTCCTCAGGGAAGGATAAAAAAGAACTAATGTAGCACTGTCCCCTTTAAGTACGAGCCCGGTGCTAGCAGAGAAGACAAGCTCTGCCCTTGACTTTCTGGCTGAATAAAATTAGCAATGAAAGACGGCAGAAAAGATAAAATATAGAAAAGATGTTACAAGATTCTCTCTGAACTTTTCTAAAAATCCTCTCCAAAAGTTGTGTTGTTTTTTTAAAAAGTAATCACAATGAGTGAAATTAACACCTGCGAACTGAATCATGCTCTCCCACCTTGAAGTTGGAATGAACATACACTTTCCAAAAGATGAAACTTTTCAACAGACTCACAAGTCTAACAATTTCACATACACATTTAACACATGGAGATAAATAATTAACTGGCACCTACCCTTCTTCGACATTTAAAGAGCCACTCCAGCCAACAGCAAACTGCATTTCCTCCTTGCCTTTATCACTGTATTTCCATTTTGCTGAAAAATTTATCAAATAAAATAGCTTTATCTGTAGTATCCTACAACAGTAATTTATAGCTTCCATTCTTTCTCTTTAAAATGGTGAATACAAAATCATTAAAAGATTTGGGTCATAAATGTAAGATAATGCTTAAAATTTTTCATAAGATTTTCATAAAACACTACCCTTAGTCTACCCTCCAATTAAATCCATATAATTAAGTTATTAATTCTTATGTAACGCCCCACCTATTTTATTGATATAACTTTTATCTTCTGACGGCAAAAAAACTTCCTGTTAGATTATGCTACTGGAGAGTAAATCTGCTTTATAAAGACCATTCAGTAGCCATTTAATATAGGACCTTATCTTTTTTTTCTTATTTTCATTAATTTATTTTTGTTACAGATGTTTCTTCTTTTCCCCCCACTGACACCCTCCTCCCAATCCCCACCCCAACCCCCACTCCGTCCCCAGCTTTGTTGTCCATGTCCATTGGTTATGCGTAATTGCATATAAGTTCTGTGGTTTATCTCACCCCCCTCACCCCCTCTTCTGAGGTTTGTCAGACTGTACCCTACTTCTATGTCTCTGGGTCTATTTTGTTCATTAGTTTGTTTGTTTATTATATTCGACAAATAAGTGAGATCATATGATATTTATCTTTCTCTGCTTGGTTTGTTTCGCTTAGGATAATACTCTCCAGGTTCTCCCATGTCATCTAAAAGGATAAGAGATCTTTCTTTCTTATAGCTGCATAATATTCCATTGTGTATATGTACCACAGTTTTTTTTATCCACTCATCTTACTGATGGACAGTTGGGCTGTTTCCAGATCTTAGCTATTGTAAATAGTGCTGCTATGAACATAGGGGTGTATATATTCTTTCTGATTGGTGTTTCAGGCTTCTTAGGGTATATTCCTAGAAGTGGGATCACTGGGGCAAATGGTAGTTCAATTTTTAACTATTTGAAGTAACACCATATTGCTCTCCATAGTGGCTGCACCAGTCTGCATTCCCACCAGCAGTGTACTAAGGATCTCATCTTACTCAGTGAGGTGTTCATATCCTCTGTATACCCAAACTTTAATTTTAACCTTCAACAAACATCATGAGCTGAAAACATATGCCCCAAATAGAAAACTGAAGTACTGTGAGCTTTCGAATTATAGTCGAAAATCTCCTCCCTCTCTTTATTACTAACTGCCCCTTGCAAGGATAGGACAATGCCCAGCACTGTCTCTGAAGTGCCACAGAGAAATGGCTAAAGTTCTGCAGCCGAGAAAGAAACACCGAGGGGGGGGGGAGAAATACAAAAAAGGAAATAAGAAGTTTTATACAATATATAAAATAAATCATCGAATGCCACCATCCAATGAATACAACAGAAATAACAATTCTCTCTCTCTCTCAAATACACTTTCTGTCCTATTCTATGCATTAAAATTAAGGTCGCTGGAAAATAATAGATACTCACGCACTAGAAATACAGCTTTTTGTTCCCGAGCTATAACCATAAGATCACTGGTTGGCGATAAGGATAAAACACAATCTTGAAGCCAGGACGTTTTTTGTGTTTTACAAGTATTTCCTTCTTCTTCCTGTGGGTAAAACTACAATGACTGTCCATGCAAAGATGTCAATAGTATTTCAGTTCAGCTTGTCTGCCTTGAAGGGTGAGGGGGAAGAAAAAGGGAAAAAGAAATCTTCCCAAATCTTTTATAAAGTTGCTATAATTTCCTTATCAAAACATGTCAAAGATGACCAATATCCACTACAAACCTCAGCTTTGAATATTAATGCAAAAATATTTTAATGTCAACAAATATAAACTAGCAAGACATTAAAAGAATATCACATAGCTAGAGATCACTCCAAAAATGATTCAGTATTAGAAAATTTAGTAATAATCCCATTCCGAGAGACAGCTAGGGCATCTGCAGCCAGATAGCAAAGAAAGAACTGTCCTGTCTGATGATTGTGGTTGTAGGATCTGTGAGCTATTTGATACATTTGACACTTTTGTCTTTTTATTTGACCTGAAAGGTTTTTCATTTTTTTCAATTGAAAAATTATTTATTACATACGTAAATTCCCACAGTTAAACAAACAAACAAAAAAAATCAACAGATCTTCAAAGGTCTTCCTTGGGAGGTCTCTGCATACTTCCGGACTCCAGCTGCCCAGTTTGCTCAGAGACAACCCATGTAATCAGTTCTGGGGTATATTTCCAGAGACACTTTCTGCACCTACAAGCAAACACATTTACTACCCCTTCCCCTTTTTCTAATACAAATGGTAGCACACTACATACAAGGGTAAGCAAAAGTAGGTCTAAAGAAGACATATATTACAACAATAAGTAAATAAATAATAACACAAGACTAAACTCCAAGCTTCAGTTCAAACTGTCAACCTACTTTTGCCTACCCCGTACATCCTTTTCCTTTAGTTTTTTTCTCTTAACATATATCTCAGACTTCATTCCTTGTGAAGTTTCTTTACTTTGGGGGGGGCTGCATAGTATTCCACTGTATAGACACACACATTGTATTTACCCAACCCCCTACTGATGAGCAATTGTGAAATGTACACTCCCTTGCTGCTACAAACTAGACTACAGTGAATAACCTGATACAACTGTCAACTGGTGTGGGACTATACCAGTGGATTAATTCCCAGAAGTGAAGTCGCTGGGTCCAGCCCAATGCACCGGGGGAGGGGAGCAGGGGAGGAGTGATGGCAGGAATACAGACCAAGAATAAAGAGTGTGGGTGTGTCCCCTGTTAGATGTTTCAGGGGAATCTTGAGTCCAAGTACAAGTAACACCATCAAAGTACTGGAATAGCAGAGAAGAGAGAGTCCCCTCTCCAGGCTGCATCAAAATGAACCAGGGGTGGGTTTTACAACAAAGCTGGACTTCTAACTTACCAAAAAAGCTCAGGCTGGAAAGACCTAACAAGAATGCGCAATGAGTATCAGCACACACTGGGCGACCGACGAGATACAAGATCATGGTTTTGTTTTGTAACATGCCATAAGGGCATCTGCCTACCACTTAGGTTTTCTTACAACTTCCCCCACAGTAACGGGGCCACAATCACCAATACTGCTCCCTTGAAGGTACTGATCCTAAAATAACACCATCATTTGACAAGGTAGTTAATTTCCCAAGAGAAACATGAAATTGAAAAAATAAACAAAACAGAAACAGCACCACCAGGGACTTACCTTGGCTTTCCACAAAAACTAGCACCTACCTAGTTACTAAAATGAACATTAAATGCATTCATTAGCTACAAACATAACTCCTGTTGGGGCCAAGAGAGAGGGAATGTATAACTATTTAAATGTGGCCTAAATTTTAAGAACTTTTTTCTTTGAATTGAGAGCAGAAAAACTCTTTCTTAATGTGCACAAATATGGATTATGAAATGTAGATTATGAAAAGGAATTCTTTCTAAATAACTAGGTCTATTAACATATATTTAAATTTTTTTTTTCTTTCTCTTGATCTTAAGCCCACAAATTTGTCAAGTGATTATTTTTTCACAATACAGCAGATGGTGAAACCTCAGTAACTTCACCGGCCTTTCAATTACAGCTGCCACTACCGGGCTGGTAAGTCACCCTCTGTAAACAGAGTGGCACATGGTTTTGGGACATCAGCTGCTGTGGTGACTAGATCACTGTTGAAGTAGCCAATACAGTTTTTTTTGTTGTTTTTTTTTTATCCTCACCTGAGGACATTTTTTTTTCATTTTTTGCACAGATAGAATGGGAGGGAGAGAGAGGAAGAGAGAGAGAGAGAGAGAGAGAGAGAGAGAGAGAGAGAGAGAGAGAGAGAGAGAGAGAAACATCGACGTGAAAGGGACACATCGAGTGGCTGCCATCTGCACGACCAACAAGGGCCGGGGACAAACTGCAACCGAGGTACATGCCCTTAGCGGGAACCGAACCCGGGTCTCTCCGGACCGCAGGCCGATGCTCTAACCGCTGAGCCAAACCGGCCAGGGCGCCAATACAGTTTTTCAAAATTTTCAACTTTAGTATAATGAGTTCACCATTTGCAATTTACATCGTCACTGTGCTTTCACAGACATTTACATAATACAGTGGTGCCAGGAAAATCCAGTATAATTAAGGGGCTATCAGCATATTCATTGTAATTCTCAGCAGTTTACCATCTAAACCATAGGAATAAAATAGTCATCTACATTTTTTAAACCAAGAGATGTAAGTGCTTTAGGAATTCTGAAACACAAAAAGTAAATAATGCTAAATAAGTAGGTTTTTCTCCCTCTCTTAAAAAACGGCTCTCAAAAAGCTAACAAGCTTATGGAGATAAAAGGCACTGTGCTTTTTACAGTTTCTGCTGGACTCAGTAGCAGCCAGCTGACCTCCAGGTCATCATGCAGGGGCAGTGGGCTGCCCCATCGTGGTCCATCTCCACACCACTGCAGCTCTCCAAAGACCAAAACACAACATCCCTCTAAGCCAGACTAACAAAGAGGAAAAGTTCGCTCTCCTCTGCTGGTCATAATAACCATGAGCCAATGGGTGCAGAACCCTATCATTGTTTTCACCGCTGCAGTGCCTCGACACTGAGGAAGGTTAGTAAGATGCTGGAATTCCTTGACAAATGGAATGAGCAATTCACAGCCAGATAATAAATTGCAAGATCTTATCTTCCCTAAACAAGGACACTTAGGAGCGAATGGTTACCACATGGCAGACCATGCTGGGGCAGATCTGCCTGGCCTGGTAGGTCCCCTTTCAGGTGACAGTCTTTGAAGGTGAACTGGAGCAGAGAATGACCCTGATCCCTCTATATGCTCATTTTGATTCATCAGCATATCAAAGGACATACCTGGAAAGCTAAAGAATACTCTGATTGAGATCTTCCCTAAAATTCTCACCTTTAGAAAACAGATAAAACTCTTAAGACAAAGGACTCAGTGCACACTCTCCCTTGATCATGCCCACACCTTTCCCCACTCCTATATGTTTGCCTTCTTTCTCCTACGCTCTAAATGTTCCCAGGAGACTTGCAACCAGAGGAGCAGCAGGCAATGGCAGCTCCTCCGGGGCTACCCCCCAAACCTGTCTCCAAGGGCCCTCCTTTTGCATCTGTAGTTTGTTCCCTGAGTCCGCACAGTCCAACATGGCTCACTTCTTCCGCCTCTGCGACTTCCTTTCCTATATCTAGGCAGCCCAGCCTGGCTCGCTTGTTACTGTAACTTGTTTCCCGAGTCCATGCAGCCCAGCGTGGCTCCTTCTACTGCCTCTGTGACTTTCCTTCTACAGGGCCAAGGCAGCCTTGCTAGGCTCAACTCTTCATGTTTCCAAAGGGCCAAGGCAGCTCCACCTAGACTTGCGCCTGTTGCTAAGGTCTTGCCTCTTCTATCTTAAGCCCTTCATTAGTTTCACTATCCCCAGCTTAATACATGTACCCTCAAAATTACCTGGACCCATGTCGGGAAATCTTTCCTGAACGAAGTCAAGAGCCCGCACCTTCCAGACCATGCGGCGCAGACCCGCCTCCATCCCGGTCCCTTTAGGGTGACGACACAACCAGAAATGGACTTCAAGACAGTCTACCTCTCCCAACACTGCTCTCATCTTTCATGTGGCTGAGACCTGCCAGTGAGACTCACAGGGAAGGCAGGTGTTGAGTTTGCTGTCTGTTTCCATTCTGATTAGGTGGTTGCATCTGTTACCTTGACTGCTGCGTGTACATTGTGTTTCATGTATCTGCCAAAATTTACTCTGATTCTTGTTATGCCTCTGGAGCTGGCTTGCTTTTGGAGTTGTTCATAATCATAGACTGTAGTAGAAATAACACATACCGACTTAGTACTATTAAGCAAGCACAGAAATATTCTTGACAAAGATTTTAAAATGTCAGCCTAACACTGAAATGTCACCACTGTTAAAAAAGGAAAATGCGACCACCAAAGAGCATGCCTACATTTATAGACTTACAGGTTCTTGAAGAACAGGCTCTGTTTCTTCCCATGCTCCCCAACCATCATCTTCCCAGTTCGCTGATTTACCTATTTTAAAAAAGATGAAAGGTACATGAAATATAGAGCTTAACATATTTTAAAACATTTTCTCTAAACATAATAAAGCTAACCCTGCTATATAGTAAACATTATACAGATATATATTGTATAAATGCAATGCTGATGTTAAGGAAGAAAATAATGGTAAGCTATAGTATATCAGGATATTGCTTATGTAATAATAATCAGGAAACATTTGACTTGAATTTCCAAATCTATGTCATATTAAATCTGTGCAAGTTATTTGAATCTTAAGATCCTGGACATCAAATTTATCCACATTTAAACCAAACTGCAAAGATGACTTTAAAAAATCTAGAAATTACAGTATTTGTTACTTAAGACATTAGACAAATTAAATATACAGTGACAAAAACATCTAAAATTTTACACACACGTCTTAAAAAGTGAGTTGTTTTTTGATAAGACGAGATATCAATGAAAAAGAAAACTAAATATTGAAATAACAGAACTACTATTCTCCACCTTTTTCTGATATTCTTTGATTTCTTACACGAGAACATTTTCGTGGATTAAAATAAGATGTTCAGCTTTACAATTCTGGGGGGGGAGTATCAATTAATAAGATGAATCTAATATCTAGGATGCATACAGTAGGAAGAAGGAAGTAGATATTTCACATATATAAGGTTTTACAAGTTGCTAAAATCAATTAGCTATATAGATGGTAAAAAAATGTTCCAGTCTAGTACTTGGAATCATTGTTCAATTGGCTTCGTGGAAATATATTCTCATCTTTGGTATTTAAATGCCAAATAACTGCCTCCTAACATGCCAAGCACACTGCTAAGCATATATTAAGTCCTCAAGGAGTACTCATTTGATTAACACAGTACAACTTACAGAAGGTTTCCAGATACATGTTCATTAGACAATGTAACAAATGTTCTGTTAAATACCATGTGCAGCAGGAACAGAGAAAAATACAGACATACTCCTCAAGGAATTTGTGGTGTAGTTAGTGTGAGGGACAAACATGTAATTATAGTATATGGTGAGTACTGTAATCGACTACTATGGGAACTCAGACAGGGCCGAGAACAAGCTGAAAAAAACACAGTGAGGAGTCATTTTAAACTAAATCCTTAAAAAGTGGCGAGGAACTTTTCAAACATACTTGAGAAAAGGGTCAACATGAGCAAAGGCAAAGAGGCAAAAGATGCATTGTCCATATACGGGTTATCACACAACAACGAACATGTACGCAACATAACAACGAACATGTATGCAGTGTTTCTATATGCCTAAGTGCATTACAGACATTGGTTCACGTAAGCATGACAAGGATCCATTATCATCCCCTCTACCCAATGCGAAAACCAGATCACTTAGTTTACAAAGCTTGACCAAGGTCACAGAGGTTGCCTGGGTTCCATCGCCCCGTGCTTGCGAGTGTTCTGCTCTGCTTACTCCTCCTACGGCTTATGAAGACGGACGTGATTAGGAAATAGTGTGGCTTACAGTTAAGGTTAAAAGCAAGAATGCTTATTGTTTTAAAACAGAAACATTTCCTTGATATTAAGATTTGGAAATTTTCTGTGTGTAACTTGGAAAATTACAGTTTGTTCTTTGGCAACTTAATTTGGTTAGGCAATCTCTTTATTCTGCTAATTTTTCCACTGCACCAGAAACAACTGCCTTTTTGTGGTGCTGATGGCAACTAGGCCATCCCATTAACACAGTTTTAGAAAACTCACTGGGTCTGGTATGAGAAAGCAAAGTAACTGGAAAAGTTCATCACACTAAAATCCACAATCCATTTTTTAGTTGCTGTAAGAATAATGTCTTTATTAAATTACCACAATCTCTGAAAACCGTGAAGAATTTATAGCACTTCATGAAGACCAGTTATTCATTCATTCATTCGTTCGTTCGTTCATTCATTCATTCACTCACCCACTCATTCATCCATTCAAGAAACACAGCATCTTTTCTGTCTTGGTCACTCTGCTAAGTGCAAAACAAACAAAAGCAAATATGCATTCAAATAGCTTAGTCTGTGCACATAACCTCTGCTGAATGCTGTACAAAACCAGACCATGAAAAAATGTGTTATTTCTCCTCCATACCAGCATAAAAAGTACCTGACTCAATTCACAAATGACTCATACAATCAAACAGAAGACAGAAGCAATTTGGACTTCCTGCCCCTGCAGAGACCCAATATCCCTTTATACCACAATTCAAAACATTCAGGAAGAGGAAGATCTTGAAAAAAAAAATGCTTTCTTTACACAAGATATTTGTGTTTAGCTGAGCTAGTTCTCGATGCCATGGACTGGGGAGTCTCTGTTAAAAAGAGGGAAAGAATTTAATCAGGCATCTCCCACTATCACAGGAACACATTTTCCAAAGAAGCCATGGTACAAACGGAGGTTAAAGGAAGGTGAAACAAAACAATTACTCAGGTAGGTTAAAGATGTTCTTAAGGCTGGTCTAGAATCTTAAGTCTCTTTATAATACTATAGGAACTCGCATTCCAAATTCTAGTCATCTTCAGGATGGGAGACATTATAAAAAAACCATCTGTAAATTGTGTACTACCCTTGTGGCTATTTCTACGCAGTGCCAGTGATATAATTTCTGCAGCTTCCTGACTTCTGGTGAAAATCATTTGACCCTGTTTTGCAGGCTGCTGACAGCTAATGGTCGGCTGTTAAAAAGTGTTGGAATCTCAGCACATTACCAAGGTAATTTCTTATGCCTTCAAACTATGCAAGCAGAACAAGCACATTCTTAAGAAATAAAATAAAATAAAAAGATGGTTTACCCTGAAAAATAGCTAATAATGTCTAATAGCTAAAAATAGCTAATAATGGCTAATGCCCAGTAAAGTTGCCATTCATGTAAAGAATTTTATTCAGGCAGTCTTTCCTTCTGGTAACTTTTCTGTGAAGGACAGTGTTCTTCAATCAGTATCACTATCTGTTGGGTCATTGATCAAGGTTGTGGATAATCAAAGTAACGAGTTTAACACACATGGTGGGGCAAAAGTAGCCATCTTTCCTTAAAATTTACCGAAAATCAAGGATTGCATTGAAGGCTCAATCAGTCTTTCAAGAAAGACTGTCCACTTAAAACAGTTTGTTAGTCCACCTCCTTTGCAGAAACTACCCTTCTACTGGAGTCATACCACATCCTGAATCATATTTGCTCTCTATATAAATAAAATTCATAAGCTAGTCTCCAACCAACTTAACAAAATGCAAATAACTACCTCCTCATTGACTAGTAACTTGACTTTTCAATCCTTAACTTTTTTATACCTATCACTGAAGAAGATCAGTTTGAACTGTCTACAGTAACTGGGAACATAAGCATAAAGTTCAATGTCTTGCCCAAATGAATGAAACCAATGACTTCAAAACATAAAATGTAACTACAACTCCTTCTGGAGAGTATTTTTTCCCTGAAGAGATCAGAGTATACCAGAATAAAAAAAAACTGTTCAGTCTCTCACTTGATAAATATACTCATTGAAACTACAACACTGAGAAAACACATTTTAATTCCACCATCAAAAAAATTACAGATGTCTTTTTTAGGGTTATTTCAAATGAATGAATTATTCTACCCACAAAAGTTTAAATAAGAAATTCAATGTCTGCTTTCCATAGCTCTATTTAATTTCAAAAATACATTATTCTGATTTGCTTCTGAACAGTCTGTCCTCTTAAACTGAGGGTATGTTTCTCATATAATGAGAACCTGAAGATAGAAAGGAAATTAAATTCTAGAAGTGGGCAATTAATTTGACAGTATTTGCTTTTTCCAGTATGAGTATGTCAAGATCAAGAACTAAATGAGAAACTGAAATCATTAAATGTTAGGAAAAGGAAAACTTAATTTAATCTCCATGGCCTAATAAAAGATCTTATCAGCACAGACACAAATTCATTTCCGTTCTTCCGAGACAAAAAACAAAATAAGAAACAAAACAAAACACAGAGATAATGTACTTGTTTCTTTCTATAAAGAGGAAGAACCTCTAGAAGCTAGGACTTGTAAATAATTCAGGGGGTCCAACAGAATTTAGCTGGATATTCTTGGCCAAGGTAGGGAAGGTATTACATAGCAATACAAAGTTTTTTTAAAAAAGACTAAATAACAGAGAATCTGCTTCTTAATTTCCCATACCTCAGAATTATTCATCTTTTTCTATTTCTAGGGAGCTGGAAATGGGAAAATAACTTTCATATTAGCATATTCCTTTCAGCACATAAAAATATGCAGCAATTCAAAATGAGAAGGCCATCCCATCTTCAATAGCAGGGGCTTAGTTCTTTCAAATCCCCATGATTAAATGCGATGAGACCTTTAAGGTCCCTTTCGGTTCTAGAATTCTTAAGACTTACACACCACATAAGAACACACGTTCTGATGGCCAATTCACAAAGTGACCGAACTGGAAATATCTTTAAGCAGAAAGAGTGTATCCTCCTGCTTTGAAAGCTTTATTAAACAAGCTCCCTTTGCCCAAAAACCTAAGCCAGGAAAATAAAATGATCTCATGATTTCTGCTTCCCAATAAAGTAATCATTTATAACATGAATAAAGTGAAGAAAAGCAAAGTCAAACACCATCAGCAATTTTAGGCAGGTCCTATTTACCCTGCTCAACTAACTTCATTTTTACTCTATAAATATGACCCTCACAAAAGTTGAGGTTCAGGTTTCTTGTTTGTTTTTTAATTAAAAAGCTCTTTACAAAACCACTGTTTGGAATGATTACTAAAATCTATGGTCCTAACCATTCCCAGACTTCCAAGCAAACTATCAACTGTAGGGCAAGCTATTTTCCTGATTTTTATTGGTAAATTAAAGCATCGTTTTAACTGTAAAGTATAGATTTGCAAGGGGCTCAGTGGTTAAGAGGTTCTTTCTCCATTTATTCTCTACCTGAATTGATGGTAGCCACAATAGCAACATACATAAACCTAAGAATTTGCTTTAAAATGGTAATAAATTAAATATTTGCAAACTCATAAGCATATTGCAAATTAACCTAGATGTGTAAGGTATGGTTATTTCCCCAACTGCCTGGATTGAGTTCATATCCTATAGCTATGCTTCTCCGTGTGACCTTGGGCAACTATTCAATCTGTATGTGCCTAATTTCAGCACCTGTAACTGTGCCATACAAATATGGCAGCCATTCACCACATTCAGCTATTTAAATGAAGTAAAATTAAAAATTCAGTTCCTCGGTGCCACTTGCCACGTTTCAAGGGCTCAGCAGTCCGACGTGGCTAGAGACTACCTTACTGGACAGGCAGACACAGTCATGAAAAGAAACAAGATGATTTGATTGAGAGTAACAAATGAGATCAAGAGGGCAGGAGTGACTACTTTATTTTATTTATTCTTTGGTATGTGCCCCTAGCGGGAACCGAACCACAGCCCAACACTCCAACCGCAGAGCCAAACTGGCCAGGGCAGATGTGACTACTTTAAATTATATGGTCAAAAAGGCCTCTGAGATGTTGACATCTGAGCTGAAACTTGCATGACAAGATGCAGCTGGCATGCAAAAACCTGCATAGAGCATCCAAGGCAGACACGAGGGCAAAGGCCCCTATGCAGAATGAGCTTGGCTGGTTTAACAACACAAAGTGTGTTTGAAGCATAACAAATAAGGGAGAAGACCATGAGGTGCAGGAAGTGGCAGGAAGCAGGGCATCAAGGGCCTTGTAATCCATGCAAGAATTTTGGATTTTGTTTTTAAGTGCGACTGAAAGCACAGAGACGTATAAAGAGGGGCATATTACAATCCAAACTGTGTCTTTAAGAGTTCACTCTGACTGCTTTCGGAAACTAGTTACAAGAAACCGAGAGTGGAAGGAGGAAGATCTGTTAGAAGCCTGGTGCCACTGCCCAGGTGAGAGCAGATGGCAGCCTGGACCAGGGGAGTGAGATACAGAAAATGTGTTCTCTTCCTCTACATCCTGTCTACTATCCTTCCCAACCTGGATCCCTGAAACAGTCAACTTCATTTTTGAGCTCCTCCATCTCCTATAAATATGCTTTCTGCTCCCACCTTTCCACCAAAACTGTCCTAAACTCCCAGTCACCTCCACCTTCCCAAAACCAACGAGAGCACTTTTCCATCCTTCTCCTAGCGGACCTTGGCTGCACTTGCAACAGCTGACCACGCTTGCCTTTCATCGGATTCTCACCTCCCTCAACTGCTGGGGCATTCCGCTCACCTGGTGTTCCTCTCTGTTACTCTTTCTCAGTCTTCTTCCACTTAACCTCCACTTGACTCAAACTTCAGAACTCAGTTCATGTCACTATGCAGTCACGCACCGCAAAAGATGTTTCCGTCAATGACGGACTGTATACGATGGTGATCCTATGAGATTATAACAGAGCTGAAAAATTCCCACTGCCTAGTGACTTTGTGGCTGTCTTAATGCAATAGCACAATGCATTATTCCCGTGTTTGTGGCAATGCTGGTGTAAACAAACCTACTGCACTGCAGTGGTGTAAACGTTTGGCCTACACAGAGCAGTAGGCCACACCACGCAGTTTGTATAAACACACTCTATGACGTTGGCGCAACAACGCAATCACCTAACAGGGCATGACTGTATACGTAATCCTTGGAACTCATCTGACACTTTTTGCTGCCAACTCTCAAAATAACATCTCTGGCACCGGAATCCTTACTAAGTTTTCGACCTCTTGCTCTGGTGTTTGACTGGACCCTCTACTTGGACATACCACAAACATTTAAAATGGAAAAGGTCCAAAACCTACCTCCTCCATTCTCTCATTATATATCCTCGCTCAAGTCAAAAGCCCAAAGGCATCCTTACTTTACTGTCACTCATTAGCTATAAGCCTCTGCCCCCATCACCAGGTCTCTACTAGGTCCTGCAGATTCTACCTCCTTAATAGCTCACTAATCTAGCCCTTCCTCTCCAGTTCTGCTCAGGCTATTTTAGTTCAAGCTCACATCACTTCTTGCAAGGATTACTGGAATAGTCTCCCAACCAATTTACCTGCTTCCTATCTCTCCTGCACACAGCTGCCAAAGCACATAATAGCGATTCAGAAACTTGACCACCTTAAGTTCAAATCTGACTATGTCATTTCTCTACTTAAAAGTCTTTCCGAGACTTCCCACTACTTTCACAAGGCTTCTCGTGATCCAGCTGTTACCTTCACAGCCTCCTCTCGCCAACTCTGTCGGGCACATTCTCCTCTTTCAGGTTTTCTTAGTTCTCTAAATGCCATCCCATCTCAGGCCTCCCTTCCTCCACACACGTCATCTCTCCCGTGTGCATCTAACTACTACTTCAAAGGTGGGTTTAAGTGATACCCCATGCCTCATATATCTCTATTTATAAATATATTTATATAGTACATATGTGGATCGCACTGCATGGTAACTGCTAATATATTGGTCCCAGGAAATGATACGCTCCTAGAGGGAAGAAACCACCAACCGTATTTGATTTGTAGCACTAAAGTAAATATTCATAGACAATTTTGATTTGACATCTTCTAAATTTAAAAAAACGGGGAGGAGCTGATTTAGTGGGCCTTTTATCACCATTCCAGCTCAGCCCAAAGTGACAGCACTGTTCTACTTCAAAGCCAAATGTGCTACATGTTGGACATATGAAGGGAACAAACACAAAACACAGTTTCAACAGGAGATGTGTAGGAAATTCTGGGGAACCATGCAGTATCTAACCAGTCTTGGGGTTTTGCGTGACGTGGGCAAAGGCTTCGCACTCTTTGATTACAACAATCCGTGGAAGGCTGCCCATCTCAATGAAGCAAATGAACTTTTCATGGCAGCGTTACTGTAATTTACATGTAAATGCACGTTTCAGGTCATCTTAGTTCCTGCTGTAGGATCTGGCTCCCCTCCTGAGAGGTAATTACCCGTATTAAGGAGACGCTTACTCACCACCCTAGAAATCACTCACTTGTCAATCAGCCATTTATTGTCTAAATCTGAGCAGGGGGAAGGGGACGGAAGAGAGGGCGTGGGCGACGATCAACACTTTTGAGGGGGGTGGCGGAGGCCACAGACCCCGGGATGGAGGAGCCGGGGTTCAGGCAGTCGGGGTGGGGCGCCGACAGCTGGCAAGGGGTGGGGAGGAGCAGGCGATCACGGAACAGGGACTCCGGGGGGAAGGAGGGCGAGATGGAGAGGAGACTCCGGGAGAACTGGGGTGAGGGAGGCAGACAGAGGCGAGGGGAAGCGGGGCTGTTTCTGGCCGGAGAGCGAGGCGTTCAGGCGAAAGCTGGAGCGAGAGGAAGGCGACGCCGACGCCGCCGGGGCGCAGAGGGTCACCGCAGGGAGAAGAGGGCAGGCGCGGGGGAGGGAGCCCCGGTGCAGCGCGGACGGAGACCCGAACCCGCCGGGAAGGGGGCGGCGAAGCGGGGACACTTACTGGGGTCCCTCCGCACGGCGCCGAGGGGGGTCTCCGCCCGCAGGTGAGGGAAGAGGAAGTCCCGGGCGGCCTGGAGGTCCTGGAAGTGGCAGAACTGGACAATGGAGCAGGCCATGGCTCCCGGGAGCCCCGCTCGTGCACGCACTTTACCTGACCACGCCCTGCCCCCCGCCACCCCACGGCGGACACCGCCCGGCCGGAGAGCTTCAGCCTCGCAGGGGCGGGGAAGCAAACCGGAAGCTGTCAGCGCACGCGGTTCCCCCGCCCCGCAGCACTGCGCGTGCGCAGGGCCGCCCGGCGGCCGCGGCCGGAATCACGTGACCAGTGGCTGCCCGGGGGTCCTACGCGGACGTGCAGGCCTGGGAGCGACTTCAGTCCGGGGGCTGCGCTTCCACCCGGGCCAACCTCTTTATTCGTTACGGCTGGTAGCCAGGGATGATCTCATTGGCTGTTGGCCACGTCGATCTTGGTCACTTAACCGATCTTATTGGTGCCCGGCTTTGGCACGACCCTGAGGGTGCAGGGAAGAATCCTGCTGAACTGGTGGCAGGCCGGCGGGGGACGGTAGCAGGCTGGTGTCCGAGTTTGCAGAGACGAGTTTCTGCTCCGTCCGGGCTCGCTGGAAAGCTCCTCCCACAAAGTCCCAGGGTGCTGCGCACGCTAACACCGTGCGTGCTACCCTGTCACACGCTTACGCCGTCGAGCTGCACTTGATTCCCATTCATTCACTCAGCCACCCATTCAGCAAATAAGCGTTGCTCGTCGTTTCTATTCCGGACGCGCGACGCGTGGAATGCAAAGCAGAGAACAAAAGAGATGGAATACTCGTTCCCCTGGAGCTAAAATTCTAGTCGCTGGCACAGATAGTAAGCAATTAATTAATTACTCAACTATTTAACTGAAATGGAAAAAAAAAAGATTTAACTGATGATGCTAAGGAAGGAACGAAGTCCAAAGTGCTGTGACTGAATATAACAAGGAACCTTTCCTAGTTTTTAACTTATTTTATTGGAGGTGGGGGGGGGGGTGAACGGTTGTCAGGATCAGGTCCAGACTTCGTGGTGAACTCCTGGAACTTAGGGGCTCATTTAATGCCCCTTTATGTCCCCAGTACCTAGCGTAGGACAGGGCACATAGTACTTAATAATATTTGCTGTCGGACTACATGAAGTAAGCAGAATAACCTGTTTCTTTACAAAGCACTTTATACTTTTTAAAGTGCTCTTTTATACATTGTCCAATTGAATAGTCACAATGTCATCTAGAAAGTGTGTCTTATCCTAATTTTTAAATGAGGATATTTAAGTGTCTTTGAGAAGACTCTTGAAGTTCATTTAAATTATCTTTCTAAAGAGTAAAAACCAAAGAAGGAATTATTTTAATGTTAACACAAAGCACTATAGACACTCATATACTTCCCAAAAGAAACCTAAAGTGGTCGTCCACCTTGTATGACAGGAAATGGCATAGAAGTTAATTGAAGCACATAGATGAAGTCCAGGACATTGATTTCTATCGGGGCTGTATATACACTTAGTCCTAACGACATAACAACTTCAATTCAATGCCCAGGCTCCTACTCCATTAATTCCTGTTTCTGGAGTAGGGTGAACTTCTCCAAATAGGATCCATAATTCCTGTGTTATCAGGTCAACAGGGATCAGCTCTTCACCCATAAACCATGTGGTTGGATTAGATATGCTAGAGGGTTCCTTAAACATCAGAGACCTGCAATTCTATATTCAAAGCTTGCAGAAAAGGCAAGCTTTTTGTGCTCTCATTTTCCAGCTGGAAAAAAAAAAAAAATTCAATGCTTCCTCAGATCATCCCGTCCTGATGATTAGAGCCCAAAATATGACTCTAATATCAAAATAGAATAAAATTTAAATTTAGACTCTCAGCTTTACAGCATGAGCAAAGGACACATGACACTTTTTGGAAGTGTACAGTATCACTGCTTGGAAACCAGACAAGTTCCTATTCAGGTAGATGCATTTTGTGGAAGTAAGTGCTTTTGGCTGATTCCGATGGCCTTTGTTCTGCATCAGACATTCATATACCTCATTGAATTTCATTACTGCTCAGTTTCAATGGTGAAGCTTCTGACTTCCGTCCAAGTGGTATTGAAAAGGCCCATTCATGAATGTTTGTAAAGACTTTAGATACCCTTCACAGAAATTACAGCACATTCATGAACTGAACTCTTCCCCCAGGAAGTTGTAAAGCTGCAGGGGATGACTCTGGAGTTCTGCTGCCATGGTTTCCAGGGAGTGTGGGGGGATTGCGTCCCACAGTGAATATGGATAACTGCACAGCCTTAAGAAAGAACACTGCAGAAACCGTGCGGGCTTTACATAGCACAGCACAGACAGTGTTTCTCCGAGGTGTGAGTTCGGGAGCTAAGAAACGCGATGTGACCAACATGAACACAGGAGGGTGCTAATGCGAAGTCTGCAGTGTCCCTTGCTGCGAGTTACACCACTGGTAACTGTTGTTAAGAGAAAGATGCTTACTCGGCATGATGGCTTGATTAGCAGCGGGTCCTTGCTAATCTTACCAGCAGCCTGAGGCCAAAGGTGCTGAGATCTGGGATGGATAGCAGAGTGGGGAAGAAAGCAATGGACATGGAGACAGGAGACCTAAGATCTGTCACAGCTTCGCCGCTGAGACAGTCACTTGAACTTGGGCAATTTGTGTCACCTTCCTGGACCTTAGTATCTTGATCTAGAAAATGAAGAAAATTGAACCCTCAAGTCCATCTCAGGAACGTGTGGGTTTTGGTAAGAAACTGGGAAGGAAAAGATCTGGGACTCAGAGTTGCTCAAAAGGAGTGGTCTAGGTAGGCCCCCCTTAAGAGGGTGGGCAGAAGTGAACTTGAGGATGTGGAGTGTCTCTAAGTGACTCAAAGGGGAGCAGAAGGACATGGAAGCCTTACCTTATAACTGGGCTGCGGATCAGCCTTGAGGTCTGAATTGGAATGTGAGCAGAAGCAAGGTCTATAAACAACTAGTTTTTGCCCTGGCCAGTTTGGCTCAGCAGTTAGAGTGACGGCCTTCGGACCAAAGAGTCACAGGTTCAATTCCGGTCAAGGGCACATACCTTGGTTGTGGTTCAGTCCCTGGCCTTGATCGGGGTTGTGTGGGAAGCAACCAATGGATATGTCTCTCTCACACTGATGTTTCTTTCTCTCTCTATCTCCCTCCCTGTCTATCTCTCTCCCTCCTTCCCTCCTACTCTATCTGAAAATCAGTGGAAAATATCCTCAGGTAAGGATTAAAAAACAACAACAACTAGCTTTATCTGACAAACATCCACAAGGATAGATAATGTCTATCTTATTACTCTTAAGACCCTGTGGGGATCACAGTGAGGTGAGAAGGACTAGCCCACCAGGAATTCACTTCATCACCAGGGATACAAAAGCAGAGCGCCATGGGTGCGTGGGTGTTATGGGTGACCTTTGGGACTCATAAAGGGGTCTGCTTAGAACATTCAAAAATACTTAATTACTGAGCATCTGCCATGTGCTTCTTCTCTACCCAGGAGCCTTTGAAATCCTTCAAAACTCAGCTCAATATCACCTCCATGGTGAAGGAACTGACGTCCCCAGGCAAAATGAGTCACTTGGACCCCCCTAGCTTTTTGCTATTATGTATCTATTCTAAAACATAGCATCTTGATTATGGTTTATCCACATTTCTGTCTCCCCCACTAGATGGTGATGTCCTCAAGGGCAGGGGTTGTGACCTGTTTACCTTTTTGACATCCATTTATTCATTCATTTAATGCATTTATTTAAAGCCTGCTAGGTACCAGGAGCTAAACATATACCTGTCTCATACCCAAAACACAAAAGAAACACCTATCTGTACTAACAGGTAATAGACTCCAATGACACACAGAGATGAATAGGCAATTATAACTCCGTTTTGAATGTGCAATGTTAGGAACAGTACAAGGAAGCACATGAGAAGGGCACCTCACTTTGGGGATCAGGGCGGGCTTTCTGGGGCGAGCATCATTGAAGCCATTGAGTAGGTGTTAGATATAAGCCAGATGGAGGATGAAATGGGAGCAGAAAGGGCAAAGTATTCTCCGACACAGAGGAAACAGCCCAAAACCCCAGGGAAGAGAGGACAAAGTTCATTTAAAGGGTTGCGGATCCTTCAACCTGTGTAGAGCTGAAAAAAAATATTACAAGCCCCGACCGGTTTTGCTCAGCGGTTAAGAGTGTCGGCTCTTGGACCAATGAGTTGCAGGTTCGATTCCAGTCAAGGGCACAGACCTTGGTTGCAGTTCGTCCCCGGCCCTGGTTGGGGTCGTGCGGGAGGCAACCAGTTGATGTGTCTCTATCACATCCATGTTTCTCTCTGTCTCTCTCTTTCTCTCCCTCCCTCTCACTCTATCTGATAATAAGTAGAAAAACATCCTTGGGCGAGGAAAAAAAAAAGTATTACGATTAAGCTGGAGAGGTCAGAAAGGGCGAAATCATAAAAGAACTCAAGGGCAGGGACTGTGGCTTATTCATATTTGTTTCTTTCTCCAGTGCCTAGCAAAATACTTGTCAAACAGGTGGCTAGCTAATAAATGTTTGTGAAAGGGAGGAAAGAAGAAAAGAAGGAATGTATATGAATGACGTGAAACACAGATCCTGCCTACCCTCGGGAACATGGGACAAACAAGACATGGCTGTTAAAATACGTCAATCAAAACAGTTCCCATTTGATTAAATGCCAGGCGAGAGTGGTACAGGCAAACATGGTGACGTCTGGAGACATTGCTGTGACCAGGAGTTGTCAGGGACCCGTACTGCATCAGAGGATGAACACGGTTTAACTAGGAAGAAAAGAAAAAAGACACACTGAATCTCTCCACACAGAGAGGCAAGGTGAAGAAGAAAGTGAATCCTTTCTAAACTTTTCCTCCTCTATTTTCATTTGTCTGTTCTGTTCCTCTTGTCCCTTCCCCGTCATCACTACATCTTCGCACACTAATTGTGTACTCGGTATGCAGACTTGGTCAAGCTCGGCCATTCTAGCTAAATCAGAATCCCTAAAAACACATACCTTTTGGAGAACACAGTTTTTGACATGAAGTTCTGTAAACCTGGCAAAATCCATTTTAAGATTATTTTTCCTAAAGAACTTGAAGTTCGAAAGTGCTGAGATGTTAAGCAATGAACAATACAAGGGAATAAATAATTCAC